GTGGGAGGGGCGCCCTGCGGTACCCCTGTGGGAGGGGCGCCCTGCGGTACTCGTAACCGGTGTCGCCTGGGCAGTATTCCTTGACACGCGGATAGAGTTCGATTTAATGGGCGCAGACTGGCGTATATGCCACGCAAAGCCAGCATGTGCACGTTACCCCGCCGAACAGCAATGCTAGAACGACGTGTTTGATAAATCCCGTTCATTTGAACTGGTACTGAGTGTGGCATTTCGCATGTAGGGTAAAATGTCATTGGGAGCGTGTTTTCTGTCCAGGTGGCTGAAGTTTGTGTGCCCCGAAAACATTCTGGTTTCTGTCGCGGCTTTGTTCGGCTCTTTCACGCCGGCGTTCGGGCCAAAGGGAGCGGCGGCCGGCTGGCGGGGTTGCGTGGCTGACGAGGCTGGCGGCGTGCCGCGCCACGCGTCACGGCCGTGCCGCCCGCCCGGCCGGCTGTACGGCCGCCCCGACAAGCGCGGCCCGGATTCATGCGGCGCGCCATTAAGCGCGCCACGTGTCGCAGCATTGATGAATGGAGCGGCGGTGGCGCGGCGGAAGCTCGTGTGGCGGCATGACGGGCGCCGATGACAATCGAGAAACGGCCCTGCTCGAGCCGCCAATGACGACGGTGCCGTGACGGGAGGCCGGGCGTAATGGTGTTGGTCACAGATGGGGCCAACATTTTGCCGTGACTAAGTTGGTGGCCGCGTGCTATGTGGGGAATTGCCGCCGCACTTAGCAAGCGGGCTGAGCGGTTCGGCGGGGCGCGAGGGAGGTCTCCGTCTGCTCAGGGTGGTGGCCGGGACGGTGGTGGGTCGCTCTCTTGCCCGCTCTTGAGAGGCCCTCTCATCATCACGTCGTCAGTCCCCGGCGGTCAGCGTCGGAGTCGAAGGCCATCGTCATCGTTATGTTAGCATTGTCACCACAGGGCTGTTTGCATTGTCATCGCGGATTTGTTTGCGCTCCGCCCGTCCCCTCCCCTCCCCCCCTCCCCTCCCCATGGGGTGCGTACATCCTGCGTCGTTAGTCCGGCGTCAGTAGCTGGTGTGCCAGTCGATCAGCTGTTGCCCCGTCGGCTCTGCCCCGTGGTCTCCAGCCATGCTCACAACGGGTCGATGGTTGGCCCCAGACTGGAGTCAGTTGGAACGGTAGCGTGCCGTGCCAGCGTTGCGTAGTGCAATGAGCACGCCACAACCGTAGAGCCAGACCGCCGTCCGTGGTGTGCCCCCCCCTCCCCCTCCCCCTCCCCCAGCGGTCGTATTCATTTGATCGTCCCCGTCCGGCACCGCTCTTGCACCACGAGGGGATTGTTTGCCCTGTGGCCTTCGCACAGGTGCGCTGCTATCTGGCTAATGAGTGGTATGAATCCACACTGCTATTTGCCTGACAGCTATGCAGACAGTGACCTTTGCTGATATGGCACGTGTCAGCGATAGCGAACTTCGTTGCGTGCGATATGATCTTTGCGTGTGTTTTCGAATGTGTCGAGCGGCACGCGTGTCCGAGACGCCTGTTGGAAGTGCGTATCTGTAGTGAGACGCCAAGGACATCGTGCGCTGGTCATTTGTCCGTGTGCGGTCGCGTGTTTGCACGCTCCACGGGCGACACACCAGCGGCGTCGCTGGTGTTGCGGTCAGCACCAGGCAGCCGCCGCCGAGTCTGACGGCGACCTGCGTCTGCAGGGCAAGGACCTGTTCATGGACCTGGACGAGGGCTCGCTGAAGCTGTTGGACCCCGAGAGTCTGACGCTGCTCAACACGCAGCCCATCCACACCATCCGCGTCTGGGGCGTCGGCCGCGACAACGGAAAGTGAGTGGTCCCGCGCGGCGTACTGAACGGCTGCCGTCGGCCGACTGCGGCGGCAGCGCGCCGTTGGATCTGACCATGGCAGCAGTGCCGTTGGATCTGACCACGGCGTATATCGGAGGTCGTGTCCATCGGTGGCCGAGTGTTTGCGTGCGTACGTGTGTGTGGGGGGGGGGGGAGGGGGCGTCACTCGCGGAACAGTGCGTTGTCTTATGAGTGGTCACGACCGCCGGCTGCGCGGCCGACCCGTGCCGCCGGTCGGGGCTGTCTAATTGACCTGTCGGCGGGGCGTGAGCGGGTCGGCGGCGGCGGCCGGCGGTGACGCGGCACCGTGGGGCGCGCGCTCCCACGGTCGGCCGGCCGCCGAGCCCTCTCCCGAGCCCGGCCGCCGCCGCGGTCGGACGCCGTCCGCGGCGCCACCGCCGATCACTAACGAGCCCGCTGTCCCACCCGCTGCCGACCGACAGAGAAAGGTAACGGCGAGCGCGCGCGCCGGCCGCCGGTGCGGTCGGGCGTCCCCGGCCGCCGAGGCTGCCCAGCATGTCGCATGTGGGCTGCCGACGGCGCCGACGGCCTGACGCATTGCGAAGCGTCGCGGTCTGCCGCCGAGCCGACGTGCCTGGCTGTTGTGACACCGGCCGGTGGCATCTGTGTTTGCGTCAGCCGCGCTGGCATGCGCGCGGCGGCCACTCGTTAGTTGGGGCTCTGGTCCTGTGATGACGGGCGTCCGAGGCGAGCAGGGGCCGCTGCACGCCTCACGCTCGGTAAGCCGCACCGCCGGCGGCCGTCGCCGCTGCACGCTGAGAGGCCAACACACAGGGCGTCTTTCTGACGGTGCGGTGGCTGTATTTTTGGTTTTTGATACGTTCCATGGGAACGGCTCATCAGCGAGATCCGGGCAATGTCCGGGGACGGTGAAGCTGGCCGCGGCGCCTGGGAACTCAGCAGCGCCGACGCATTGCTGCACGCCTCATCCTGCAGCTTTGCGGTCCTAGCGCCGATTAGACCCGTGATAAATGCTGTCATTATCACTTGTCATGTAGTGAATTCCTGTAAGAGCACCGGGGACATGTTTGTTGCAGCTGGTGTTTTAACTGTTTTTCTTCTTTTACCCCAACCGTGAAGGTAGGATTCGCGACGCGTTTCGCCGGGCGGCCGCTGTCGTGTTGCGCGGCGGCGCGCCGGTGTCGGGCTCTCAAACTTCCCGGACGTTCGCCAATAAATTGCTCCAGACGTGTCATGGTCAGGGCCAGGATCTGCCCGGCTTGTGCCAGGGTCACCGACATACGCGCCAGCTTTCTCACGGGGCATCATGTGCACGTGGGCCGCCTTCCTCATATTAGCCACGCATGAGAGTTTGTTATGGTTCGTGCACCGTGTTCTGTGCGCCATTAAAGCGCAAATTGCTTGCATTTACTTTTATTAAATTCCGCGCAGGTGTGATCCTGTGGAATGTACGCCGCCGTCCCACGCTAATCCTGCTCACGGATTTGTTTCTAGAAATTTGATGTGCCTTCAGAGAGGGCTTTGGAATCAGGCACATTGCGAAACATAGCTTGTTGTGCGTGTCTGCCGCACCACCCAGGCAGCGGTCAGTCAAAATCCTCCAGGAAACGTTTCCATAGTGACTAAGATGTCTTCGCGAAAGCCCGTAAAGATTCCGAAACCAAAAGCAGCGAAAAGTTTAGTCTATCCATGCATGGAGATCCAACAATGCACAAATGTGAAAGACTGCGGACCTAAAATTTGCTACTACTACACTCTTGCTACTCTTACTCTCAACAGAAAACAGCATGAGCGTGGGTTGCATGACGAACCCCGAATTTCGGCCCCACGGTAATCATTCGACCAGTTCTTCACCAGCCCAGCGGCTGAGACGGCATGTGGCGTCCTCGTCCCAACTCCTCATGTGTATAGAATGCCACCTCTAGCGGAAGCAGTATGGCCGGCACGTCACACGCATGTGTAGCCAGCGGCGGCGCACCGTTTGACCCGTGTCCGGCGGCGGCGGCGACGGGGCGGACCTGTCGCTGCGCCCGGCCGCCGCCGCCGGCGACACCGCGCCGCCAGTCTCCCATGACGCGCCGCGTTTCGTACATGTTTATTACCCGGCGAACTGGAGCGGCCGGGCCGGCGGCGGCGCCACGGGTCGAGAGGTCAAGGCGTCGCGACACGGTCCGCCTACGTCTCGGCCGGCCGTCGTTAGCATCACAATGTTGCGCCGCCGGGGCGGGCGGGGGTGGCGCCGACCGGCCGGTGCTGGCGGCTCGGCCGCGCCGTCACCATGGCGGTCCGGTGCTGGGGAGGGGCCGGCCGGCTGGTGCTGGCGGCTCGGTCGCGCCGTCACCATGGCGGTCCGGTGCTGGGAAGAGACCGACATCAGCCGGTGCCGCTCTGCGCCGCTGGCGGCCGTCCGCACTACGCGCCGCCGTCATACCTCGGACTCTGTTGCAGATGCTCCAGTAAACTGGGACGTAGTGCGTGCTGTTTGGTTTTTCAGCAGCCCATTGCGGACCTTACCTGACATCTGGTTACATTAGGGTGAAGCATACAGGACTTCAGCTGCTCGGAGCCGCTTCCTCCACACGTTAATACCGTTGTCAATCCCATGAGAATGGGCCGTGGGAACCGCCCACGGTAGTTTGGAAGATGGCCCGTTTATTAAATTTTTGACACGTTGTGACGATGTCATTACGGCTCATGCTTCAGGTGAAACGAAATACATGTCTGAATCATATAGACATTTGAGTAATAATATTCCACTTACATTTGGAAAACTCCAAGTTCCAAAAAAGAACTCCCTATCCCGCCAAATCGCGCCGTCAGAATGAATGGCTCGGAGTTTGGATGGCGTCGTATAATGCTCACAATGGCCGGTTTTATGATTTATCCCCGCCATGCATGCATGCCGGCGCCCCATTAAAAGTTTTATAGCGCCGCCCGGGTCGTGTCTTGGCTGGGCGGGAGGCCGCGATCCAGGAGCTGTGGGCACCCTCTGACACTGGCGGTGGCATGGCGGAGCTGTTATCATTCCCAGCGCCGGCACTCGGTGGGCATGCAGTAGCGGCCTCCCGGGTCGGCGCTGGCCCACGGAATGCGCTCTCCGGCTCGGCAAAGGGCGACTTTGACGGGCCGTATTCCTGATTTGGCTGAGCTTGATTCGTGCACGCCGTGTTCTGATGCCTTGCTGTGGCGCGAGCGACCGATTACCACTGACTCTGTCTCGACTGTGACGTTCCTCTCAATCTCCTCCGTGCTCCGACTGTAGCGCCCCCCCCCCCCTCCGATGATGTGCGTGGCCTGACGGACCGCGTCGTCGCAGGGACTTCGCGTACGTGGCGCGTGACCGTGTGACCCGCCAGCACATGTGCCACGTGTTCCGGTGCGACACGCCGGCGCGGGTCATTTCCAACACGCTGCGCGACATCTGCAAGAAGATCATGATCGAGCGGAGCCTGGCGCAGGGCGCCGGCCGACTCACCGAGCCGGGTACGCGCAGCCCTGAGCGGCTCTTGGCTCGGGGCAGGCCCCGGCGGCGCAGCCGGCAGGTGGCCAGCACTTAACAGCAGCCGCCTGACGGGACGCGCATTAAGCAGCGCATCATCGCAACTGTATCGTTTAGATTGCCCTCCGCTCATCAGAAATGGCCCGAGGCCTTCGATGTGCACGGCGGTGTGGGCGCTAATCAGTATGCAGATGTTGTTTGTGGCCGTATCGGTCTAGTTTATATTGTGCAGGCTGCTTGTTTCCGTATGCAGACGTCAGCTGAGACATCCAGCAGTGGACGTCTGATCATTTCCTCCCGCGTTATCCGTCTGCTCACGCGCGCCGCGCCGCCAGCGAGCCCCTGGCGTACTGAACTTGCCGGCGCCGTATCGACGGCGGTGGGTGACGGTGACTGTCCTGGCAGGCGTGGGCGGCCCGGCCGGCCGGCTGGCCAGACCCACATCGCTGGCCGTCGACCAGAGGAGGGCGCTGAAGGCTCCGCAGCCGCCCCTGACGCGTGAGTCCGATCGGCCTGGTAGACTCGGCGACGGTGTCCGCCCGGCGGGCACCGACTTGTGACGACTGTTGAGCTGAGGTGTTTTATTTCATCGCTTGAAGCAAGGAGGTGTCCGCAAGACCTGTCACTTTTTCCCTCTATTTTTTTGCACCGCTTCCGCCCCCTTTTCACGCCAGCGACAAAAACTCTTATAACCATTAACATTGGTTCCCGCCAGTGCAGATTAAAGTCCAGCGTGTTCCGATCCCTGTCAATCAGTGCTTTCCGCCGGACGGTGATCTGTTTTTACTGGGATAATATCGCCGTGCGTTTCTGACTAATTAAGGCCTTTAGTCGTGTCACAAGTGGCGCCAGATGGCGCCGGCACGTCTGACGTCGGCGGTGTCTGGCCGGTGCGTGACCGCTGCCGTTGGCGCCGCCAGTGGGCAGCCAGAGCTTTCCCACGCCCATGGAGGAGCCCAAGCGGACGCTGCAGGCTCTCTACATGGGCTGCACGCCGGTGTCCAAGCCCAGCGGCATCGACGTCCTGAACCAGGCGCTGTACAAGCTGTGCAGCCAGGCGGCGCCGACCGAGTGGCGCCCGGTCAGCGTCTCCGTCGCGCCGTCCACCGTCACCGTCACGGACGCTGAGGTGGGCTCGGGCTGTGGACGCGCACGGCAGCGGGGACAGAGCGGTCACGCGCGGAGGCCGGGAGCGTCTCGAGGTCACGCGTCGGCCTGTAGAGACTTGCATGGGGCCATGCTGTTTTGCAGCTGATGGTCGACGGCGGTGCCAAGAAATGGTGTGGCGTTCATGCAGAACATGAATTTCACAGTTCGCATAGTGAGGAACGGAGAGCTCCAGAAATAATTGGATCGCTGAACACTGCCTGAATGCATGCACCTTGACAAGACCGAAAACAATCGGAGGACCTCTGCATTGTGCCACGTTTGAGGCTTAGGATGCGTGCGATATCACTAAGCGGTTGCTTTGCCGCTATAGCCACGTCTGTCTATGTTGATGGCTGGATGTGCGTACTGACGAGGCTGGTACGGTCGTGTCTACGCAGACGGAGGAGCAGGTGGTGGAGTGTCGCGTGCGCTTCCTCTCGTTCCTTGGCATCGGTCGCGAGGTGCAGCAGTGCGGCATCATCGTGCACACCTCGCAGGACGTGTTCATCGCGCACGGCTTCTCCTGTCCCACCTCGGCCGGCCCGCTCTGCAAGACCATCGAGGCGGCCTGCAAGGTGAGCACCGGCCGCGCCTTGTCCTGATCCGCCCTCGGAGGAGGTGTCACATCGGCCGCACCTTGTCCTGATCCGCCCTCGGAGGAGGTGTCACACCGGCCGCACCTTGTTATGATCCTCCCTCGGAGGAGGCGTCACATCGGTCGCACCTTGTCCTGATCCTCCCTCGGAGGAGGCGTCACACCGGCCGCACCTTGTCCTGATCCGCCCTCGGAGGAGGCGTCACACCGGCCGCACCGTGTCCTGATCCTCCCTCGGAGGAGTCATCACGCCGGCCCCCGGCTGTCCTCTTTCCTCGGAGGAGGTGTCCCACCGGCCTCAGACTGTCCTCCGGCAGAAAGAGGCGTCACACCACACCTCTCTCGTCACACACCGCACCGGGCACACAGCTGACGCCAGCCGGGCGCACATCGCACAGCCCCGGCGCAGTAGCCGGTTGTGTGGTTGTGCGTGCTGCTGGGCCCGTCGGACCGGACGGGGCCGGCTGTGCGTGCTGCTGGGCTAGTCGGACCGGACGGGCCGGCTGTGCGTGCTGCTGGGCTAGTCGGACCGGACGGGGCCGGCTGTGCGTGCTGCTGGTCTAGTCGGACCGAATGGGGCCGGTGGCGCCTGCTGTGTGGCGGGCTGTGCGTGCTGCTGGGCTAGTCGGACCGGACTGGCTGTGCGTGCTGCTGGGCCAGTCGGACCGGACGGGGCCGGCGGCGCCCGCTGTGTGGCCGGCTGTGCGTGCTGCTGGGCCAGTCACACCGGACAGGGCCGGCAGCGCCTGCTGTGTGGCCGGCTGCGCGTGGTGCTGGGCCGGTCGGACCAGACGGGGCCAGTTGTGCGTGCTTTGTGGCCAGCTGTGTTTGTGCGGCGGCGGCTGGGCTCGCGTGACGTGTCGCCGGCGCTGGAGGGCGGACTGCGGGAGGTCACTCTGGGAACCGTGCCGACTCATACGGCGGCGGCGGCGGCGGTGGACTGGTGAAGGCCGCTTACCTGCTTGGATCCCCGGGCAACAACAGCGCCACGCCTTTTAGACCTTTGGTGTTACATGTGCGGGGCAGGCCGATGGGGGCTGGGGGGCGTTGGAACTGTATAGTACTTGCGGCGGTTGCGTGCAGGTGTGTTTACCGACATTCCTGCGGCTTGCGAACTGCCGTTGCACGGTACCGGCTGATTAATTCTGCGCACGATCGACCAGCAGGGCGATATCTGATCAAACATGTCAGGACGTCAGTTTGACGAGGTTCAGCCCCATTCTGCTCTTACGATGCTGGTCCCTGTGTGCGCTGTTGCCCGCCGCAGAATCACTGAGATTGATCTCAGTTGGAGCCTTCCGCCCCGTGTCAGCTCCGTGTTTGTGTGGAGGTTATGGGGCCTGTGTGTGTGTGCTGGTTGTCGGCGGGCATGGCGTGCTGAACTGACGGTTGTCCGTGCCGCCAGCTGCGCTACCAGAAGTGTCTGGACGCGCTGCCGGGCGGCGGCGCCGGCCGCGGCGCGCCCGCCCAGTCGCGCAGCTTCGGCCAGACCCTGAAGTCGGTGATCGGCTCATTAGCCGGCCGGCGCCTGCGCGGTATGGACTCCTGAGATACGGCCTCACCTCCGCAGGTTAGCAGCCGGCAGCCACCTGGGCCAGCCGGCCAGCTCAGGTGCAGCTCAGGCCAGGCCGGCCGTTGCATGGCTACAAACAAAACACGGCGACCTTGACTCATATCAGCACAAAAAGCCAAATAGACCAAAATAATAGCACTCGATTTGGGATGGCAGTCCGTCGTGGGGTCACTAACATCGAATCGCTGTATTCATCGAACGCGCAATAATTCGCGAATGTGAGATAAATTATCTTTACATTTGACATTTCTCTAAGTTCCTAAAATATGTTTTTCACTGCAGGGAAGACATACATTTACGGGCAATATTTCGTGTCATGTTGAGAAGCGCATGAGCTAACTCGTCCTGCGGATGCCACGTGTACCGCGGACGCCACGCGGCGTGAGGAATGGAGGCGTGCTTTAGATAGAGGACCTCGCCGTGGGAGATGGCACGACCCTTGCAGCTAGGTATGACTCCTTGATGATGCCCAGCAGCGTTGATCCCGCCTCAAAGCCTTCCTCCGCTGCCAGCCAAGGATGCCAGTTCGGATAGTCAGACTGTTGGCTGCTCCCGGTTGTCTCGCACCGAGCGCAGAGTCGTGACCGACCCCTGTGTGTGAACGCTCCACCGCGGTCGGCGCTGACTTCTGCCCCTGTGGAGTGTGAGGTGATCCCCCATCGTCACCTGGTCAGCCGCCGGGCGCCGGGCGACGAGTCGGCACTGACTTCTGCCGTGTGTTTCAGTACGAACTGACGCTTCCTGTGGAGTGTGAGGTGATCCCCCACCGTCACCTGGTCAGCCGCCGGGCGCCGGGCGACGACGAGTCGGCGCCGCTCAGCCAGCAGCTGGCAGCGCTCGTCTCTCCGGACCGGGCGCCGCTGCCGGCACTGCTGGCCGGCTCGCACACCGTCTGCGCCGTCACCACCCCGCTGCGCGTGCCAGCCGGCTGGCCCGAGCCGCAGTACAGCTGGTGCCAGCCCGTCACCAGCCCCGAGGCGGCGCTGCGCCGCCTCCAGCTGGGCTGAGCGGCCGCGGCCGCCGCCCCGGGCCGCACGGCGCCGAGACAAGTGCCATGGACGCCGGCAGAGAAAGAGAGCGAGAGTGCGCGCGCGTGTGATCCGTGTGACATATCTGTGCAGCTTCTGATACCCGCCGGCCCCGCAATACACCGTCGCCCCGTGTACATAGGCCGGTATGTATATCACATTCCGTGTGTGCCCGCCCGCCGCCGCTGCCGGCCCGGCCGACCGGACCGTGTGCCGCGACCGGACCGGGCCTGGTCGGCCGCGATGTCGCTGTGTCAGTGTCGGGGCGCTCGGAGCGAGCCCCTCCCTCGCCGGTGTCCCGCACCCCGCCTCGTGCAGCTGCTGTCCGGAGCCTCTTCACCTTCGCCAGTTTTGTTCCACTCTATAGCGCGACGTCGTGCGTCTAGCCCACAAACACCTTAGCTCCAGCGCTCTGTATTGTCCTACATAATGACGCCGACTATCGGTGTTCTCGCAGCTCTTATACGGCTTCTAGAGAATGCACTACACTAGCTTTAAACATGTAACAGAGCCAATAAAATACGTTACGTTAAATACACTGTCTGTGGCGGGATTCGCGAGATCACTACACGACCGAAACGAGTCGAAAAACAAGAAATGACACGCGGACATATCAGACACCCCAACCACGGAACGCAACCGAGCGAGCGGACCCATCAGACATCCCAATCACGGAACGCAAACGAGCGACAAGAACCATCGCATTTCCGCGGGCATCGAAGGAGCGTCTATCAACGCCGCTCACTGAAACAATCGCGTGCGCGGATCTATAGAACGTCTACAGGACTTAGGAGCAATGTGTCGCTGGGGCATATCCCCGAACCTGGTTGCGTACGTCCACCGAGCATCCATTTCGGCTCGCCCAAACGCACCGATATCACCACGGCAGAGTTCGTGGACCAATGTCAACGTGCTACGACGTCGTGCGTCGGTGCCCGCACAGACCACCGCTTGTGGTAATGTCAGAACAAACTGGGCAATACTGCCCGCGAGCTCATGGAGCAGCAACCGCGCAGCTCGTCTCACCCTTACAGGTCCCGACACGCAATATCCGCGCAGCTCGTCCCAACCTTACGGGGAGACCCAACACGCAGCATCCACGCAGCTCGTACCACCCTTACAGGGCGACCCGACACGTGATATCCGCGCAGCCCGTCCCGCCTTTACAGGGAAACCCGACATGCATTTCTCGTCGCACTAAACGGCTGCCGCGATCAAGGACAACGTTCGCGACGCCATGTCAACTTAGCTACAAAGACCCACGGGATGCGGAGACACGTTGACACTTCTAAAAGGCGCCGGGCTGCCTGGCACTAGACCACCTGACTCCCACACACCAAAATAGCACGGGAAATGGAGCAGCCAGAGGCATGCAATGTGAACATGGGTGGAACTTCGTGGGTCCGAGGGGGCTGCGCCCCTCCCCGGATGTAGAACCGAGACCCATAATAACCTGCCCAACCAACGCTTAAAGTATTAGAGGGCGGCTCCTGGAGAAGAGCTGGACAACCTCTCCCTTTCAAGAATGGGTTCCCGTCCCCCAATATCTTTGTGAAGTTCCACTCTTCAATGTGGGCGACGTATATAGAAGTCGGGCAGGACGCGCCGCGGGCATGCATGACAGGCGTGGCGGGCCGCCGGTGCATGAGTGGGGGCGTGGCACGCACTGCCGCTCAGCTGGCGCTGGGGAAGGAGGCGCCGATTGACTTCATCATGCTGAAGCAGTCCTTCAGACGGCGCCGGTCGCCGATCTTCTCGAGCGTGGCGGCGGCCTCGGTCAGCATGCCGGCCCGCTCGCCCGGGCACGAGATCAGGTCCTCCGGCAGGTGTTTGCAGGCCATCATGAGCGCGATGGCGTGCTCCCGCTCGCCCACGTACTGGTGCGGCTGCTTCTCGGAGCCTGGCGGCGCACGGAACCTCGGTCAGGCCCGCCGACAAGCCGCAGCCACGCAGCGCACAGAGCGGGGAAATCACACGCAGACCGGGGCACACACGCATACACAGCGCACCGGCCGGGGCCAGCACCCGCAGACTTGGGCAAACGCACGCATACACAGCACACAGGCCGGGGCCACCACACGCAGACCTGGACAAACATACGCGCACACAACACACAGACCGGGGCGACCAGACGCAGACCGCGACAAGCACACGCATACAGACCGGGACAAACACGCGCATACACAGCACACAGACCAGGGCAATCACACGCATACACAGCACACAGACCGGGGCAATCACACGCATACACAGCACACAGACCGGGGCAATCACACGCATACACAGCACACAGACCGAGGCAAAAACACGCATACACGGTACACAGACCGGGGCAAACACACGCATACACAGACAGACCGTGGCAAACATACGCATACACAGCGCACAGACCGGGGAAATCACACGCAGACTGCGACAAACGCACGCGCACACAGCACACAGACCGGAGCAAAAACACGCATACACAGCATGCCACCAGTTACCAGCGACCGTCACAGTCCCACAACTTCCGGCCGTAGGGTAGCGCAAGAGGTGGTGATCAACCGAATCCAGCCGTTCCAGTCCGCTACCGACCCGAAACTGACTCCGCAAACACAAACCCGAGGCAGATGACATACCTCAGATTCGAAACATGCTATAAATGACGGCCGTGCACTCAAAAGTCCCTTGCTCCACCAGCATGAGGCAGCCGGCGCAGTGGCCGTGCCGTGCAGCCGCCGGCGCCGCCTCTACTGACCGCAAATGACGGACGAGTAGGTGCGGCCGTTCCTGTGGCGCAGCGAGCGCTCGAGCAGTTGCTGGGTGCGGCCGGGCGCAGCGCCGGCCATCATGCGCACCGTGGCCTCGTGCAGGAACACACGACTGAGCGCCGACGGCAGCCGCACCGAGACGGCGCGCAGACAGCCCAGCGCCTGCTGAAACTCGGCCAGCTGGCGGCCGGCCGGCGGCACGCGCCGCGACTGCTCCCAGACTGCCGTGCGCGTCTGCAGCAGCAGGTCGCACACCAGCAGCTGCAGGTGCTGCAACGGAGAGAAGACCGCGCCGGCCGACGGTCAGACGGAGCAGCTGCCGGGCGAGTCGACAGCGACACATCACGTGCGGTGTTACCCAGCGCCTCGCGATCGGGCGCGCGGGATAGTCAGCTGCGAACCTGACCGGGTCAAGCGAGCGCCGGTGCAATGGCGTCACCGCCCACAACACCATGCGTGCGTCTCAAGCATACTTCCTCCGAACGTAGACGTATCGATTAGTGCAGAAAACGATGCGGACACCTGCGATCGAAAACGAAAAGCATCCGTGTCTGAACTCAAATCGCGAGCGCCAAGAAACGGGGAGCGGACGAAGTCACCCACCGGAGTGTTGCAGTGCGGATGCATTGCACACGTGACAGACGTGCAATGCAACTACAATGCACAACCCCAGGGGGCCGGTGTGGTGCGGAGGGCGAGTCTGCACGAGTCCCCGGAACCGGCGGGGCAGAGCGGGGTGGGGTGGGGCGTTACTGACCTGCGTGGCCACGCTGGTGGTGCCGCGGCAGCCGTTGTAGGTTATGCTCTCGTCGAGCAGGGCGCCGGCCACGCGGCAGGCCGGCAGCACCTGGGCCGGGCCGCCGCCGCGCGCCTGACTCCGCCACGCCTGCACGGCCACGCGGACGGCGCGCGGCAGCGGGTCCTCGGTGTCGTGCAGCGGCGCCGGCAGCGCCTCCACGCGGCCGAACACCTGGTCGGCGCGCTCGTCCTGGCCCAGCCACCATACGGCCACCAGCTCGGCGACGGCCGCCCACCAGCGAACGGCGGCGTCGTCGGCGCCGCGGCCGCCCGGCTCCGTCGTGTCCGCCACCAGCTGGCAGTAGCGCAGCGCGTCCGTCACGTGACTGCGCCGAAGCAGGTCGGCGTCGCACACGTCCACGCAGCGCGCGCCCGGCATCGTCAGCGTTTGTAGCGTCCGCTCCAGCAGGTGCTCGTGGAACAACTGGCGGCGGAACACAGGCTCTGATCAGACTGGTGCGACGGTTATTGGACATCATCGGTTTAATGACATAAAGTGAATCAAACGTATTTATGTTGTTGCCTTGCAATGCGGAGCAGCTGTCCCAATCGTTGTCAAGCGAGGGAGAAGCATGATTCTAAAACGTAGACCTGCATCCAGCATAAAGAGAATAGCAGAAATATTGTTACCTTTACACTTTGCGTTCCACTACCTTCACCATAACGCCATGACTAAATCACCTCAAGAGTACAAAAAAATCGCAAAATCGGTTGCTTCCAAGTAGGAGCCAAAAGTACGTTGACTTGTCCAGCCCGCGCCCTTCGCCACGAACATTACATACTTGCGTGACATAATGCAACATCAATTCCACTATATCACGAATTATGCATGGACTTTGTACATTAGGAACCTTAATGCGCACGTTAACCGGCCAGCCAACGACGGACCGCTGGCTGCTGTTCCAACGCACGGACAGCCGGCTGCCGTCCCAACGCACCGACCACCGGCTGCCGTCCCGACGCACGGACCGCCGGCTGCCGGCTGCCGTCCCGACGCACGGACTGCCAGCTGCCAGCCGCGGTCTTGGCTCACCTGTCGGACGTAGAGGAGTGGGCTGGCCGGCGGCGCCCACGAGAACATGCTGTTGCGCTCCTTCTCGTACGTCCACTTGTGCTCCATGAAGAAGCGCATGCCGTCGCTGGTAGCCAGCCAGCGCATGCTGACGGGCACCGTCTCCAGGCCGTGCAGACCCTTGGTCATGATAAGGCGGGCCAGCCAGCCGAGCAGGTCCGGCAGCGCCTGCTTCAGCTGGAGCGCGGCACAGGCGAATGTCTCGGCCCGGCAGCTGGGCGACAGAGCACCGCCGGCCACCTCGGCGTAGTTGAGCGCCGCCAGCGCCAGCGTGAGGCCTGGCACGCGGCCTGCCGGCCCGTGGTCCGACAGGCTCAGCTGGTGCAGCCGGTGGTAGACGCGCGCGTAGCCGGCCGACATCATGTATAGGTCCTCTCGCTCACGCCTGTGGCAGCGCACCCCGCGGCCGGTCACGGCCAAGGCACACAGCAACACTACACGATGACATCACTCCGGGCCGAGGCAAGCCCGCTGTGCTGACGTTGCGTATATCGGCTCCGTTGCACGGTGACCGACAACGCTGACTGACCAAAGCACATTCCTTTGCCGCTCCACTGCACGCCTGCACTTCACCACACCACTCGAGACCCAAACAAGCTGGCATTGTTCATCTATCGGCGTGGCGGGGCCCGGGAAGCGGCGGCGCCTGACCGGCCAGCTGGCCCGCGCTGACCTGGACATGAGGACGCGGTGTCCGCGGCGCGCCAGCCACAGCCCGCCCGGGATGTGGTGCGACGCCTGGCGGAACACCTGCCACAGCAGCGCCACCAGCCAGTTCAGCCGCGACGTCGGCACCGGCTTGCCGATGTAGCGCAGGCTGCGCTCCAGGTGGTCGGTGGCCTCGGATATCCGACCCTGGCGGCCGTCCAGTGGCACGTCAGGCTCCGCAAGCCCATCGAAAGCTGCGCGGAACGTTCACGCTACCAGGCAATGATAGAGGGCGGAACAGTGCGAGAGCAGGCGCGCTATTGAAACACGGGGACGTGGGGCGTCACACAGAACGGCATGCGCCACGACGACACCCAGTGCGGCTTCCGTGACACAATCGATCTCCTCTTTACTCTCCAAAGAGCAGGTGCTCGTTGGATTCAGAGCTCCCAGTCGGATTGCAACTGGCGGGAAGCTGTCACAATGAGCATGGCATTGACTGAGGAGGCAAAACAGATCACAATAAGTTCTGTGAAAACAGGCGCGCACTGCCAACTGGCACCATGAATCAAAATTCGCACGACTAAATTTCGTGCCAATGGTCGGACCAGAAAAAACCGCCAACTCCCCACCAAGAAAGACATGAGCAGAAGTGTGCGGAGTTGAGTAAAACGAGGTTCACATACATTTCGATGATCCTTCTCTCCTTGTTCCTTCATCTTCCAAAAAGCTTGTGCAGCACTGCAGTGTAGGGCCACCTTGGGCTCGCCATAGATGAAGATGTTGAGCAAGCAGATGAGGAAAATGATGATGTTGGTCACCCACACGGTGAACGGCGAGAAGAGCACGCTCCACCAAGAACTGGCCTCTGGAAACGGCCAGCGGTCTCACGCACTCGGAAGGTGGGGGGCAGGACAATACGGGTCTAAGCTTTAGCGACACAGCAGAGTGAAATATTCGAGACAAATACAGGAATTTATGAATAAAACCAATAGTAAGCATCACCTCAACATTACGCCAGGTGCGAAAACCATCGGAGTGTGCATCTCCTGCCTCATCTCACACGGGACACACGATGCCCACAGAACAGCATCACTAAACAACGCGCATTAAAGCGATGAAAGCAGAAAGCTAACCACCACGGGTGGATGTCCGACGCTGCCTGGTGCCTGACTGGCCGCCGGCCGGCGACGGGCCGGCCACGCACCTGGTTCGGCCGAGAGCATGGTGCGGCCGGCGACGGGCGCGTCCAGTGTGCCCGGCACGAGCGTGTCCCGGCCCCACTCCGTCACCTGGCGCACCGGGTTGAACGCCAGGAAGGCGAGCAGGAACATGCAGAGCGTCATGCGCGTGCGGTCCGACAGACCCGGCGGGCTGGGCAGGCCGAACTCGAACGACTGGCGCTGCGGCAGAACGGAGACCGGCGGCGCCGTCAGAGGCGCCGCTCACACGGCAGGCCGGCGACGCTCGCCCACAGATCACCAGCCCACCGCACGCTCAACGCGCCAGGGTGGAGAGAGCGCAGGAGCGTGCGTGCAAATGGTCGGATCAGTCACTGGAGGCGGCATTTTCGTTCAGAACACAGCACGCACTGAGTTCATGGAAAGCCCACCTCTCATTCGCCCGCATCCATCCTGTGATATTGCTCACCATCAGTGAGAGGTCAGTTGAAACATGACGCCAGAGACGAATCATATCGACACCAGGGACAAGTCTGATGATGAAATGTGTTGGCCAGACCACCCGTGGACAGTGTTACGGGCATACAGGCACATTGAGCACGACTGGACACCGCTGATACAACTTGAGGAACAGGGTCTCCGAAACGTCCGTATGAATCTTCGACGACCGTATGCACGCCGGACAATAAGAATGCACTAAGGTGGCGGCTGCATGACTGTGGCGCGCCAACAGGCACACATAACGACAGCAGGCTGATGGGGGGGGGGGGGGGGGGGGCAGCGCCACCACTGCCAACGCGCCTGAACAGTCACACAAGCTCACCTCGTAGTCGGCGGTCGGCGGCGGCGGGGAAGCGACGGCCGTCTGCGGCGGCGGCGGCGGTGGCGGTGAGCCCGGCGAGCCGGTCGGCTCCGAGTGTGCGCCCTCATCCGGACTGGATGGGCCAGAGTCCGTGTGTGGCGGGCTGCTCCACACGGACGGCCGCAGCAGGTCCTCCAACCGCGCCGTCGACGGATCCAGCGGCTTGCGCAGCAGGCGCAGCTCCTCGCGGAACCGCTGGTTCTGGTGCCTCAAGAAGCGGATGTAGTCGATGGCCTTCTTCAGGATCGCGGACTTGGTCATCTGAAATGGAGCCCCAATGGTGAATACATTCTCACACAAACCGTCTCGCCGATTTAAAAGGCAATGCATGGGTGACGAGAAAAAAACCCAACAACCCTGGTTTACCATAAATATGTCCCATTAACAACTCCAAACAATACCACGACTAGCAGCACGTCTAAACGTAGGAAGACAGGCCGTGAACATATCAGCAAAAGATGATGGTCCCTACATCTCACCTTGGAGTCACTTTCGGGCCCACACACCAGCATGCGCATGTCCTGGATTTTGTCGTTGATGCTAGTGCGGTAGCGTTTCTCGATGGCGTTGTGCGAGCTCTTGCGCGGCGGCTCCTCGGGGCTGCTCTGGCCGCCCGACGAGCCGTAAGACCGGCTGCCGGAGGAGGGCGACAGCTTGCTGATGGGCAGCCGGTCGGCATCGACCAGGAGCGGGAAGCTGGCCGTGACCAGGGTCGGCACGGTGACCGGGCCGCTGGCCAGCACCTGCGACGACACCGTGGTGTAGATCACCGGCGAGCCCGACACCGTCGTCTGCCGACAGAGTGCGGTCAGCCGGTCAGCGGCGGCACAGCGCGTCAACGCTCCATTACGCCGTGGCAGGTATGAAAAGAACTCAGATCAGCTGCTGACAGGCCAGGTGCATCGGGTCCCATGTCCGGGTGCAGCGCGCTGCCTGCGCCGTAACTCACCAGCGCGTGCTGCTCGGGCTTAACGAGGCGGCCCGGCTGGGTGACGGGCGTCGCCACCGACCCGTTGATGACGTACGCCTGGCCGTCGAAGACGACAGGCGCCTGGCGGCCGTCGGTGGCGCCCAGCACCACCGACTGCAGCTGCGGCACCGGCTGCGGCACCGGCTGCGGCCGCACCGGCTGCACCGGACGCGCCAGCACGGCCACGGCGGCCGGCGGCTTTTGGCGGGCCGGCGAGACGGCCGCCGGCGGCGGCGGCGGGGAGCCGAGCGCCGGCGCTGGCGGCGGGGAGCCGAGCACCGGCGCCGGCTCCTGCTTCACCGGGCCGGCTTCGGCCGGCGTCCAGTCGGGCCCGGCCGCGGCCGGCGCTGGCGGCGTCAGGTCCATGGCCGACCCGTCCAGCCCATCCAGCAGAGACGACTCATCGCCTAAGTTGTTGATGATGTCTGCAGATGATGAGGGATTTAATGTCAAAAATAGTCCTTCGACATGTGTTCACTTTCATTAATAGGATACAAATTTGGAAAATCATTGTTCACAGAAATACATCACAGTCAACTCAACCTTTGCACTCTTAGTCTAGGTCCAGTCTTGGTCTAGGTTGGTCTTAGTCCAGGTCTTACTTTGTCAGAACTGCCCTAATTTCATTTATGTTATTACAACATGTGTGCCATAGTTTCTCAGCTACTAACAGTACACTTTCTATCTGGCACGTCACAAGTAAGATATACTTACCCTCAAGAGTGAGATTGAAGTTCTGGCTGCACCAGTCATGAATATCCTCTGATGCCATACCAGTAGACCTTTTAATGTAACAAGCTGTTGTCAACCTGACCTTGCCCCAGATTCACCTGCAAGAATACTAGTCATTCAATACCAATAATGGTCAGTTATCAACAGTTCTACAGTGAGATAAACCTCACTATTCCGAAATATATACAAGTATGTTATAGGCCAATGGTGTTTCCACCTTTCATAGCAGGGTACCAGTTGTGAAGTGGTTAACTTGTGCATCCGAGAAATCACAAATATAAGGTCTGACTCCCGGCATCACACACCCAGGGGCAGATCTAGCCTGGAGTTTGGGTGGGGGGCAACCGTTTGTCACCAGCTGGCTGGTGTGGGATCCGAGGTCCACTGCATGGTGCATCTCGCGAGTACCTAGTAGGGACAACATTCAAAACCGAAAAAAGCACCAAAATCCCTTTGAATCTTCAACAGAAGTTAGAACAAAACAGTTAAACAGTTAATGTTAAAACAGATGGTAAGTAGACAAAACTTCTATGAAGTTCTGGTAATGTTTTGGGGGGCCAAAACATACTCTCAAGAGTTTTTTTGGGAGGGCAGTGGCCCCCAGGATCCACCTATGTACACACCCCTCCTGCTGGGGTTACAAACAGGCAATGCCATATGGCCTCAGCAGCTGAGCATATCATGAAGCCCCAATGATGATGACAACCTCCCAGGAAACCAATGGTTTGGCCAAACCATTGGAGAATTGATTCAATGCAAGGAAATGGTATCAGATGAAAGCATAATTCATGGTACCAATAAGTCAAAAGATTATGACTCCATTCTGCATGCATTTCATTAAAAAAAACAAGCTTCCAGTAACTCCAGGTTTAAAACGAACTAAACAGGATTCATGTGTGATGTATGGTACATATTCAAGGAATGGTTTCACCACTGGGGTGGCCATCACAGACACATGATGATATGGCATATGTATGTGTATGTATGTACATATGTATGTATGTATGTATGCATGTATAATATATATATATATATATATATATATATATATGTGTATATAGATCCCGTTTTTTAAGCAGAAAGCACAGGCAGCAATATCAGAAAACAGTAACACCATATCAACTTTTTTCAGCTAACAATAATTACCTCACCATGAAAGGTTGGAGGAACGCATCTTTAACATCCGTCTTTCAAATCATTCGTGACGTCATTGGCGGATCAACCAAATGGGTCACGCGACTGTCCAAACTCGTTCTGAACCTAATGCGTCCAAGGCGGCCGTCGTCTGGGCATTCACCGTTGATTGGTCGAACGGGTGACCATCTACCGCGTCCATATAAATCGGTTGGAGCGACAGTCGGACAGAGGCCGACCAGCACTCCCGCCCTCGCCACGCCAGGAACTGTTGTTTTTCTCAGCGTGTCACAGTGCTAATTGAGCGAACGCTGACGGCCGTCTACCATTCTTACCTCTTTTAACCTAACAAAAATTAACATTGCCTGGCGCGTCATGGACAACCCCAGCAAGCATGGCAAAATTTAGCTTCAAGGAGCACAGGGTAATAGTACAAGAACGGCGATAAATGCATATTTGTAGGAGCAGATATCGGAACAGGTTTAGAAATGTACGTATGGGCAGGCAGGGGCGACGCCACAGGGGGGGGGGGGGGGGGGGGGGGAGGAAGCAATGGGTTTCTCTCTATCGTCGGATAGGGGGGAGGGGGCAGTCCCCTCCTACCATAACAACCTTTTTGCAGGAAAAAACCTCACACAGATCTTAACTTAAGGATGTATAGATTGCCTAGGACCTTAATTAACTAAATATTCACAATGCTCATCATAATGAAGCTACCTCACACAGACAGGATTGCACTGCTACAAAGTTAGTATGATGCTACTACGAACCTAAATTGTGTAAACTAATCCAACTGCCAGGAATCCAATTGTGCCATTTATATTTTCCACGATGAGATACCTTCTTGAAACACAAGAATGCACAGATTGACAAATATATGGGTGATTTTGCACATACTTTTTTATCTAGACAATAATGCAAGTCAAAAGCCCAGGAACTCGAACACTGCATAAAAAGCTCATCAATACTGGATCAACGGTCACTTTTAATGCAACACATAAGAAAGGGATTCTGCCCCAATATAGCAACACACACACACACACACACACATATATATATATATATATATATATATATATATATATATATATATATATATATATGCACACATATGCCTTGCCAACATGTCATGTCACAAAGGTCTTAAACAGTGCAAATTTATGTGGTTACTTCAAAAATCGCCTATGACTTGGAATTTGAGGGAAAATGGGCTGTATAACCATGCAGTTGAGACACCCTAGTCAACATAACTAACCAACCAGACAAAATAGACCAACATTGGCTATCTGCCTTAAACCATTTAAAATTCTTAGATATGATGGCGACTAAGGTGGAACAGAAACGGGAAAGCGCAGTAACTGGTATATTTTGCTAATTGTGATGCAGCATGATGAAGTTAACATCATGTTAACTTAAGCATATCACTCCGTTTCAGGACCCTGTAACTCAGAACAAGGCATATCTTACAGTTACAACGCTTCCCGCAGGTGTCGCGAACTGTTCCATGCGGTGGGTGTCCTCTACTTAATGCACTAAATGACCTTTAAAATGCCTATCTTGGTTCAAAACCCCATACAAATCTGGGCAACTCCCTTTCAGTATCCTGTCTTCAGCCACAATATTTGCATGGAATACACAGCATTATTTTCTAACATGTTGACAAATTGATGAAAAGCATGTCTCCACAAAGACTGCATCAGCATGGTAGCTAATGAAGTCATATAAATTTGGATCAGTGGATCAGTAAAAAAAGAATAGACTGTTTGAGAGACTCAATTGCCCAGCTGTGGAACATCCAACAAGAAATCTAGACAAATTCTGAAACATGTGAATGTGAAAAACCTCAATCAGCATAACCAATTTTATCTGCCAGACCAGGTCAACACCACCAGCTCTTCAGCCAGATCCCCCCTCACAAATATTACCTCCTAAACCAGCACACCCACTGCCAAAACAGGGACCTTTTAGTTTGGAACAGGACCTCCATAGCCAGCAAATGAGCCTCTTTAGCATAATGCCATGCTTCATCTAAATCATTGACTATCTGATCTATACAGGCAGCCTCAGGACCAAGAAACAGGTTTCTTGATCTAGTGAACGGTCTTCCAAGCATAATTCATCATGGTCTCGGTTTTCTTCAAGTACTTCACCTTTTTTAGAAGAAGAAAAATCTCCACCGCGAGCGTTTTACGCGCAGTGCGGCACGGGCTCAACCAGCTCGCGTTAGCAGGATTGCCCAACTTTGAAATCATACAATCCAAACGACATCTTTAGCACCAAAAGTAATGAGCAGGCAATTAACACCATTCACTACGTCGTTTCGACCACCGCTACTCACAATGCTCGCATGATTGCCTATCATCTTCAAGAAATAACCATCTGATAATATAATAATTTCGGCCACAAACAGGTCATATGATTTTTAACACGCAGACAGCCGACGATTTATAGCATGTACTAAAAGGACAACATAAGCACCAAATTACGTACATTCGAGCAATCAAGAAAATTATCCCAGTTCTTCACATTCGTGTCTCGAGTTGATGTTTCCAAACAGACAGCACAGAGAAAACCCCAACAATGTCGGCGGAAATGAAGCATTTCCGGCATTCTTAAAAAACGGACCAAGCCACGGGAACCAAACACCGAAGCCAAGCCAACGTTTTCGGTGCGGTACATTGACGTCTATTAGCGCAGTGCATCTCATACACGAGTCCGGATAATGTGATTCACACTTATTAGGACCAAACACATCGTGACGACATTGTCGCTTAAACTACAACACTTGGGTTCAATTAATATGACTACTCCGCTGCCGTGACATGCTGCAATCATGTGCAGAGGGACTGTCGTAGTACCCTCTTAAAGTAGTGCACCTCCTGTACAATTCCAACGAGCAAGGCTTGAAATCGCTCTGACATCTAGAGACATACTCTGCCGAGATCATATGCCAACAGCCACCCTAAGGAAACGGATCAAGCCTCGGGAAACGAAGACTGAAGCAAGGCCAGCGCTTTCGGTACGGTACATATACGTCTGTTAGCGTAGTGCACCTCACACACGAGTCCGGATAATGCAATTCACACCTTTAGAACTGAACACGTCGTGCTGACAATGTCGATGGAACTGCAAGACTTCGGTCCGATGAATAAGACTCATGCATTGCCGTGAGATGCTGCAATCATGTCGTGCAGAGGGACTGTCGTAGCACCCTCTTAAAGTAGTGCACCTCTTGCACAATTCCAACGAGCAAGGCTTGAAATCGCTCTGACATCAAGAGACATACTCTGCCGAGATATTATGCCAACAGCCACCCTACGGAAACGGATCACGCCCCGGGAAATGAGGACTGAAGCAAGGCCAGCGTTTTCGGTACGGTACATATACGTCTATTAGCGTAGTGCACCTTATACACGAGTCCGGATCATGCGATTCACACTTATTAGGACCAAACACATCTTGCTGACGATGTCGGTGGATATGCCAGACCACGGTCCGATGAATAAGACTCATGCATTGCCGTCAGATGTTGCCATCATTGGCGGACAGACTGCAGTAGCACCCTCTTCAAGTAGTACACCTCTTGTATAATTCCAATTGGCGAGACCTAAAAACCACTCTGACATCCAAAGACGTACTCTGCCGAGATAATATGCCAACAGCCACCCTAAGGAAACGGACCAAGCCCAGGGAAACGAAGACTGAAGCAAGGCCAGCGTTTTTGGTACGGTACATATACGTCTGTTAGCGTAGTGCACCTCATACACGAGTCCGGATCATGCGATTCACACTTATTAGGACCAAACACATCTTGCTGATGATGTCGGTGGATATGCAAGACTTCGGTCCGATGAATAAGACTCATGCATTGCCGTCAGACGTTGCCATCATTGGCGGACGGACTGCAGTAGCACCCTCTTCAAGTAGTACACCTCTTGTATAATTCCAATTGGCGAGACCTAGAAACCACTCTGACATCCAAAGACGTACTCTGCCGAGATAATATGCCAACAGCCACGCTAAGCAAACGGACCAAGCCCCGGGAAACGAAGACTGAAGCAGGGCCAGCGTTTTCGGTACGGTACATATACGTCTGTTAGCGTAGTGCACCTCACACGAGTCCGGATCATGCGATTCACACTTATTAGGACTAAACACATCTTGCTGACGATAGTATAAGGTACGCTGCGCTTATAAATATATATGTACCGTACCGAAAACGTTGGCCTCGCTTCGGTCTTCGGTTTCCGGGGCTTGGTCCGTTCTCTTAGAATTGCTGTTGACACGTTATTTCGGTACAGTGTGTCTTTGGATGACAAAGCCGTTCTTAGGTCTCGCCAACGAATTATGCAAGAGGCGCACTACTTTAAGAAGGTGCTACTACAGTCTGTCCGCACATGATGGTGACATCCCACGACAGTGCATGAGTCTTATTCATTGAATCAAACCATTGCAGCTCAGCCGACATTGTCGGCACAATGTGTTTATTTCTACTTAGTGTGAATCGCGTTGTAAGGGCTCTTGTTTCAGGTGCACCGCACGACTAAACGTATATGTACCGTACCTAAACCGTTGCCTTTGTTTCGGTCCTCGGTTCCCGGGGCTTGGCTTTGTTCCTCAGGGTTCGTGTCGGGATGTTATCTCGGCGGGGTGTGTCTTTGCCTTTCAGAGTGGTTTTTAGGTCTCGCCAATCGGAATTATACAAGAGGTGTACTACTTTAAGAGGGTGCTACTACAGCCTGTCCGCACATGGTGGCAGCATCTCACGGCAATGCATCAGTCTTATTCATCGGACCGAAGTCTCGCAGTTCCACCGTCATTGTCAGCACGATGTGTTTAATTTCCATAAGTGTGAATCGCCTGATCCGGACTCGTGCATGAGGTGCACTGCGCTAATAGACGCATATGTGCCGTACCGAAAACGCTGGCCTAGCTTCAGTCTTCGGTTCCAAGGCTTGGTCCGTATCCTTAGGATTTTTATTGGCATCTTATCTCGGTAGAGAATGTCTTTGGATGCCAGAGCGGTTTTTAGGTCCCGCCAATTGGAATTATACCAGAGGTGTACTACTTGAAGAGGGTGCTACTGCAGTCCGTCCGCCAATGATGGCAACATCTGACGGCAATGCATGAGTCTTATTCATCGGACCGTGGTCTGGCATATCCACCGACATCGTCAGCAAGATGTGTTTGGTCCTAGTAAGTGTGAATCGCATGATCCGGACTCGTCTGTAAGGTGCACTGCGCTAATAGACGTATATGTACCGTACCGAAACGCTGGCCTTGCTTCAGTCTTCTTTCCCGGGGCTTGATCCGTTTCCTTAGGGTGGCTGTTGGCATAATATCTCGGCAGAGTATGTCTCTGGATGTCAGAGCGATTTCAAGCCTTGCTCGTTGGAATTGTGCAAGAGGTGCACTACTTTAAGAGGGTGCTACGACAGTCCCTCTGCACGACATGATCGCAGCATCTCACGGCAATGCATGAGTCTTATTCATCGGACCGAAGTCTTGCAGTTCCATCGACATTGTCAGCACGACGTGTTCAGTTCTAAGGGTGTGAATCGCATTATCCGGACTCGTGTGTGAGGTGCACTACGCTAACAGACGTATATGTACCGTACCGAAAACGATGGCCTTGCTTCAGTCTTCGTTTCCCGAGGCTTGATCCGTTTCCATAGGGTGGCTGTTGGCATATTATCTCGGCAGAGTATGTCTCTGGATGTCAGAGCGATTTCAAGCCTTGCTCGTTGGAATTGTACAAGAGGTGCACTACTTTAAGAGGGTACTACGACAGTCCCTCTGCACGACATGATGGCAGCATGTCACGGCAAACGGAGTAGTCATATTAATTGAATCCAAGTGTTGTAGTTTAAGCGACAATGTCGTCACGATGTGTTCGGTCCTAATAAGTGTGAATCACATTATCCGGACTCGTGTATGAGATGCACTGCGCTAATAGACGTCAATGTACCGCACCGAAAACGTTGGCTTGGCTTCGGTGTTTGGTTCCCGCGGCTTGGTCGGTTTTTTAAGACTGCTGGAAATGCTTCAGTTCCGCCGACATTGTTGGGTTTTTCTCTGTGCTGTCTGTTTGGAAATATCAATTCGAGACACGAATGTGAAGAACTGGGATACTTTTCCTAATTGCTCGAATGTACGTAATTTGGTGCTTATGTTGCCCTTTTAGTACATGCTATAAATCGTCCGCTGTCTGCGTATTAAAAATCATATGACCTGTTTGTGGCCGAAATTATTGTATTATCAGATGGTTATTTCTTGAAGATGAGAGGCAATCATGCGAGCATTGTGAGTAGCAGTGGTCGAAACGACGTAGTGTATAATGTTAATTGCCTGCTCTTTATTTTTGGTGCTAAAGATGTCGTTTGGATTGTATGATTTCAAAGTTGGGCAATCCTGCTAACGCGAGCTGGTTGAGCCCGTGCCGCACTGCGCGTAAAACGCTCGCGGTGGAGATTTTTCTTCTTCTAAAAAAGGTGAAGTACTTGAAGAATACCATGGTCTCTACCTCAGTTATGGGGTCTCCTTGATCTGAATTTGGACAATCTATGTTTATGCCTTTACTTGGATGAAGAGACCCCCGAAAAATGGGTAGTGGGCAAAAATATACTCTTGCTCTCTATATCCTCTCTGAGTCCCCACCATTGATACCCACGGCAAAAACGACATGGAAGCATCACATAACTGATGTGACAAAACAGGGTAAACAACCAACTTGGTTAAAAACCTATCCTTATTTGCTCCTCACATCATTTTCAAATATCATTTTTTGCTGATGGTGCAAAACTACCCCCATAGTAGAAAAATATCACTTACCAAAGGATATCAGACCTGAGTGGGGACTGCAAATATTTCCAAAGATCTCTAGATTACATTATTTTGATTGGCCATGAGTCATTTATCAGCATATTACAATGCAACAAACAATATTTGTCAATAAACTGTTCAACAATGGTCAGCCTAGCCCCAAAATGTGTCAGTATAAATACATTGTATATACACACATATATATATATATATATATATATATATATATATATATATATATATATATATATGTATATATGTCACTACAACCATAGAAGAATGCTTCCATTGGCAAATCATTTCAGATTCCCATTATTACTTTTATCATTCAATAATACATCACATAAAATACCCTTTAAACCTTCTTATTGGGGGCTTGTCAATCAATCATTTCAAGGCTTAATGATCATGTTGTTTAGACCATGGCCACATTACGTGCTGGGGTAATTGCAGCTCAATATCCTGTACAGAGATGGAGCATCTCTTCACTTGTGTTTATGCACAGAAGAGTAGATATGACCATGCCACAACCTCCCAGCCACCCAAAACCAGGGTATTTCAGCCATGCAGGGAAAAATACCCCCCTAGTAAGAGGCTTGATCATGTCTTATTCACAGACAAGGGGCCCCAACAATCCAAGCAGGCCAGCAGACACACGGCCAGAAGCCCCGAAGGAAAAAACATAGGAACAACAATCAGGCCAAAAGACAGTGCTAACCAGGACTGGAGGCTTCACCAAGCCAGGAGGTTTCAACTTAAATTTGCTCACCCATCTGGACCCTTACAGAAGGGGATTGCTGGCCATTAGGGTTTTAGGTGCACTTTAAGGTTTTAAGACTGCACAGGTTATAACGTGCCCCAAAAAGGGAGCATAATAAAAATTTATTACGCACTGGCCATATGACCTGCTTTCATCCTCAACCGTAACAGAGCAAATAGTGCCTCGAGGCAGCAGCTCAGACTACAATCATGCCCCGAATCCCAATTAACAGGTGAGGACGCAACGCCCAAGGCTCAACCTGGGCAACCAGGCACAACACGTTTGAATTAGGCATATACCATTAGTACCCAAATAAAGCATCCACCCGCCCCCATTAGTCGAAGCTCGACATTCCCATATACAAAACTCATTCAAAACACCCTGATTCTTACCTCACAGCTAAGTCTGTCTCTTTACATCTCAACGCAACCCAATCGCCCACGCCATCACACGCGCAAGACCCCTCAACACGAAGTGAGCCACAATAATAAAATGTACATTTCGTCATCCCTCCTCCTGCGGTAGCCAAAACAAATGAATCCCATACTTCTGAAATATCGTTGTGATTCTGAAATGTTTCCATAAGGAAAAATAACCTGAAGGTCTGGCAATATTCTTTATTTTGAAAACCTTACTCAATAAAAAACTTACACAAATCCAGATCAATGCACATAGTTGTCTTGCACACATTTACGAACCTGGGTGCAGTAAGCAAAAAGTAAAAATAAAATACTACGAAAATAGATAAGCCAGCTGACTCGACTGCTCCTATTTGGAAGCACTTCCCGCGACAAGCAGCTACCCCTAACATTAGTAAGAAACCATCCGCGATGCCTGCAACCGCGCGATTCACGCCACCCGTTCCATCGCGCCCATTGGCCGAGAGCATCTCAGGCGGAGTGGCGTGATTCTACGTCACGAACTAGACGAACTTGACCTGTGCTACCAAATTTAATGCTCGGCTGCCAGACACATACATGCGCAAAAAAACACTATAGCTGGCTATGAGGTACCATATTTTTACGTAGATTACGTAAGCCGAGAGGGACATCACACTTGCATAGGGCAGTATTGCTAGCGTTATTCCTCTCAGATAACCAGAAGAACAGAGATGGATGGACTATTTAGGCCACATGCCTTCGTCAAAACGGTTATGAGAAGTAATTTCAAAGACTTGCCAATCGTGCTCGATTTCTCAAATGCAAACATATACTGTCATATCGGTCGTTTTTGCTTTGTTGTGCCTGAGATTTGCGTACTTGCAAGCGAAGTACTAACATTCTGTAGCGCACCCAATACGCCTACCCAATATCGTGCTGCCCTTCCACCAGCGCCTGTCTCTGCCTTTCTCGTTCTCTAAACCTCTTCACACCGAGCACATTGACCGTCAAATCCACCAAGCTCGAAACCTTAGGGAAAGCAAAGAGGAACCCCTCCACCCAATTCTGATGCAGCGCAGTAGAGGGGGGGGGGAGGGGGACAGAGGTAGTAAGTGTCATATGTTTTGACTCCCCTCAAAATTTTACATAATAAAGGCGCTGTAGGCTAGGGCGGCGCCACAAACTTATGATAATGTGGCGCGGTCGCAAAACCACCTCGACACTCGCATACACAAGGGATTCGAAATTGTGTGTGCAAGACAACTGAAGTTCCCGAAAACGACGATTTCCATGCAGTTTGCATATCCCTTGCGCTTAACAGGCGGCCGGTTGGCCGATTGAATATTCTTTCCTTTGGTTGGGGGTCAGTTTGACCGCTGAGGTCGCACGTCTGGAAAACTAGAGGTGCGGCGCTCGATTCCCCGTGGTGCTCGCCCTTCCTGCCTGGGTGAGAGGTAGGCGACGCCATATAGCCTCAGCAGGCTGCTGACAGCAGCTGAGTGCGTCGCAAAAGAGCCCCAATGGCACACACAACCCTGAGATTCCAGAAACCGAGAGAGCTGAATACCGTCAATTTATAGGGGGTGTGTTGACCTGTGTATGAACACACATGTGTTCAAATTTTAAGTCCACAAGTATTGTACTTCGAGTCAAATAGTGTCAAAAGAGGCCAGGCTTAAGATTGGTACCCAAAGTGCCCCCAAATCTCCTTACGCAACCACCTTGAGTCTGGATACATGTTCTAAGCAAAACGTCGCTGGTGTTCATCTTAGGTTAATGACTTTGCTGGGCCTTCAAATGTCCTGGTGACCAAAAACCTATCAGGTTGTTCCGCTTTTTTACTGTGCTCAGATGTTCAGGATGACGTTAGATGATATGTCCCTACAAACAAGGAGCAACTTAAGTCATTTTAGGTGATTGACCTGCTCTGACCTGTAAATATTCCCTTGAAGACGTCTGTTGACGGTCCCTGCTATCAAGAAATTCGAAATGACATCGGAAAGTACTCCTCAAAGCGAGCTCTCCGAAAAGCCGATTAGTTTTTACCTTGGCCTGACCCTTATGCCCGACCCTAGGTCAAATTAACGTGTTGCAATCCTGAATTCAATCGCATTGTTGCTTAAAAAATTGTTCAATCGTATTGTTGCTTAAAAAATTGTTCAATCGTATTGTTGCTTATTGTCCATCACTTTGTGTCACGGCCACGGGCCGACGTCGCGTGGCTTATGGAGACTGCAACGCCGGGCGTCAAGGCTGTTGTTTCTGTGACTTGCGAGCGCGCATGTTCAAAACCATCTTATATAGTTTTTTTCAGTAATCAATTCTGTCTGAATCTTGAACACTTTAAGACGAACACGGGCTACCCATGTTAATACAAATTTGGGACCCAATTCTATCTACAATCTACGTTCAGGGAGTCACCAATATTTCTGAAGAACATGGAAGAAAAAACATGGGACTGCAGTCTACGTGGCAATTATTTGACCACCTGTGGCAATCAGGCATGCTGTTGCGTCAATGAGGGCTCCTATGCTAATTCGGGGCCAACTGCGCGGGTCAGAAGGCCTCCCGTGTCAGGGAGGGGAACAATGTGAATGTGCTATATCCTTCTCATGGCCTCCGGATCGACCAGAAGATCCCGCCCCGCGTCGCCAGAATGACAGCCAGAAGACACTTTGCGATGGGACGAAGTGGCTCTCCAGCCCTTAACCGGAACTGGTAATGTGCCCTTGGCGTTCTACTTACGGGGCCCCTTGCCCGGAAGGAAAAAGAGCTCTCACTATTGGATAGTAGCGTTCTCATTATTGTTGAATAGAGTGGGTCGAAATGAATTAAAAAAAACAAACAAAGTTATCTCACGTTTGCTAGAGAACACTTATTTCTCAGAACGGATTTGCGAAAAAATTACATCAAAAGGTTTGAACATGACCGCCCGCAGCCGAGCAAGGACAACGATGGCTTGAGTTGCAGCTTCCATAGAACCGAACGGCGTCGGCCACTGCAATTGCCACCAGACGGCGGGTACCGTGTTAATCTGTCTTCTGGACAGATTAATAGCCGCAGAAACACGAAAAAAGAGATTCTAGCTTTACTCTTCCAGTTACACCATCAGATTCCAGCAGCACTCCGTGGTGCCTTAGGGGCCGATCTGTTCTTACCATCAGTCTAAAAATCGCACGCGTGAAATATGCGCCCAGACTGCCTTCCAAATGCAAGATTTGATGTCCTGAAGCGTTCAAAGGTGCTTTTTTCATTTTGTCCACCCGTACGCCACGACTCAGCGTTAGCTGCTGGGCCGCCGCTGCGCGACCTGTGGAGACTGCAACGCCTGGCATCGAGGTCTGTTACTAAAAGCTGCGAATGCGCATGCCCCAAAATACGTCCTACAACTTGTATTACTAGTCGATTGAAGTGCTTTCAGGTATTTGTTTCAGACGCGTCGTCATTTTCGTCCGCCGATGCGCGACGACGAAGTTATCCGCTGGACTACCGCTCCGCGGAACATGGAGACTGCAACGCCTGGTGTTGAGGTTTTTGTTGCGGAGATTTGCGACTGCGCATGTTAAAAATCCTGTCTTATATATTGTATCACTAATCAACTCTGGCTGAATGTTAAACACTTCCAGACAAACACGGCTTAGCCGCGTTAACACACACTGTTGGGCACTCGACCTACAACCAAATCTTCATCTTCAAATTTCGATCAAACATATCGATCTACAATCGACCATCGCGACGTCCTTAATGTCTGTAGAACCGAGATATAACATTCTGACAAAGCCCCTGAATTCTGCCTGTTTATAAAGAGCCCACTGAACCATTGTGAATTAACGGCACCGGTGATTTATTGCATGCAGCCGTTCAACGCCTGATTTCTGCAGTTAATTCACTGCAAAATACAAAAAGAATTCATCTTGCGGCAGCTTCTGGTTGCTGTGCTGGTTGGAAGGTAAGAAAACAGTCCGGGTGTATATTTCACCGGTGCGACTTTTAGATCGAGGTTAAGAACGGATTGGTATTTTGAGCACCGCGAAGTGGTGCTGGCTGGAATCTGGAGGAGGAACTGGAGGGGCAATAGTCGAATCTCTATTATGACCTGCAGCCGGTGGCAGCGGCCGCGATAAAGGTCAGTTGACTTAAGAGGGCGGGATAGGCCGTGCCGAGGAATGCGACACGTGCTTTGGCCTCCAAACTGTGTCGTTAACTTGGAATTTCACGATCGGATGGTGGGGTCGGGGTTCACGCAACAAGCGCTGCTTCGCGTGACTTCTGATCCCAGAAATCCACACGCTCAAAAGGACTAAACCGGACATCGGACTTGACATCAAAGACATCAAGGCGCTGATAGCGCAGCAAGTGTTGACTTAAAGGAAGAAACAGTGGTACTTCCGTGCGTTAATGCACTGCAGTCCTGATTCGCACTCAGCATCGATTGACAGTGGGCGCTGGAATGCATTTAAAGTGGCCTTTTGAGCAAAAACCCCAAACTCTTACCTTGAAGCATTTACTGCGAGGTTAAGCTTTACGTTGCACGTTGCACTTAAGCCCTCATACTTTGCACTTAGCTGCAATACATATTTCAAAACACTGGGAATGGATAATATATGTATAATTATCATCACCAACCACGCAAAGCATATGATAGCTCACCATCTTTTCGACATCCATTACATACCAAGATAAACAATTCAAAAACGTGACATGTGACGTGACCCATGATGTGTTTAGCGTCGGCCCAACAGCCGCGTCTTGAAGTGTTGTGAAGTGAAGTGTGCTCCACAGGAAAACAAATCAACGAGTCGTTTAGTTGAGAGGTTATACACGTTGTATCATAGCGCACACAGCAGAATATAACTACGCTAGATGGCGTGTGAAAACACGACGCTTGCAATTAAGCACACAATAGCAATCTGCAACCATGGACACACGGCGCGGCGGAAAGGCACTTGGCGATGCGTCTGAGTGACTAACATGGCATCTGCGGTACGGTAAGGCGGGGGCTGTTAACTCCAGAGCCGGTCCGCGGAGTGATCGCCTGCGGTGGGGCCTGTCGGCATGGTCGGCCCCGGGCTCGTCTCCTCAGTGGTTACGGGCACCACTCTCCGAGCCGAGGCTGCCCGTCTCGCTGACGACGGCGCCGCGGCGGCACATGAGCTCGACGATGCGCGCGATGTTGCGGCAGTCGTCGATGCCGCTGTGGTGGCGGCCGATCAGTGGCAAGCCCAGCTCCTTCATCAGCCTGTCCATGCCGCGCGGCCAGCTGCCCCTGACGTCAGCACACAGCTGCCGGACAACAGCCGGTCAGCGGTCTTACACGGCTGCCGGACAACAGCTGGTCACGGGCCTTACACAGCTGTCGGACAACAGTCGGTCACGGGTCTTACACGGCTGCCGGACAACAGCCGGTCAGGGGCCTTACACGGCTGCCAGACAACAATGGGTCAGGGGTCTTACACAGCTGCAGGACAACAGTGGGTCACGGGCCGGTCAGGGGTCTTACACGGCTGCCGGACAACAGCTGGTCACGGGCCTTACACAGCTGTCGGACAACAGTCGGTCAGGGGTCTTACACGGCTGCCGGACAACAACCGGTCAGGGATCTTACACAGCTGCCGGACAACAGCCGGTCAGGCGTCTTACACAGCTGTCGGATAACAGCCGGTCAGGGGTCTACACGGCTGCCGGACAAAACCTGGTCGCTGGTCTTGCACAGCTGCCGGACAAAAGCCGGTCAGGGGTCTTACACAGCTGCCGGACAACAGCCGGTCTGGGGTCTTACACAGCTTCCGGACATCAACCGGTCAGGGGTCTTATGCAGCTCACAGGCGCGCTGTTTTCACGGCCGGAGTCAGCTCGGGCGAGATCGCTCGTTTGTATCCCACAATAGACCGCCTCGGCCTCCTGGTCTACGTAAAGCCTTCCCAGTCCCCAAGAGAGGGAATTCCACATCTGGAGGCTATAACTTACGCCTTTTGTAATAAGTACGTAACTGGTCGTCACCATACAAACCATCGAAAGTGTACCTGAGTGACCCAACGCGCAAAATAAGGAAATCACTCATTCATTTCCTCGCCTCAAAACTCAGTCGATTCAGTACATACACACATCAGGTAAGCACTGTAGTACCACCGTGCATCAAGCATGGGTGCCACCATACGTGAGCTGACAGCAAACACGGACGTGCAAGCCCCAAACCAATTCACGGCTATGCACTTCAAGCTATACTTCGGCGATGCCTACGGTATGAGGCTTGGTATCAATCGCTGTAGCTTTGGTGTCGGGATTCCACTTTATGGTAATGCCATGAATGACGTACTTGTATAGAGAAAAAAAACATTATAAGCTCTCACACAATTATTGAAAAGCAGCCTGGTCACAAAGTCTGCCGAACAAATGTTAAGACACAGGTGGGTGACACTGGAATGCAGCTTGTTGAACAAAAACTATCGTGAGTGATAGAAAAAGGGACCTCTGGAGGACTTGAGCGACAATTGGGGTTAAAAGGAGAAGTTTAGCTGTTGAGGAACCTTTAGAGACAACTTTTTCAAGAGACAATAACAACTTTTGCAGTTTAAATCCCCTCCAATTATGCTGATACCTACGTGGGCAGTCAAATTTCGACCCAAAAGTGGAAGGCTCCGTTAAAGCGGCGTGCGGATAGCCCCGGTCGTGGCGCCCAGAGCCGGCCCCCACAGGTGCCCCCCGGGGCGCGGCCTGCACCACCACTCACGTGCTTCACGTTGCCCCAGGAGCGCATGAAGGGTGGGAGCGGTACGCCGCTGAGTCGACACTGGTTCGGCAGCATGGTCTTCAGGTCCCAGTCACCGTAGGTGAGGAAGAGCGCGCGGCTGTCGGCCGGCAACTCGGCCGCGTGCCACGCCTCGAACCGGGCCAGCACGGCCGGGAACGGCTCGGACTCGTCCACCGTCTCCTAGCGAGGGGGAAGGGGACGTCACGTGCGCTGTCTGATGACGGAGGTCTGGCTTCACGTGCGCTGTCTGATGACGGACATCCGACAGCAGGGCCCCTGACAAAACCTGCTGTATGTGGTGCTATCACTGCACATTAGCATGGGTGGTGCTGAGGTGACTAATCGAGCTCCCTGTCACCTGGTCATGCTGAAGAAACAACGCTTTGAGCATGCCACCTGCCAATGACAAAGGCCATGGCGGTCATTTCATTATTGGTATCTTATCCGTAGTAGGGGTGCACATTTCATCGACACTACACGACAAAACGAATATCACTGCAGCCACCAAGCAAAACTTCATAAGCCAGCCATGTGAGGCATCTTAGGATTCCAGAACAGCTGAGTGCCGCGAGGTTTCTTCTCGGGCTGGACGACACAAGACAACTGCAGTGACCGGGCCAAGCCTCGCACCGCATTCATTCTCATATTATTCTCATATATATTCTCTGCATATTCAGTGCCACAGCACTGTAACACACAACTCACGCTGCAATTTCGTGTGCAAAATCGGAAATCGGAGCTCTTCGTCCGAAAAACCATGAGCGCAAATCTTCACACGCAAATATTGGCGTGTACGAAATTTGTGCCCGAACAACTGCACATATATTCTATCATATCGTATTGTTTTGCACACGCATTCCTACCAGATGTGTTCTGAGCGCAACGTTAATTGTAAAGGCAATTCTTCTCGTCAGTTTCTTCGCATGACCACACGCTTGCATTGCGTTTCGCGTTATAAATAATTGGCAGCAATGCATGCCTTTGTGTGCGCGATAACGCGAGCCTCATTACCTCCCATACACAATGATTATAGCATACATCCTCTTCTCCTTGGCTTTTTGAAAAAAAACCCAGCCTGACAAGACTATCGACACCTGTAATCGGCTCCGGGCTGGGGACCTCAGCACGTCTTAGGCTATAGTTCGGGTCGAGCAGACACTGAGAAAAATATGCAAAAAAGTGCATAAAAGGCAATGCGATACCGAAATTGCATGCACAAAAATGCGATATGACGATTTACGTATGCAAAGAAATATGGCACGATGACTTATATACCTCAAAATATGCGATGCAATCAGCTAACAAAGGAAGTGCTGCACTCCGGAAGATTTGCAATACTATCGTTTGTCCTTGTGGGACTTCGCGCCCACCCAGTTTGCAACGCAAGCATGTGCGAATTGGGAGATGTGATGCAAATACGTGGACCACAATTTTTTCAATACGAAGCGTCACTCACACATGACTGTCACTGTCACACACGAAGTGTTCAGACACTTTCAATACGGAGTGCAAACGGTTGCGGTTTGGCGGAAAGTGATACCAAGTTCGATCCCAGAGCCAAAAACTTGACTGTACGCATTCCAAATAGTGTAATCCCTATCATCTATATAAGCAGTCATCATCTTGCCATCTTCACATCCACTGGAGCAGCGCGCGTTTGCATGACAAGTAATCATCGAAGGCCCAGAACCGTGGCATACTATCAGCATGCACGTGTTTGCACGACGAAGCCATATTGCTACAGAGGTCCTACCTGGATTATGCCTGTTAGCTCAGTGCAAAATGACGTCAGCGTTGGATGGTGCACTGGTCGAACGTAATGGTGAAACTCCGATTCAATCTTGAAAGTCTTTGCATTTACTTTCAAGCAGGGGAATTCTATCACCTCCTGTAAACGTGGCAGCATTAATTTAAAGCAGACATTTCACGGCTATGTTGGATGGTGCCCTGGTACAACGTAGTGAGGAAAATGATGTCCCCACCAGTAAGCATAATAACGATGATGTGTCAAAACTTAGACACGAAACATTGCATGACGAAACATTGCACGACTAAGAACGAGCCAAATAACTGTCCCGGGATTTAACACATCTACAGTAAAAAACACGCACATTTGAGAAATTTGACAGCAATTTGAGGAATCAATCAGCTTCAGAGTTCAGAGATATTATCTGGATTCCAGATACACTCCTATTATCCGGAATCTTGGATCAATCGATTTATCTATTTCGCCTCACGATCACAAACAGGCTAAGTGATAAAACACACCTCATAAAGTTGAAAAGACGAGGCGACGCATTACATGACACAATAAACAGTCATACGCCACCTAACAACATGGGACAAGACGCGGTACAAGCGCGGCGGACCACACGCATCAAGACGTCAGCAGAAGCCATCCTCCTGCATCAGACGTCCGGGTCGTCTCCAGGGTAAATTCGACCCATTGCCACGCACATTCTTAATGAATTCTTATCTTGAGATAAGAATTTCTCAGCGCACGGCACCCATTACAAACCCGCAGGTGGGAGATAAATGTGCCTAAACGCTTGCCACGGATTCCACGCATGGGGTCGGGGGCCGGCTGCCACTAACTTAATACATTCATGACTGTTCTGCCGCAATGAAATTGGGGACGAGCCGCCACTTACTTAATGCATTTATGTCCGTTATGCCGCAATGATATTAAGTTCAAGCTTCGATTCTAACTTAGGTGCATTTTTTCATTGGTCAGTGCGGACCCAGCAAACACGACACTGATAAATCCACGAGGGCTTCCTGCTAAGGAAAGCCTTGTTAGATCACCAGTGATGTGCTGATGTCATGATAATGGTGGCCCACCAGGGGCTGACCCAGGTAGCCAAGACTAAGGCATATCAGGGAAGACTAAACGGGGCCGACCCACCCTGTTGACAGTTCAGTGTTCCGAGGCTGTGACACCGATCGACACCAAACCTTCACTGTGCGATGCTGATTAGTTGATAACATATCCTTTCTAGAATATGGTTACTTTGTGTGAGGTTAAAGGCCACCAAAAAAGTACCGAAACCCACCACAATAGGGTTGCCAGACAACCCACATGCTCCAAGACTTTGAGACCGATCAGCATGAAATTTTCGCCAGTCGATGTACCATATTCGATATCTTATCCTTTCCAGAACATGACGGCCCTGATTCAGGTCAAAAGTCACAAAAAACGCACAAAACTACTAAAAATGGGTTGCGGACAACCCCATCCTCCGAGCCTTTGGGACCGATCACCATGTAACCTTCACCAATCGATGCGTCATAGTCGATATCCTGTCTTTGCCAGAGCATGGTGACCTTGAATCAGGTCAAACGTCACAAAAAATACCAAAGCCGGAAAATAGGGTTGCAGACAACCCTTTCCTCCGAACCCATGGGACCGATGAGCCTGGTTTTTTTCCCAATCGATGCGCCATATTTGCCATATTTGGTACCCTATCCTTTTCCGAACACGGCAACCTTGAGTAATGTCAAAGATCACCAAAAATACCATAAGCCACCAGAAACTCGGTGAAGGTTTCATGCTGGTCTGTCCCAAAATGCCCGTAGCGTGGGGCTGCTTGCAGCCAATTTTTCAGGTTTCGGGTTGTCCGCAGTCAATTTTGGTGGCTTGGGGCGGTTTTTCGTGACCTTTGACCCGACCCAAGGCTACCATGTTCTGGAAGGGATAAGGTGCCGACTATGGCACATTGCTTGAAGGATTTATGTTAATCAGTCCCATAGGCTCGAAGCATGGGGTTGTCTGCAGCCAATTCTGGTGGGTTGGGGCGTTTATGGTAACCGTTCACCTGACTCAAGGTCATCATGTTCTGGGAACGACAGGATATCCTCTATGGCACATCAGTTGGTGAATATTTTGTGATGATCGGTCCCAATGACTCCAAACATAGGGTTGTCTGAAACACTATTTTCCCGCTTTTTATTTTTGGGTGATTTCTGACCTGACCCAAGGTCACAATGTTCTAAAAAGGGTAGAATGTCCCTTATGGCGCATCGATTGGTGAAAATTTCATGCTAATCAGGCTCATGGGCTAGGAGCATGGGGTTCCCCGCAGAAATTTTGGTGCTTTGGGCGTTTTTGGGTGACCTTTGACGTGTGACCCATGGTCAGCATGTTCTAGCAAAGAAAGGGACATTGACTATGGCGCATCGGTTGGTGAAATTTTCATGCTGGCCGGCGCCATAGGCTCCGAGTACGTCGTTGTATGCAGCCAGTTTTGGTGGTTTTTGGCGTTTTGGTGACATTTGACCTGACTCAAGGTAACCATGTTCTGGAAAGGATGGGATATTGACTAAGCGGCATCGAATGGCGAAGAAAGATTTGTCTCGATGGGTGCCATAGGCTTGGAACATGACGCTGTCAACGGGTTTGGTCGGCCGTTTAGTCCCTCCAGGCATTTCACGGGGACAGTACTTCGCGGAAAAGTTTGTCCTAAAACTAAAAGCCATAAGTGCAGATCCAAACCTAGCATGATTGGGATCTGCAGTGATGGATTATTGCGCACCGAACACGCCCGCGTAAAGCAGCAGAACGCAGAATACACAACAGAGAAAACGATCGCTAAAATTAAGGCTCCTCGTGGTCTGAGCTGAGCTTGTCTTACCTGAGGCGATATCCTCACGGACGACTCACAGGTGGCTTCAAAGTCCAGCACCAGAAAGAAATCATAGTTTTGAACTGGTCCCCCATTCTTGTCCATGACTGATAAAAGTCTGCTACTCTGTGCACAATGTTTGATATACTTACTACTTCCAATTGATGTGGCATGTAACGTTTTAATTAGCTGGAAAGGAACACACATGAACATGTAAGGTTTTACATAGGTTGTCATCCGAAACACAGCTTCCTAAAACTGTGCTCCAGTTAGAACATACATATTTCACCTCCCAGCGGCCAGTATGAAAAAAATCCATCCACTGCGCCCTTCATAACATTAGTGCGCTGAGCCTCGCACTGGTGTGCGCAGAATTCAAGCCAGGCCAAATTACACTGATCTTTCCAGGCACGTAGCCAGGGCCTTGGCAAGGGGGACAGGGTTGACAAAGGGCTCCTAATAGTGAAGAGGCACATCCCCCTTGAAATCGTCGGATATGGCCCATTTGTAAATGAGGGCATGTTCTTATTTCACATTTTTCATTTTTATTCTATCACTGGAATGGCAGCCAGAAGCTACCGCGAGATAATCCTGTCTGAAGTTTAGTCAATAAACTCAAAAAATGTCATGCACGAAACGATTGCACAAAATAAATCACCAGTGCTCCTCATTTTTCAGTGGTCCAATGCACTCTTTTAAAGCCACTAGAACTGAGAAGCTTCGTCAGAATTTGCCCCTGGCTTGTGCAGAGATATCAAGGACCCCACGAATGTAGATTCAAGATCAAAATGGGTCAATGATTCAAGCCATGTCTGCCTGGAAATGTTCAACATTCAGTGAGAAACGAATGAAGATGCGACTTATGTAATGTAGTTTTGGACATGTGCGCTCGCGCATCTTAGCAACAAAAACCTCGACGCCAGCCGTTGCAGTCTCCATAAGGCGCGCAGTGTAAGCCGCGTAGCCCCACGGCTTACACTAAGCTGTAGCCAACACATGGACAAAAATGATGACGCATCTGAAAGAACCTTTGGACGCTTTATGGCATGCAATCGTTGATTTTGAAGGTGTTTCGGGCGTGCATTTTACCTGTGGGATATTTGGATTTATGATATGAACGGATTGGCCTTTACGGCACAATGAAGTGGCGCTGGAATCTGGTGATGGAACTGGAGGAGTAAAGGCGGAATTTCTACTCTTCATGTTGCTGTAACTGTTTATCTATCCAGCGGACAGGCTAAAACATTTTTGAAAAAATTGCCCGGTCTAACCTTTGAACTGTTCGGGTAAATTTTGAGACATTAAGAAACATTATTCCCGATGGTCGTCCCTGAGCGCACGGCATCTAGGGTTGCCGTTCGATCTCACGGAGACTGCATTCCAGACCATCGCTGTCCATGCTCCCAAGATTGCGGGCACGCAGGCTCGAGCCTTTCGATAAAAGTCGTTTCATTGGTAGATTTTGCAAAAGCGTGAACGTTCGTAAGCAAACATGGAATGGTCTTGTGTGTTCTTAAACTCATCTCGACACACTTAATTCAATAGTCCCGGTCACAGGATGAAGGGCATTCTGTCTTCCGGCTGTCTTTCTGGCGAGACACGGGGCGGGATCTCCCGGCCTATACAAAGGCAATTGAAGGGATACATCATATCACATTGGTCCTGATGCGGAAGGCCCCCTGCCCGCGAAGTAGACCCCAGATCGATGCAGGAACCCTCATTGACGCCACAACATCCCTGACCTCCGCAGGTGGTCAAATAATTGGCACACAGACTGTGCGTTACTGGTGGTATCTGACCAGCACATAAACCCTTGTCAACTCGGGGGGGGGGAGGGGGGCTGCCTCCCAGCGTTTAGGGCCCTCTAGCCTGGCATTGGAGTGCCCGGTCAGGCGGGTCGGGGCCCCTGAATGCAACCTCCGGCCGGCCTTTCGGCCCCTCAAATTGGGTCCTTTATCGTAGGTTCCGAGGAGACTTTAAGGCCCATCGGAGCTTAAGAACGGCACGTGCCCCATGTGCTCCCACCCCTGCCTGTGCTCCTGGACTTTCTTATAAATTTGATCCGAACCCTTCGAATGGATGGATTTCTGGGGTCGGCGCTCACGCTAAGCAGCGCTTGTTATGTGAACCCCGACCCCTACCATCCGATCGCGCAATTCCAGGCAACAGCGAAATTTAGTGGCGAAAGCTCATCGTGCACAGTGCTCGGCACGGTCCACCCTGCCCTCTGATATCAACTGACCTTAAGCGCGACCGCTGCCACCGGCCGCATACCGTCCCTGTCAAGAGCAAATAGCGAGCACCTAAAGCGACTCGAACCCATCCCGCCACGGGTGGGTGGATCGGAAGGCACGCTTTCTTTAAAATATATTTGAGCGAGAACTGTTTTCAAGTATTTCGCAAGAAATTACCTTTGCAGCATCAACGTCCGTTGCATCAACGTCCGCTACATGTCATGTACTGTTTTCGTGTTTACGTCCTACTGTCTCGATAAATCATGCTTTACATCGGTAGGTTGCGGTATTCGATGCTTAATTGCACGTCTGCTAAGCCACTTTCAATTTGATCAGTTATGGGTTGCTGTATAAGAGCATTGATTGCCGACAACCACCACTGAATGACGACTGGCGATGAGTCTCGAGCAGTAGAGCGGGGGATCCGATGGACTGATCCCTAAGCATCCATACCATCAACGTCCGCTGTTCGCTGCTGCCATTTTAGTATAACATGTAAAGTTAATGCGAACAAATATGGTTATTGCCGGTAAACATACAACTCCCAAGGAGCTTTTCTTTTGCAGGGTTGATTTCTAGTGAGTACATGCACTGTCTTTGGACTATTCTGGGGCCGCAGTGGCCACATTTGTGCTAGTGTTATAGGCGGGTGATGCCATGTTGTCTGAGCTGTGGAACGTGTCACAAAGCACCATTGAGTGGATCAATAGGACGGGCAAAAAGGGAGTCAAATACTGCCCATCACTTCCATATGGGCAGCTGCTCTGACCAATAAAGTTAATATCTTCATAAACATAATTATTCTGACAAAGTGGCCCCATAACACCTGTAATTAGCATCTGTAAACATTTCCAAAACATCCATCACATGATTTGCAAGTACATAACTTAAGAACTAAACAAAATTCATCTGAATAATTGAGCCAGTAATGGCACTTGTTGCTTTTAAGCAAGTTGGACTTAAGGAATCCCATGGTTACTGTTCTCTGTTGGTGGTAATCTGTTAGGCAATCATGACAATATTGCTAAGAAATGAGGAGCCAGCACCCATTTTAAGTTAAAAGACAGTACAGTCAGTGTAGCCAGCCAGTACTAATTCTGAGTAAAGGCAAGGTAGTTAAAAAAGCACAGCCTATCAAAGCAAGAACATACTATATGACATGGTGAGAATCTGCATATAACATAATGCTGGCCAGAATGGAATAAACAGTGTTAGAATTTAATGGGAAAATCTTCAAAAAATCAATAATCCTAAGTAGCTCACTTAAAATACATCCCCTGTGTAACAATGCATTGAATTTGTTGACTGAGCAGTGAGCATCAAACTCTGGATGCTCGGGTTTACAGGGTGCATGAGATGAAATTCTTACTGGAAGAACCTCAATTTTCATGTAGCCTGGCTCAGGCACAGTTAAGAGGAAGTGCACAGTGGGCATGTGTCACCTCCATAAGGCACCCAACAGGTATTCTGATAAAGCACCTCTGTAAAAGTGAACATACAATACAAATAGAAACATGGCACCTTCTAAAAATGAGTGGATTCTCTACAACAGAGTAAAGTATATGTGAGACAAAGATAATCATCAGGCACCCCCAAATACAAGAAGTGCCATGATAACACTGACAACATTTCAGGACAGGAAGTGGCATCCATTTTAAAATTGTGTTCCATGGTCATGCACAGGAGTGACAACAAAAAGAGCATTCCCAACAAATATATGCCCACCTTCACCTCCAGATCATGAGAATAACTCTTCATCACTACTTTCACCATATTCACTATCAACTTACCCATTCCATACAACACAAACTATATTTCAGGCAGAGGAACAAATTTGAAAACACATAAACTTTCCTCCTTCTGCATCCATCCTTTGGCATCTAGTTGTCTAACCAAGCACACAGCAGTTTGAAAAATTCTTACCTTCGGACAATGTGAAAGGATAAAACACATCAGGACTCCCTACACCTGAATGATCAGGCAGGTGCTATACGATCATCCCATTCACTCGAGCATTAAGCGAAGCAACACACACATCTGCTCGAATCACTTGCAAAGCGGAGTGTGGAAAGCATACCAGCTTATTTCTCACACAGAACGGAAAGAAGGTCTTTCTAGACGTGTGAAACCGCAAGCGAACTCAGGATGCAAATTGGTGCGATCACGAGGGGAATCACCATGAGAAGAGCGGAATGCATAGGATTCTACGACACTGCAGTTTAAATAGGAGTGAACTAGGAACGCTTATATTTTGAAACAGTTCCTCAGTATATGCCGCAGTTTTAGCTACCAACTCGAATGCAAGAAACAAATAAAACCTTGGTGCGCTTTGCGCAACCGGCTAAACAAACTTGACAAAAATCCACATTATTGCAAGAAGTGTCAAATATTAGTTCTTTGGTTAATACATTTTTCCAGATGTCTTACCTTATTACTGCTGCTTTCTCGGGACTCATTTGTTCTGAATTTTTTTTCTACTCGAAAGATCGTGAATGCTGCCTTGCCATTTTGCCCGTCTCGAACAATTTGTTGGGATCGCGGCGCAGATGTCACGAACTACCTCTGTTGTGTTACGGGCAGCGAACACGGGGAATAACCTTTCGGGCTATTTCCTGGGCGAAGGTGAGGTTGGGGTGTGTGCATTAGGGGGTTTTGGGAAATTTATAAGCTATATTTGATGTAGGTGCACGAACTAGTGCACTTTTACGGACAATAACTCAACAATAAGCATTTTGGTTGAGAGGTGCGCCATGCACTCGAGGGGTTTTAGGCAGATGGATTACCCATTGATGCCGGTTGAGTGACTCATGATTCAACGACGCTGTGACTGAGGAAAATGTGTTTGAACTGCACATATTCTTCGCGACCTTGCTTACACTTTCCAGAGTGTACTGTCTGTTAAAATACTTCTGGGGCAGTGAACAGGGTATGGGGTGATGTGATAAGTACTAGATCTTGCCAGTATACGAACAACCATATACAATACACCATCAAAATCTGCCACTTTTTCAACTGGATGATGTTTATTGGTTTTAATTTGGAAACTTATGTGCTGAATTTATTTCTCGCTGTTGTAGATGTGCTGCATTCTTTATGCTGATTTCAATTTCTCAAGTTCTGGAAAGGTCACATTATGTAACATATGACAGATGGTGCATTTTCATGGTCCACATTGCTGCTTTTCCTCTGGAAATTTCCATTTGTAAGATCAGATTATATGCAAGGGTCTTCATCATTTCAACTTTTACTATGTACACAGTTGATCATGAAATGGTGGAAAGCTGGTACTGTGGGTAGCCTGCAGGCTGATTGGTTGGGGACAAAGCTGAGTGATTGAAGGATTGGAGCTGCTGCCTTATGGTTCATGCTATGAAGGATTATTAATTTTAGTGGACTTTTTGGTTGAACAGCATATCTCTGGATACACTCAGCTTCAGACTCCCATACTTCATCTGGGAACTCATTGACAGTCCAGGATACCCTGATGGTTGTTAAGTGTGGAGCCCCTGTTTTTATTGGAGCAATTTCACCAATTTTATTACATTAAGGGGCACCAACTGCAGTGTCATTAGTGGTTGAGGGACAAACTGCATCCTATCTTGGAAAGTAACCTGGCAGTGGGCTGAAGAGGATAGGGCACTTCTTCAGGCATTAGAAAGATGCATAAATATGGTAATTTACTGAACAGATGTTTTCTTTTGCAATATGGTAACACATGGCCATGTCTGTAATGATTGGAAACTAAGTGCAAACTCATTCATTTGTCATATCCGTGTACCCTCAGCTGTGCATGATGAAGATCGAGGAGCCTCGCCCAGCACCAGCGGCCTCTGCGCTGCCGCAGGTGTCTGAGAAGCAGCTGCGCGCCATCGGCGAAGTGCTGCGCGACTCGTCGCGGCCGCTGAAGGAGCGTTTTCGGGCGCTGTTCACGCTGCGTAACCTGCCGGGCGCCGAGTCGGTAGCGCAGATCAGCGCCGCGTTCGTCGACGACTCGGCGCTGCTCAAACATGAGCTGGCCTACTGCCTCGGCCAGATGGGGCACGTCGCCGCGCTGCCCGTGCTCGTCTCCGTGCTGGAGGACACCGGACAGAACGCGATGGTCCGACACGAGGCCGGTCAGTGCGGGCCAGGCTCGGCCGTAGCTCACGGTCTCGGCCGCAGCCCGCCGGTCATCTCACGACTCTGGGCGCCGCAGCGAGTTGCCTGTACACGCTGGTCGCTTCCAGAACCTAAGGTGGCCAGTGATCTATACATGCTCAGTGTGAGCGGCAACACGCTGTGTGTTCAGTGTCTTCAGTGCGTGAGAACGTGTTATTTTTCACAAGGAATATGTTGAAATTTTCTAGCTGTAATGCAGAAATGTTATAGCTCTGATGCTGAAATGTTATAGCTCTGATGCTAAAATGCTCCAGCTTCAGTGCTGTTGAAACTCGCCGGATTCTCTAGCTAAATGCTTCCAAAAAGCTGTCTTGTATTTCTGAGCTTTTTCGCCTGTGGCAGTTATATGCGACCAACCCTTCAGCTGCTCTGGTGAGTCTGGGCTCCGACAGCGGCTGACACTGTCACATGTTTGGAGGCCAGGCCGTGTGACGCGGCGCGCGTGCCGCAGGTGAGGCGCTGGGCGCCATCGGAGACCCGTCCGTGCTGCCGGTGCTGAGCCGGCTGAGCGCCGACCCGACGCCAGAGGTGGCCGAGACATGCCAGCTGGCCGTCGGTAGGATCCAGTGGCTGCAGCGCAACCAGGTATGCGGCGAGGGACGAGCGGCATCGCTAGGGAGAGCGCTGGGACCGCGTGGCGTGATGTGGCGGTCCGTGTTACAACCAGCCGGACGTTGTGACGACTGGGCTGTCACTTCTGCGTGGGTGATTGCAGGGATCTCGCGGCCGAAACGCCGCTTGACCCAGACACTAACAAAGTCGGCCGGACAGCACCACCGCGGACTGGTCGCTCGCCCGTCAGTGCTTCTGCGGATCTCACCATCACGTAGCTGATGGTGAGATGATGGTGTGAGATCCTGCGCCCATGACGAAGAATCTCACAGCCAATCCGTTGTCCAACAGCCTCACTCAGTCTCACGGCTGACCCGTCGCCTGTCCGGCAGAACGGCGCGGAGAATCTCACGACCAACCCGTACGCCTCGGTGGACCCGGCGCCACCGGCGGACGAGTCGAGCCGGCCGAGCTGCGCCGAGCTGCGGGCCGCCCTGCTCGACGAGACGCTGCCGCTGTTCGACCGCTACCGGGCCATGTTCTCGCTGCGGAACCGGGGCGACGCCGACAGCGTCTGCGCACTCGCTGACGGTGAGGGCTCGCGCCGCTTGGTGATGCTGAACCGGTCCCAAACCAGACATAACCGTCTGATGTGTAAAGTTGTGTTGGCTGATCCACGGGGGCGAAGCGGCACTTCAGTACTGTGTGGCTATTTCCGAACGCGTACTTTATCAAGCACCAGGGGCAGGACTCCATAACACCAGCCCGGTGAGCTGGGAAGCCTCGCAGCCGTTTCACCTAACCGTCCGGCCCGGTGCCCTCCGCCCGACCGGGGGGTCAGTGCGAGGTCAGGCCAGGTGGCAGACCGGGCGGACGCGTCTCCGACCCATGCTGGGCCCGCTCGGTGACCGGGGCCCGTGTCTGCCCCCCTCAGGGCTTAAGTGCGGCGGTGCCCTGTTCCGGCACGAGATCGCCTACGTGCTGGGCCAGGTGGCCCATCCGGCATGCACCAAGCAGCTGGAGGCCAGCCTGCGGGACCAACAGGAGAGTGACATGGTCAGTACAGGTTGCACCGCCAGCGAGGTCGGCGGGGTTTGGAATGGCACCGACGTGCTAGTCCCGTGCGCGTGCTCAGAATGACGCGTCACGTCGTTGTGTGTATCCAGAGCGCATCGCGTCCGTGGCAGGTCCACTTGGTTGTAGGATAAACTCGGAATGAATGCGTAACAAATTCCCGAATCACGCTAGATCAAATCTGTAGCACGGGACGTTGAGATTTCTTCGTTCGAGCCCCTTTGAGATTTGAGTTCGTAGATTTTTTTCGCACGGGACGTTGAGCATCATGTGCGTTGGTGCGAACGACTTTACTCTACCTGTGCGCCGTCGTCTGCATACCCTTCACCCGGTGGCGCGGTTTTTCACCAGGGTCGTGTGCAGCACTTCTGCTTCGCGTGTATGCTGTTCATGGCTTTTCCCTTTAATGCCGGCAAGCTGTGCATAACCTGCGGTGGTTGACTGACTAAATTGCCGTGATATGCGTGGCGACTTTCCATGGCGTGTGCCGGGCGTGTGCAACGCCTATCATCAGGGCTTGTAGGGCGTGCATAGCACCCCTTCGTCGTATTAACAGGCGGTATGTAACCCCCGATCATCTGCCCGCTTGTGTGTTGGACGTGTGTAACGTCTTCGCCTCCCGCGCCAGCAGGCCATGTGAAGCCTCTGCCGTGTCTGGCCGGCTATGTGTGTCTGTGTGACGGTGGGCCGCATACACCTCTCTTCCCTCGTGCCCTGGCGAGCCGCTGGAGCGCCCTACCCTCGAGTCTGCAGCTCGTGCGTGACCGGTAAAACCCGGTCCTGGTCTGCAGCTCGTGTGTGACGAATGAGTCATTGCCCCCGTGTCCGCGTTTATGCGATACGATATTGCCTTCTATGCCGGCAGGCTGTGCATAACACCTTCCAATCTTGTTGCAGGTCGCCTGCAACGCCTTCCTACTAAGCCTTAAACCGTGCGCGATGTCTTTCTCTCGTCTGCAGTCAGCGTATAATGCCTTTCTCTCACGTGCAAGGTTCACGTGTAGCGTCTTTCTCTCACGTGCAGGGCCCATGTGTAACGTCTTTCTCACGTGTAGTGCCTTGCTCCCGCTTGTTACGCCTTTCTTTTGCATGGGGCCTTGCTCTCGCGTTTAACGCCTTTGTTATGCTTATAACATATGTTGGTCGTGTGCGAGATCTGCGTGAAACGCCTTTCTCTCATCTGCCGGCATGCTGTATTTTGTAACTCCTCCACTCCTGCGCCGGTGGTGCCCCTCCCTGGTGTCTGCTGGCTAGCGACTCACCTCTCCTCTAAAGTTGACCGGCTGCGATACGCCTTTCCTCGCGTGTTTACTGGTTGCGTGCGCACCGGCCGGGCCCAGCGCCTGGTCAGCGCCGGCACGTGACGCATGCCCTCCGTCCGGCAGGTGCGGCACGAGTGTGCTGAGGCGCTGGGCGCCATCGGCACGCCCGAGTGTCTCCAGCTGCTGGCCGAGTACGGCTCGGACGAGGCGCGCGTGGTGCGCGAGTCGGTCGAGGTGGCGCTCGACATGTGCGAGTACGAGCAGAGCGCCGAGTTCCAGTACGCCGACGGGCTGGCCACGGCCAGCTGAGGACAGCCAGCGCGCGCGCGGCGGGGACCGCACCCGCCGGCAGAGCTGAAGCCAGCGGCGACCGCGCGCTCTCGCGCCAGCTCAGATGCGGATGATGTCGACCAGGGTCCGCTACGAGTATATTGATAATGCAATTAAAGACTCTTAAGAACAAAAAGGTCTTTAAAGTCCTACGGTGAGACGGGCAACACGATCACCTCCGGGAAGCCAACATCAGGCGAAGCGACACTTCTCTCAAGAACATTCACGCCAAATCATAATAATACCTGACGAGGAATTACACGGCGAGAGATAGGATAGCCACGACGTGCTGCCATCATTGTACGGAGTCAGTGGGACTGAGATGAACAGAGCTCTAAATACGTAAAGCGCCTGGCCCACGGCCGCTCGCTGTCGACGGAGTTCCGCGGGCGCGTTTGTCCAATCCTTGCCCGATCACTGAAAAAGGAATTGGGTGTTAGGTGACAGTCAATGCTTCGGACCTTCTTCTACCTCTTCACTACCTACTGCCTACTTCGAACCACTTGGGTCCTGCTTACTACCGGCCACAGACTGTCAGTTTCCCCCATATTTCAACAGACCATTATTGCGGTGCCGGCGGATCGTCGGCATTGGTAATCGCATACCAAAATGCAAAACAAACGTCTGACAGGTAATACCTTAATCAAATACCTCCACCAAATGAAACGAGTGACACAGCATCCAAGGATAAAACACCGCCAGCGAAAGGCAATGACCTCGAAACTATGTGCGGTATAAAGCACACCATACGCACGTCGTCGGCAGGCCGGTCCACAGAATAACGCCTACTCACAGTCGTCCACCGACCCGGACCTTATGATCGGCGCAAGAACCTCCTTAACACCAGTGGCGGAGGATGACGGCTGCCGCTGGGCTCTCCCCCCTCCCCAAGTCGCCGAGCTCCCTGACATACCTCGTTCTCTTCCTCCGGGCGCGTCTCTTCCTCCTCCTCCTCCTCTTCCTCCTCATCGTCATCGTCGACGATGCGCAGCTTGCGCCGCTTCTTGCTGCCGTTCCGACTGCCGCGAGACTTGCGCTTGGACGAGTCGTCTCCTTCCTCTTCCATCTCTTCTGGTGACGGCAGACACGGAAGTGTTAGGGCCACAGGCACCTGGCGTGCTCTATCCTCGTCTAGCCCATGTGGAATACTGTGAGATGCTTTGCTAGTTTGGACTGTCAGGGACATGGTAGTTTAGTCGAGTGCTCGCCTGACCGAACTTCAAGAGCATTTCACTGAAATGGAACCACGAGACAAACAGTTTGCACACATCGAGCACCAAACACGTCACGCTACTGTACAAACGTGCAGCAATGCATGTGGTGTTAACCGTGCTCCACCTCCAGCTGGCCCTCCATCTCGACCTCAACCCTGAGAGGTATGTCACCTTTCTCCACCTCCGGCTGGCTCTCCATCCCCGCCTCCACCCCGAGATGCATCTCACCGGCCTCCACTCCTCCCGCTGGCCCTCCATCTCGACCCCCACCCTGACATGTATCTCACCATTCTCGACTTCCGGCTGGCTCTCCATCTCCGCCTCCACCTTGACCCGGGCATTGGCGAACACCCGCTCCAGCACGATACTGTCCTCGTGGATCAGTGACGCCTCCTCGTTGTACGCCTGGGCGTTCTTGCACATGAGCAGCGTGTCCGCCTCCAGGTCATCCAGGTCAGCGTACTGCGGACAGCAGTCAGGGCTGGCAAAACGAGCACCATGACCACCCTGGCGCAGCCAGCTGTTTAACCGACATGCCGGCGTCATTATGCCCGTACAGGAATACGGCAACGCCTCGCCCGCAATACGTCAGATGCGCGCTTGCTGTGCTGTGTGGCCCTTAACTGCGGCGGTGTCGGATGCATCAATGCTCCTTGTGATTGACCGTGATGAAATGCGTCAATACCGTGTGCAAACCCATGTGTGATCGCCAAGTTGCGATTCAGGGAGTAGTTTTTGGGGATCGCACACCGGCTACAGACGTTCAAACGATGATGCTTTACACGGCCCCCACCTTGTTCTCGTCAATCCTAGTGAATATCTTCTTAACGTCGACGGGCTTGCGGATAACTTTGTAGTAGTCTGGCAGGTCCTTTCTGGATGGCAGCTTCATGAACGGCTCACTCAGCACGCGACCGTCCCTGTTGAACAACCGAGCCGAGGCTCTCAGCAGCAGTCCCAAACAAGGCACCTCGTCAGACCACACGGGACATCAGCCAACGAAGGTATGCGCTGCGCCCAGCTCTCAATGACCAACACTACCTTCAGCGTACCCAATCCAATCTGACGCACCTCATCACAACCCTTCAACCGTCACACTTTATGCTGGTGGACTTTTATCAAGTCTCTTATAATTGTGGTTACTTAAGGCAAACAGTACATGAAACCGGCTATCCTCCTGTCACTCACTGCAATGAAAATGACCAGGTACCGCACAGTGCAACCGAGTCAACACGCCACCACCAAGTGAACGCCTTTAGAATGTTGAACAAGATCGATCAGCTACATTTCTTCGACGACAAAGCAGCGCAGTCACCGGCACGCGCTTCGCCTTCTCCGCCAGCGCATCAGTGTTTAGCGAGCCACCACCGGGCGTCACCCCCGGTCCCTCCCCTCGCCTCGTCCACACCCGCCGTCCTTACGCGTCCACGTAGTCCACCAGCATTTGTATGATGTTCTTCATGCTCTGGCGCAGACGCGGCGAGGGCGCCGGCGAGCCGCCCGGCCTGCCGCGCTTCTTCTTGGGCCGGTCGTCGTCGTCGTCGTCACGGCCGCTCTTGCGGCCGGCGCCGGACGAGCGCGACGAGCCGCCTCGGCGGCCGCGCTTCTTGCCGCTCGACTCGTCCTCGTCGTCCTCCAGGATCTCGTTGCCGTCCTCGTCCACGGCCTGCGGACGGGCGGCGACCGGTCAAGGTGGACTGGAGGTTGGTGGACGAAAGGCAACACATTGGGGAGGGCACTGATGGCAAGCCCGACCGCGTAACTGCATGCCCACTAGTCCAGATGCTCGGCGGGGAAGCTAGTCTTGACAGATGGACGCATGACCCATGCTCCAGACAGCAAAAACAAGACCAAGGGGCAACCAAGATACACGAGGCCTTTCCACATTGGTCGCTCCAGCGCACTGCGGTCTACTCAAACGACGCCGAAGCGCTACACAAAACGGTGTGTCCGAACGCTGCTGGGATGCCCCCCCCCCCCCCTCCCCACACACACACAATCCACCCACATCCCCCAGGACGTGACAGTGCAGTACGGCGCGTCTCCACGTACGCCGATGGCCTTGAGCCAGTCGCGGTCGTTGAGGCTGTCCGAGTAGTCGACCTCCTTGCGGGCGCGGCTGCCGCGGCCGAACAGGCCACTGTCGTCCTCCTCCTGCGTCAGCTCGTCGATCTCGGCCTCGTCGCGCAGCAGCCAGTCGGGCAACTCGGACTCCTCGATGAGGCGCGGCCGGCGCTGGGCGCCCAGGCGCGCCTCGTCGCGCCGCCGCTCCAGGTCCAGCTGCTGGTAGATCTGCAGCTCCTCCTCGCTGCGCGCGATCATCTGGTTCACCGTCTCCTCGTCGGGCACCTCGTTCTCCTCCTGGCGGCACGCGTGGAGAAAGGATCAGTCGCGAGCACACGGCAATGTAGGTGCGATACTTACCCTCACTGCCGCGTCTTAGCAGCGCCGCTGGCGCCGACCAACACCGCCGGCAACTGGAGCGCTAGAACGAACAGCATCTCAAGTGAACCCTGTTATCAGTGATCACAGCTGATCCTTGATAACATTCATCAGCGATTAAATAATGCAGCGGCGGTGTCCTGACATACTGGCCCCCACACCGGCTACGGTCACGTAGCGGGTGGGCCGGCGGCCAGCGGCGCCTCACCTCCTCGTCCACGTCCTCATCCTGCAGGATGCTCTGCAGCATCTGGCGCCGCTCCGTGCCCGTCGACTTCTGGTCAAACTTGCCCGCCTGGATCACCTTCTCGTCCATGTTCAGCTTGTACCTGACGGAGTCGCACACAGTTATGCGGGGAAAGTGTGTACGCGGGCTCAATGTGACGGCAGAAAATAAAACGGAGTTAACAAAATACAAACAACTAGCAGGCGAGTGGTGCCATATTTCCTACAGCAGTCAAGCCGGGGCATCCTGCCTGTTGACATCCTACTGGCTGTTCTGGGAACCCACAAATCATTCGTGATTACGACAATGAATCACAATACATGCCAAAAAAAACTAAGCACGCTAGGATTCACCCGAAAGGAGCTCCGCTAGCCAGCACGCGGCACAGTGGCCAGCCGCCGGGGTGCTGGCCGCGCGCCATACATACGGCCCGCTCGGCAGTGATCCCTTCCCCGGCCGCTTGCGGGCCCGGCGTAAGCGCACGGCGCGCGCTGGCGACTCACTTGGCGGCGGCCAGGATGCGCTCCTCGACCGAGTTGACGGACATGAGCCGAAGCACGCGCACCTCGTTCTTCTGGCCGATGCGGTGAGCGCGGTCCTGCGCCTGCAGGTCCTGGTGCGGGTTCCAGTCGCTGTCGAAGATCACCACCGTGTCCGCCGTCTGGGGGCGGACACGGCCAGCGTTAGCCCACCCCGGCAGACGCTGAGGATGCCGGGCTTATGGCCCGGGAGCCCGAGTAATGATGGCTCCGACTGAACTTGGACCGGAGCGCCACGGGTTTGTGCGTATGCGTGCGTAGAATGCAGGCAAAAACGTGCGTGCGTGAGTGCGCGCATGCGTGTGTGTAGATTGTGGGTGGCATCTTTCTAGCCCATTACATTATTTCTATCTGAGAAGCGCGGGGTTCCACAGCAAATTTCGACTTAAGGGTCCAGAGGACAACAAACAGCGTCCGCCTCCGACGGCCGGCTGCTCGTCACTGTGGCGGACTGATGGCCGGCCGTGTGGTCGCTGGCCAACCGCGGCCCCTCACCCTCTCCTCGCCAGCCACCGCACCTGCAGGTTGAGGCCGAGGCCGCCAGCGCGCGTGGACAGCATGAACAGGAAGTACTCGGAGGCGGGCTCGTTGAACATCTTCAGCAGGTCGCCGCGGTCCTCGGCCTTGGTGGTGCCGTCCAGCCGGAGGTACCTGGCGGCGGGCGGGATCGGGCCGGTCAGCACCAAGCGTGACGGCTCCCCCAGTGGGTAGTCCTCCCCGTCGGCGCGCTCACGCGTCAATACGCTGCAGCACGTCCGCCAGTCCAGCCCGTCTCAGCTCACAGGCACCAGCGGCGTCTCAAGCCATGTATAGCCGAAGCCACAGCTGGCGTCTGAACCGTCGCTGTCGCTGCCAGGGCGCCGCGCGCATTGCGTTTCACCTCGCTGGACAGCCCTGACTCACTTGTAGCCCTTGTAGTTGAGATAGTCCTCCATGATGGCCATGAGCTGCGTCATCTGGCAGAAGAGTAGCACGCGGTGGCCGCAGTGTTTCAGCTTGGGAAGGATCCGGTCCAGCAGCTCGAACTTGCCAGAGGCCCGGTACAGGTCCGGTCTGCAGCGATAGGCAGTCCGGCCGGCATCAGTAACCCGCTCGGCGCAGGACATGGCAGCACGTGTGAAGCCCGGCAGCCACCACGTAACGTATACCCATCGACTAGATAAACACACACGCACCTTCATCATATCTTGGATGACGTCTGAAAGATGGGGCGCTGCGGAGCGGTATTGCGCCGTTCCAGGCCATACCCCATCATCCACTGTTACACAGCGTTTTACAGTGTAGCGCACCACAGTGCACATCACCGGCCCGCCCCACAGCTCATGTGCGCCGCTTACATCAGCGGGCGCCGTGCGCGACGGCGCCGCCTCTGGTGCGGCCCAGCTGTGATATCGCTGCTCTGAAAGGACGGAGCGCATCTGGCGGCACCGTCCCATCCAAGACCAGCTGATAATGATAATGAACATAATAATAACAAAAATAACAATAATAATGATGATAATGATGACGATGGTGATAATCAGGGTTGAAGGGGAAAAGACCCGTCGACTCCCCCCCCCCCCCCCCCCCCCACCACTCGGGCTGCGCCGCCACCCCTCTCGGCCCGACTGACCCGCTGGCCATGCCGCCCTGCAGGCCGACGTGCGCGCAGTAGGCCTCCTCGATGTGCTGGAACATGAACGGGTGGTTGCAGAGCTTGCGCAGCTGCATGATGGTGTTCATGAGCGCCTTGGAGCCGCCGCGGCCGGCGCCGCTGCCCTTGCCGTCCGTCAGCATGATGCCCTTCGACTGCATGTGCTTGTAAAGCAGCCGCTGCAGCGCCGACATCTCGCACTTGATGATGTACTCCACCTGTGGGCGCGCCACGCGGGCCCATCGTCACGAACGAGTACACGACGGCGTCAGGGGTTCGCGCAAAGCAGCGAGGTTACGACCATCGCCATAAATGCAGGCAAGTACAGAAATCAAGGTATGGTGACAAGAACGCGGGGTGCGCTCTATGTACAAATGACAACTGACAAATGACAGTGACTGTCACAATATTCTGCAGTAATACAGAGAACTTACCTCAACCACAGCCCATACATTGTGTAATATTCGGTAATCAAGGGAACCCTAAAACAGCAATCGAGTCCATATGATTTACGCGTCACGTCGCGTCGCGTCGGACGATACGAGCCTTCCGTGTCGCGAGCCAGCGTAGGAGACTGCGGGCCCCGGCGGCCGGCCGAGCCGGCACACGCACTGACCTTGTCAGGCAGCTGGGACTCGACCTCCTTCTTGAGGCGGCGCAGCAGGAATGGTCGTAGCACCTTGTGCAGTCGGCGGATGATGAGGATCGTCTCCTCCTCGTTCAGCTCCACCTGTCAGCGCGGCGCGGGGGTCAGAACAGCCCCGCCGCGGCCCGAGCGCCCGAGACAGCCTCCGTCCACGCTCCGCCAGCCGCCGCCGGCCGGCCTCCCGGCCTCGACCACATGGAAGGGCGCCCAGCGTTCGGGCGCCCGCCCCTGGTGCGACCCATTTGCGGTGTCGCTGATCTGGAAGGGCAAAGCCCTTCGGGAGGACCGTCCACCCAAGACCAACCGAGTGCCCCAGCAAACCCTGCTCCACCCAGCCGCTGTAGCACCCCACCCGGTGCGGCATCGCCGAGAACACACGGCCTCAGCAAGCCGGGCACAGCCGCTCCAGTCATGCCGAACCACGCGACGGGACTGTACCCCGCTCCCCCCGCTCAGACCACAGCGTGCGCACCTTCTCTCCCGCCGTCGCGAACGGTGCGTTGAACCACTGCTCAAAGGTGGAGACGGCCTTGAAGATGGAGGGCAGCAGGAAGTTGAGCAGCGACCACAGCTCGGGCAGCTTGTTCTGCAGCGGTGTGCCCGTCAGCAGGAGCCGGTGCGGCGCCGCGTAGAACGTATTCAGCACTGACGTCAGCTTGCAGTGGTGATTCTTCATGCGATGGCCCTCGTCGATGATCATGTACTTCCAGCGGTTCTGGCGGAACGACCGGGAGGCTGTTAGGAGCAGCGCCTGTACTGCACGCTTAGACTGTAGAAAGTGGACGTGCAGACAATTTAGTCCATCGCTTTTCTGTGTTATAGATAAGTCTAAGGACACATACCATGACAGGTTGCTCATGTAAAAAGATCGTTCCGCTAGGCTCCACAACACCCGGCCAAGGAACGTTAACTAAATCAGAGGCAACACGTCACTCATGTGAAGACAACACAGCCATCAACCAAACCGCTAATGGTCTTCTTCCGAACACAGGAGCCAAAGGAGCAGTAGCTCAGAAGGTCGCATGATGTGTTGCGTATAAATCGCACATACTACAGCACATGTTACATAACAAAGAGTTATCAGCTGATGATGCCAGTAACCTAAACCCTTGGAATTTGACAACAGGCAATGCCTCCCCTGTGGCGAAATTTAACTTAACTGTTCAACAACGTACTGCGTTTTCCAATTTCCCAGGCAGTGGCTAACGGCTGTAGCCTGTCTACCGCGCCCAAACGCGCCTGCGCACCGCAGCAGTAGGAAACAACCACCGCAGCTGTGCACACCAGCCCGCCGGAGCGGGCGGCCCGGACCCGCCGCTCCGGCCGGCGAGGCGACCTCTGCTGTCGCCCGGCTAAACAGGACACGGCCCAGCGTCGAGCCGCCTCCCAACCGAGCCGGGCGGCCGTCCGCCCCGGCGCGCGCCGCCCCCTACCTTGGAGAGCGCCGCCTTGTCGCGGATGATGTACTCGTAGGTGGTGAGCAGCACGTTGAACTTGGCCGCGCGCATCTGGTTCTGGATGTGGCGGCGCGCCGACGGCGAGCCCTTGTAGGCCACCACGCGCACCGACGGCGCCCACTTCTCGAACTCCAGCACCCAGTTGGAGAGTGTGGAGAGTGGCAGGATGATGAGGTACGGCCCGTTCACCTTCTTTATCTCCATCAGGTAGGTGACAAGCGCGATAGTCTGGATGGTCTTGCCCAGACCCATCTCGTCCGCCAGGATGCCTGCATGGCCGACAACGAGCGATCGATCAAGCTCAGGAGGATCCACTGATTTAGTGCATGGCTTTTCGTGTGTACAGGAGCGCAATACCTGGGCATGTCGTGCCCCGACCTGTCAATGCTCTCGCAGGAAAATCGGATACTTCCACGCACAAGAGCTAACACTTCAAAGTCACTGCAAAGACGTTTGGACAGAGAATTAGACCACCGGGCCAGTCGATTTTTGACGCGTCTGCACCGGCGCGAGCGTCCGGCTGGACCAGAGCGCGCCGAGCTTACCGTTGAGGTTGTTGTTGTAGAGCGACACCAGCCACTCCAGGCCCTTGACCTGGTACTCCTTCAGCTTGCCGTTGACCATGATGGACGCCTGCTCCGTCACCGTCTCGTGGATTGCGTGAGCGATGCTGGAACGGCCCGCACAGAGGTAACATCTCGCTAAGGATGTCATGTCTTACACGCACGCGCAACGCCTCCAACTTATTAAAAACCAACGAGTCAGTAGAGACGACGGTCCAACAGAACGTGACGCCTAGACGGGATTTTAGAGCGACCCGATAGCAGCACGAGCCAAAGGCCGAAACGACAGATCTTAGGAGAGACCATATATGGCCCGAGATTCGTGGTGAACGCAGATAGCGACACAATCCAGTGATATTCGCTTAGCATAGCTCGCCTCCCGGCACACCGATCATCTTCCTCGGCGCGAGCCCCGGCCCAGACAGCTAGCATGCCACCGACCCCAGCCCAGCAATGCCTGCCGCAGAGCGCCGCGACCGACCGCAGCAGCCCGCCAGCAGCGCTGGACCCCGGCCGCCTCTAGCCTGGGTCGACTGCGTAGGACGTCAGCCAGTGGCCGCACCGGCCGGGGCCAGAACACAGCGTCAGCCGACCAGCTGACGTGGCTGAGGCAACCGTCAGTCCCGGACGGCAGCCACCTACCGGGAGGAGCTGGTGCAGCGACCGGGACGTGGGGCCGGACACCCACCTGTAGTAGTTGGCCTCTCCCATTTCCTTGCTCTTGTACTCGTCATCATCCGTCCTAGCCTTCTTAATGATCGTCTTGGCTTTGTCCTCCTCCGTGAGCACCTCGGCGTTGCCGTTCGTCCCCTTACTTTCATCCTCCTCATCTTCCATCTCTTCGTCCTCGTCAGGTACGACCACCCAGCCAGGGTGAGCCTCCAACCACGCCTGGCGCATACACGAGGGTCAGGCGGCGCCGGCAGCGGCTACACAGCACGTGACACGAGAGCTCTGCCGCTTGATTCGGTTGCTGAGGGAAGCACAGTCTAGAAGTTCAGCAAAGAGCATGAACAGACACCACAAATTGTGCAGTACATGCAACCACACGGTAACTTAACGACGTGACCCCAGGCTGAAGTAGCAGTGCCGTGTTTGCTTGAGCACTGTGTGCCGCACCGCCCAGCTGACGTGCCTCGGTCATCAAGTGACCCATACCGTCATCTCCTGCCGTCTCCTAAATATGCGCAACGTCGGCCCGAACACCACATCCACACAATCACACGCCAGCTGTTAGGTGACGCGCGCGGGTAGTCCGGGGGCGCGGCGGGCCGTCCGCCGGACCGCCTGCCGGGCTCACCTGCAGCTCCACGGCCAGCGGGGCGTCGTCGCCCGCCAGCGTCATGCCGCTCTCCGTGTTGGTGACGATGACGCGCCGCGTGGCCGGGTCCTCTTCGTGCTTGCGCGCGTGCTCGCGCTTCTTCTCCTTGAGCTCCTCCTGCGCGCACACGTGTCGCGGCCAACGCCCGTCAACATGGCGCGCCCGCCTCCACCAGCGCAAGCATCACCGCACGAGCAGGGACTAGGGCTCAGCTCAGCCATGGTAGATGCACACACCCCAGCCTCATCGCAGCACCGACAGCCTACAACAACTCAAAGACAGAATGCCACCGCTGAGCTGCATAGTGAGGCTGGCTCACAGTCCTATGACAGCTGCGTGCCGGCCGTCGCTGACCCGCCGCCCGCGGACGCTGAGACCCACCTTGTGCTGCTTAACCATCTCGGTGAGGTTGGCGATGTACTCGTCGGTCTGCTGCAGCAGCAGCGCCAGCCGCTTGTCCTTCTTCTGGTCGATGAGCTTGCGGTAGCCCTCCTCGTCCTCGGCCATGAGTCGGCGCATGCGCTCCTTCTCGATGCGCTCCTGCTCCTTCTGTTTCTCGCGCTCTGTGTTGGCGTGGTGCACCTGCACGGCGCGGTTGAGCTTCTGCAGTCGCAGCTGGCCGTTGCGGTGGAACTCGCGCAGCTCCTTGCCGTGCTGTAGCACTGCCGCCAGGTACTCCTGCCGACAGCGCCAATGGCCAGATGTCAGCGCGGAGCATCACTCGGTCGATCACATGTGGGCAGGTAGCCGGTTCGGGCTGCTGGGATCCCACGTGTACCATCAGGTGATATCGGCACCATACCAGCCCCCAACACATAATGTGCATAACGTGGATATCGTGCAATCGTGCATTGGCTGTAAGGTGGCATTGGTACCACAGCTACCCACAGTGTAATAGCTGCAATGTACATGTCATACAATCTTACTTGTGGTGTAAGCACTAGACAAATATTAAATACATCAACAGACATGATGTGCAGGTAATGCAAGCCGCATGCAGCTGGTTAACTATGACCAAAACATACCTTTCGTATATATCAACAGACACGTTTCGACGTTCGCAAACATCGAGGTGACTAACAGTTTTGGCTCGAGTATCTCCTAACTTTAACATCGATCTCCCCAGGCCGTACCATGTGCTTCTGGCGCTTCTTCTTCTCAGCCTCATAGCGCTGCTGCTTCTCGAGCTTCTCCGTGATGCGCGCCTCGCGCAGGCCCTGCCGCTTCTTGCGCTTGTAGGCGGTGACGTGCAGCGCCGTCTCCAGGCTCGTGTCGCGGCGGGTCATCTCCAGCACCTGTCCGCGCGCCGCACAAGGCCGGCCGTCACAACTGGACGCACACTACCAGAAACACCCCAAAAACAGCACAAATGGCCACCAACCGCTGCTAAGAGGCCGCAGCTCTGTGTGCGTTCCTCAAGAGATATCATGAAAATCATGAAACATACCTAAAGCTGCATTATGACAATGTAGCAATCTGTTTATAAGGCCCGCGGCGCGGGTGGGCAGCCGGCGAGACTGACCTCTCTCCGCAGCTGCCGCTGGAAGTTGAGCAGGCGCAGGGCACGCAGCTCGATCTGCGAGCGCAGCCGCACGTCGTCGGCCATGGTGGCCGGCAGACCGGTCAGCTCGTCGATGCGGTGCGAGATGCGCGTCACCAGCCGGTTCTCGCGCTCGCGCAGCAGCACCAGCGGGTCCAGGCCGCACGGCTTCTGCAGCGGTGTGATCTGCGGATGGCGCCGGCGGGCGTCACCAGACGGTCAGGCGGACAGGTCGTGCGGTCGAGAGTACACGGACGGCGCCGGCCGACGTCACCAGACGGCCGGGCGAACAGGCCGGGCGGACAGGTCGTGCGGTCGCGACTACACGGACGGCGCCGGCGGGCATCACCAGACAGCCGGGCGGACAGGCTGTGCGGTCGAGAGTACACGGACGGCCGACGGCGCCCGACGCTCGGCGCTGTCGAACGCTCGACACGGTCGGCTGCAGCGAAGAGACCGGCGGACAACGTGCCCCGCCCCCGCAACACGGCCGTTTACAATTGCTGACGTCATAGACCAACCGAATGCGCAGGTAACTGCAACGGGCGCGCGACGGGCAAAAACAGCGAAGCGTATGAACCGTCACCATTACTCCGCCCAGTAGCGCTGGCGATAGCTGCTTTCGCCGACATGCAGGTGACTCCGTCAGCCATTACTGACACGCATGCTAGTTCAGCCTCCGCGCGTCGGCAGCGCCCACGGCAGGGAGCTGGGTAATGGAAGGCCTGGACGGACGGCGCAGCGTCAACGACGGTGGCCTGGCGCCGTTGGATCTGGCCTGGTGGGCTGCAGTTCAATGTTCTACTTTGTTCAATTTAATTCTATTCTAAAATCTAAATTCAATGTTCTAGCTGTTGTCTTTGCTTCCGTAACTTCGAAAACGGCACCGGTACAACTTCAGGTTTGCCTATTTTATGCATGTATTGTTCCCCTGTATCGCAGACACAAAAGCGAAGTGCTTGGACAATGAGGCGCGGTCGCCGTACCTTGTTCTGTTTGGTCTGCTGCATGGCGGCGCCCTGCTGCGCTGGCGGCGGCTGCACGGGCGCAGGCGCGGCCGGCGCTGCCGGCGGCACGGCGGGGCTCGGCGCCGGCACCGGGGCGACGGCTGCCGGCGGCGCCGGCGCCGCGGCCGTCGGTGGCGCCGCCGGCCGCGGCGGGCCCTGACCGGGCGGGGGGCCGACGGGCGCCACGTGGCCCGGCGGCGGCGTCCGCACCGGCGGCTGGCCCTCCTGGGGCGGCGGCGGCGCCGCGCTCGGTGCCGCCGCCGGCTGGCTCTGGCTGAACGGCGGTGGCGGCGGTGGAGGCGGCGGCGGCGGCGGAGTGGCGTCGGGCCGCTTGCCTGCCGACCGGGATGTGTCAGCTGTGAGGGGGGGGGGGGGGGGGCGACACTTCCACGTCATCGTATCACTACACGGGTGCGGCAACAGCCTCAGAAGAGCACGCATACTCTCCTGGTCCGACAACATGCTATGTCAACTGAGATGACCCCGTCCAAGGCCGGGCGGACGCATATCGTCATTTCTTACAAACAAGAAGCATGCTATGAAAGCATCCAACGAATAGGCGAAGTAAAATTGCGTGAACTTTCAACTTTTGGCGGCCTGACTGCCGCCCAGCACTGACCTGCGATGGCCAAGTTCAGGTAGTTGGTGGGAATGGGCTGGTTGCGCGCCAGCAGCCGGTAGGCCATGATCTGGGCCTTGAGCTGCTGCAGCTGCGGCTGCTGGAAGAGACCGCCGCCGGGCGGCCGCTCGGCACCGGGCGGGGCGGGGCCGGCGCCGGGGGTGGGGCCCGGCCCCGGCCCCGGTCCCGGTCCCGGTCCCGGCCGCGGTCCGTTCATCTGGCCGGGGTGGCGGTAGCCGGCCTGCTGCTGCGCCAGACACGCCCCGTCAGTGGGCGCACGCCGCGCAGGCCGCCGCTCAGAGGCCGCGGTCAAACACCGGCCACGCGCGCTCATCGGGATATCAATACGCTAAAGGTCAAGTGACGCCAGAGAGCGAGGCCTAGCATTGCGGCACGTTAAGCCTTCGCCATAAAATTGAGCCAGGGAGCTGGGATATCACGATCAGATGGTAAGGTCAGGGTCCACACAACAAGCACCGCCCAGCGAAGCTCTCATTACAGAAATCCATACAAAAACATGACTCGCTCCGAAAGACAGCAACAAACATGGAACACTGCCACAGGGAACGAGCAAAAGTCTCAGACCGGAGGAAACGACCTTCCTTCCGCCGTGGACCAGCTTCCGTGGACCACTTCGCTTCTGCCGCACAATGGTGTGAATAACCTCTCGACATTAAAGCCCGACGCATTCTGGCTGCCCCTTCAGGCCGCATCTCAGCCACGGGTGTGAGCCTAGCTGGTACAACACGGCGGCCTTGCGTCCACCATCTGGCGTGTTGGCGGCCGGCCGGCGGCGGTGGTCGGGGCCGTACCTGCGCCTGCGAGTGCTGGTGCTTGGCCCGGATCGCCAGCAACTGACTGTAGCGGGCGTCATCCTGCAGGCCCTTCTCCTCCATGCTGGTAATGGCCGCCTGCAGCGCGTTCAGGCCGAACTCAGGCGGGCCGCCGGCGGCTCCGCTGTAGCCGCCCTCTGCCGGCATGCCAGGCGCGCTCTGAGCAGGACCGCGCCCGGCGCGCGCAGCCCACAGACGCCGACGCCTCGCGTTACACCGTCTAACGTCATCAGCATACATGACGAACAGTAAAGTGTCAATGGTAAACTGTTGTTAAGCACCGAGCTAGGACGAAAAATTACAGGATTCCAGGGACAAACGAAACAAACAACATGCCAGCCCATGACACAATTCCTGCCCAGTACCCAACAATGACCAGCGCTGCTGGACGCGGCCGCCGCGGGGTGCGCGGCGCAGCGCTGCCGCTCACCTGCGGGCGGGTGGGCGCCGGCGCCGGGCGGCGGCGGCTGCCAGTGCTGCGCTGGCTGGCCGCCCGGCGGCGGGTACGGCCCGGCCGGCGGCGGCGGCCCGCCGGCGGCCAGGTGGTGCGGCGGCCCGTGCGGCGGCCCCATGGCCGGCAGCGGCGGCCCGGCCGGCGCGCCATGCTGCAGCGCCATCGGCGACGGCGCGCGCGGCGGTCCCATCGGCGACGACGTGCGCGGCACCGGGCTCGAGGAGACGGTCGGCCGCGGCTCAGACATGGCGGCGCTCAGCTGCCGGACACGGCCGGCGCGTCAGAAGGGTCGGCACCACACAGAGACAGACTGCACAGCATTGAATAGTACCACACAGCAACTGCAGACTGATGACTTTCCACTGAGAACCATCAAATGTTGTCATGGTTGCTGATGATTTTGGTTTGGATAGGCAGTACAGTGGTGGGACAATTTTTTGTTGAAGGCCCCTAGGCCCAGCTTTCAGATTTGACTAGCATGTGCAAAGGAGTCACAATGAACAGCATTGTGCAAGGCAAACCAATCTACAAACACATGCAGTAAGTTCAGTACCACAATATTATGCAAAAGTGAAGATTTACAACTGTAATTTTCCCACTTTGTTAAACCTATGTTATCTCTGACAACAGGGCATACAATAACAGATGCAATAGATCAGCTCATAGACAAAGTGGAAAGCAAATTTGTGTAACCTGGCTGTTCCTGGAGAAGTTCTTTTCAATCATAGAGCTTAAGACTACCTGTATGAGGGGAGGGACAGCAATGAGGAGCTAAAACATCCACACTGGTCATCCCTTTCAAAATCTCATATTTAGGTAATTAATTCAAATATCAAGCAGCTAGTTCTTACCACATTGTTTTTTAACATAAGGCAAATTTTGTATTAAAAAACAGGCTGGGGTAAAAGGCATTAAAACAAATCATTGAACAATGCATCTATGAATAAATATGCCATCAGGCCATGTTGCAAACAAATAGCATGGCCACTTTTTTACTGTAAAGCCAAACTTTTCATAAAATGTGACTCCATATCAAGAAAAATACCCATACCAGGTGGGAGAGAATACCACATATATTCCTAAGACCTTCAAAGCAGAGGGAGCATTCTTCATTTGTATGGGTAAACCTAAACACTCAACTCAAATATCATTTGATGCAGTTCATAGAACTGACTTTCTTGAAACCTAAGCCCCTCTAGTCTTTTAGCTTACCAGCAGCACCAAATGCATACTAACACTATTTCCAGCAACTGTACCCCTATATCCAATATATTTTGTTATGGTTAACACTTATCTTATTTTGAAAACTCTACACAGCCTACAAATATTGTTCACTGGCTCCTTTTATGTGCTATATCCTTCACACACCTAACACATTATGTTACATAGCATATCTAAATGCAATTTACATAAAAAGCATATTTAGTCAATATCATGGCAGTAAATGGTCACAAAATATTTTAAATGTGGCCACATCAACCTTTCAAAATTGCTGGTATATACTTAAGCTGTGTGTATACACCACTCAAAATGAAGTATGGACACATATCAGGCTTGCACACTCTCCAAAAATATTGAGGTAGGTTGCAAGCATTGTGCTTATGCACATTGACAGACCTGGAGAGGAACAAGCCAGAAGACAAAAATCATCAGTTAAAACTTGGTTTAAATGCTGTCTGCACTTGGGATAGCACTGCTATAATTGACAAGGATATGTAACAAGGCATTCACACAAGGATTTGTCCAATTTGGGAGATGGCTAATGAAGTCATATGATTATTAGTGCTCATGACTAGTATGCCATGTTTAAATTAGCTGTGAGGTTAAAAACATAGCATTTTGAATTCTATCAAAATGATTTGGATGGTTCAACACCATGCAGGGATTCAATCTATAGCTAGTTATCTACTTATGTGCCATTTTTATAATACTGTCCTTTTGGAAAAGGTGGTTTTCAGCACCAAAATTTACTTGCAGAGCACACTGCTTCAACCCTCCAATAGACAGTGGCAGAGGACACCTTTTTAGCCACCTGCAATGATGATTGATGGAGGCCTCATACACAACAAGTTTTGGGTTTAAAACAACTGGACCACCAGGGAACCACACTATTTGGTGAATATTTGCACATCTGACTGATAGAAGCTGCCTGCTCACCAATTCACTGCATGGCTGCTAGTGACTGGGTGGGCATTGCTGGAAGTGGAGGCAATCACTCATTTAAGCCAGCTGCTTGATCATCAGCTTCCAGGAATCTTGAAAAGTATGTAAGTCTACCAGCCTCCTTTTGAACTATGTATAGGTCTGATACATGACTGCCCTCCATATAAGATAGTGTTTAAGCACAACCACCTAGCTGTAAGAAAGCATTTTGAGCCACAAGTACCAATTTTCTCAAGGTGAAATTGCACCACCCACACTGTACTGCATCCACTCTATCCACACAAAAAATTAAATTGACTACATTAATCATTCCAATAACCTGAAGCACACACTGTGAAATGCACAACTATGGACACAAGAAATCAGCCTATTAACACAGATTAGACCACCATGTATGAAACTGACAGCTACATACCTCTGTACATTGATAAATATTTCCTGATCAAGGATAAAAGAACATAGCTTATCGTAAAAATTGTGATATAATGATAGTATATCATAAATAATTCAGAAATATTATTGCGAAGCACCTTAAGATTATCAACACATGAGGACCATTATAATCCCCTATCATTAGCTGCTCAGAAAATATTCAAAATACGATCATATCGACGCTAACAATGAGCACGGACACAAATATTTGAAAATATGTATGTCACCACGCACATCACTGATCAGGAATCTCCTGTTAGGCGCTTACCTCAAAGTATTACGATAGGTCTGTAGAGTTCGCTGAATCAAAAATGTTCCATCGTCGAGGAGATGGGAACACGTTTCTCCAAATTATATTTTCGCCGTCATGTATTCTACTTCCGACAGCACAGCGCCCCCTTTCTCATCATTCTACTGAAGCCGGGACCGACGACGCGGATCACCACAAAGGCCGCAAAATGGCCGAGAGGGAACAGGACAGCTAAATTACGATCGCGTGTGTAAAGCACGATCACATAGATCATTATTGCAAGAGTAGGTATATATGACTTCGGACAAAGCTAACATGTTTCGATCAACCAAAAATTATTTGATTTTCAGTCGGTTCTCAGCATAAGGAGGTGCAGTAAGTTAAAATGGTGGTGTTATTTCGCTTCTTCTGCGTAGCGCCCTTATTTCCGCTAATATTTCATGCTGCTTTAATTGGCCGGGGGCTTGCATATTTACCTATAGATGAAAGTGGTTTTACCTTACCATACAAATGCAAGGCCATGCGGCCACAGACGATTTTATTTATTTGAGGCCATTGAACTTATTCAACCCAATTAAACCCAGTGTTTTTATTACCTTGATGGCACCCTTCGTCCTTCCTGTGGCAGCTATCCTTGGCGTGGCCGTGAGACTCACCCAAGGCCCTAGGACTCACCGGTGATGTACGAGAGAAATAAAATGAGATGAGCAGCAGTACAGAGGTGCGAGCTGTAGTTTTCGGGAATGGCTTGAAATGCCGTGGGGCTAACGTGTTGGGGCTAGGCACCGATTCTGTAACCTGTTTTCAATAGACGTCATCCGACGTAACCAAGGTTGTTTCCATTACCTTGAAGTTCCTGGAGAAGCCAAGACACTTGGCTGGAAGTTGGAATAGGTACCTATCTTTGCAGTCTGCCTTCACACGGCATAGGAGCCCTATGTGGTTGTAGTAGTAAGGTCCTATGATTGGTCCACGTAAGGCGTTGGGGAGAGGGTGGGTGCCAGTCATGTAGGCGTGCGTTCTATCACCCTGTGTAGGCATAGGGTGTGAGAGTTTTGGTGGTGAGGGAGGAGATAATGGGGAGTAAGGTGGTGGTTTATAAAATATCACACTTTGTATTTCAGTGAGGTGGAAGTACAAGTGTCATCCCAAGATCAGATACCTATTTGGACAAATTCAAAACATTGTCATTAAGTAGAGAATTAGACTAATAGGAAATGCCACCATCTTATGAGATTTTCATCATCATTGTACCAAGTACCAATGTTACCTTAACTTCACAAGAGGAGCAATGTGTTTGAAGCTGTGACATGAGGAAAAATATGGAAGAACTCAGCAGATTGAAGCACCATTCAATTCCAGTCTGAACTGGTCAGATTCAGTCAAAAATTGTCTGTTTAAGAAATGATTGCAAGGTTTTTTCTCCATGTACCAAGGCATACACTCATGTTTCAGATACTGCATGGTAATATGCTAGTTGTATTTGGCTGTTCAAACAGCATCACTGCCTAGTTGCTTAGTTATGAGGGAGACAGTGTCAGAGGATGCAGGTAGACTGTGTTGCACAGGATTTAATGTGATGATTAGCCTGTTCAATCTAGAATTCCTGAACCACATTGGACTTGTGACTGAGTGACAAAAGCCTTTTCAGCAGGTGTGCAACCTTGGCATTGCCAGACCCACATAGCTTTCACCGAAGGCCTGTGTAATTATCAGTGGGAGAGCTTATCAGAATGGGGGTTTGACAGATGTCAGGGCCTCTTTGTTGGGACCTAAGGCTGTTTTGGTGCCAGGGTCAGGTTGAAAAATGCAGGCATATTTGTGGATGTAGATATGTGTGCATAAGGGCAAGGCATGAACAGGTACTTGCCTATTACTGCTGTTTATCAGGAAAAGGGTTTTGGCTGCCTGCAAGGTGGTGGCATCCTCAAGGAACATGTCTCTATGTTTGGCAGAACAATCATCAAAGTTGATATATTGCCAGTAAGAACAATGATGATAAATTTTCAGTAATGACAAGAGCTCAGCAGTTCATAGCATTAAATGCTGACATGATGTTCAACTAAATATTTAGAGGAAAACTTGAAGGAGTTGATGTAAGGTGTTTTCCCCCAACCTGTACATTCCTGTTGGCATGGATGAGATCAGAAATATGCATCATTCAATGCTGCAATAAAATCTGACACAAATTGCAACACTTTATAACAAGGTCACAATATTCTATGTGGTGCTAAAACTGCATGGAGCTGCTGTGATTGGTCAGAAATTTATGGGGATGCAAATGGCCTTGCATTCAGCATTGTATTCAGCTGTGCCAGTCAAGTTTAAAACATTTGTGTGGTTTGAGTAAGGCTCCTTTGGCTTACCATCTCCCTCATAGATGGACATCATGTGCTAGCAAATGTTTCTGTGCATTGTGCTTCATGCACTGTCAGTCCCACTGGACTGACAAATTTGTGTCATCTCCTTCAGTACTTGTTGAAGCTGTGACCCGAAAGCTGAAGCAGATGGGTGTGGATGATGCTCAAGAAGTGCGTGCCACGGTGGGCCGCACCACTCGCTCCTCAAGCCGGACAGAGCCAGACCACCAGGTGGCCAAGCCCCGTGGCAAGGGCCGCAAGAGAAGTCGCAGGAACAGGGTATGTGCCCACATGGGATGTTGGATTGTTGATGGTGTTGAAACAATTAAGGTGTGATTAGTGATGAGTCATGCAGCACTTGATTGATTGTGGTTTTGCCCACTTAAGTGTTATCTACATGGTGTGAGGTCAAAAGGCGAGCATTATATATAAAATCGTAGGCCAGATCAAGTGGAATAAAAGAGTAGAGTGTGGTGGGCCTGTAATTATACCCAACTGCAATTTTTGATGCATAAACAATCAGCTGATTAGAGTAGCAGCTGAGCACTGACCACTATGTACAAAACCAATATGCCACTAAATCTTCCAATCATGAAGCTACAAGTCATCCCATGACTCCTGTATTTATCATCATGGCTCAACTACTGCCATATATACCGTCATGTCTCCTGTACTCCCGTACTTGCCATCATGACTCGTACTGTGGGCTCGCTGACCGGCCGCTGTGCATGGTCTCCGGAGCGTGGTGGGTCAACTTTGGCGCCACTCTCAGCCCGCGCCACGCGGTCGACTTCGGCAGGTGATCGAGAGCGATGATGAGGAGATGGCCGCCCCAGCTGAGTCACTGCAGTCTCCGGACGACCAGAGGCAGCAGTCGCCTCCGCCATCGGCGCCGGCGCCGCCCCGCACGCCCACGCCGCCGCCGCCGCCCGCCAAGACGTTCGACATGGAGGCCGACATCTCCATGCTGGAGCCGGCCACGTTCACCACCATCGACCGAGGACCGCCGGAGCCGATGCGGAGACTGAGCTGGCACCACAAGGTGAGCGCTGACGCCCGGTGGCCAGCAGGGAGAAGGCCCTGTGGCGCAGGCCACCTGGTCCATGGGGGGGGGGGGGGCAGAGATGGCACTCCCAGTGGTGGTACGCCGATGACGTGGGACTGCCGACGGTGCCCTGGCTCATTTTGAGACGGGTCTGACTACAGCCCATGGGGCAGGGATGCCTGGACAAAGCGTGTTGTATGCGACGTGAAGAACATGTTATTATGCAAGTGGATCAGCAGCTGAACGCGTGTATCATGCCGACGTGGCCGTCTTTTCTATCAGGGAAGGTGATTCATGTTAGCAGTTCGTAATGAAACTTACTACATTTACCCATAACTATGCGCTATCTGTGATATTTGTCGCTCTGGGGATAAGTGACATTATGGCGAGCAACAATGCTAAATCTATTCAAATATCAGTTAATAAATTTTGTCATGTTTTGCAGGTGAATCTGATGGCAGAGAAGGTGCTCAATCCGCTGATATACATGTGTGAGAAGTGTGACTGCCCGGTGCTTTCTTATGGACGCATGGTGAGTGCTTTGTGGTTGTTGACCAAGGGCAGGACTGCATTTGTAATGTATAACGGAACATGCACTATATTGAACATACGTGAACACCTCAAAAACTAAAGAAGCTTTGCGTGTTTAACGTCGCATGGCCGTGTTGAGCACGCCTTTGTGTCTAAACAATCATGTTCGATAGTGTTGATGTTCTTAATGAATCTCGTTCAGAGATGTCGGTAATAGGATTTCGTCGTTCGCAAACGCAGTATCTAAATTCCGCGGCCGACACGAGACAGATCAACGTGTTCCGTCGCGTGGGGCATGGAACACCGCAGTCCTTCGGCGCGGCCGTTTCTGGGACGTCACGTCCGGTCCTCTCACAGATCCCCTGCAAGCACGTGCTGTGCTACGACTGCGCCAAGGTACAGGACAAGTGCTGGCGGTGCGGCGACCGAGCGGTGCGCGTGGAACGGGCCGACCTGGGCAAGCTCTACATGTGCCTGCACGACGGCAAACGCTACGACAACAACGGCTGCCGACGCACTTACCTCAGCCAGCGCGACCTGCAGGTGGGAGTCGGACGACCGAGACCGGCCGCCGCCGCACGGCCTGGCTCCGGTCAGGCACGCGTAGCATCTGGACAGGCTGTAAACGCTTGTTAACTTTTGTATGTCTCTAGAGAGCCCACAACAGTATGTGCAAAGTGGTGGCGTTTTCCTAAGTGCACAAGCTTTTAGCCTCCAGTTTTTGTTTTATCCTGTGCTGTACTGGGACATCGCTTTGATGGGTAAGGCCGGGCCGGTGTGAGCCAGAACTCTGAACTTTTAACTTTGAGAGGGATGCGTGGATGCGGTTTTTTGTTGTTGTTCTGGGCTTGGCACTGCTGCAGCCGCTCCCATTGCCCTACTAGGCTATGCTCCAGCTGGTGTAATCAGCTGACCGCACAGCTGCGTTCCAGTGTGGTGGGAATTAAGACGGTTCGAAGTGCATTAATCTCGGTTAGATGTTGAATAGGCCGGAGCTGTTATCTTTCGCACAGAATACTTGCTTTTCACCTAGTCACGAATGACATTCAGTGTTCGACCTTGCACTGAGCAATTATTGGTCTTGCTGACTATTATAGCGTGTGCCGAAATATACGCTTGACGTGACCCCGCTGCCCTTTCAGGCGCATATCAACCACCGCCACCGCCGCACTGCGCCGGTTGCGTCAGCCCCGCCGCCACCGCCGCCGCCTCCGCCTCCGCCGCCACCTCCGCCGGCTGTGGTGCCCCGTCGTGCCACCGACGATAAGCCTACCGACCGACGCGACCCGCGCGCTTCCTCCTTCCCCTCCCCGACCGCTGCTCACGGCTTCCACGGCGTAGGCTCGCACGGGTCAGGCGCGCACGGGTCAGGTTCACATGGGTCAGGCTCACATGGGTCAGGCTCACATGGTTCAGGCTCACATGGTCCTGGCTCACATAGTTCAGGCTCACATGGTTCAGGCTCACATGGCCCAGGCTCGCATGGTGCGAGCTCGCATGGCCTTGGCTCACATGGGTCAGGCCCGCATGGACCGGGCTCACATGGCCCAGGCTCACATGGCCCAGGCTCACATGGCCCAGGCTCGCATGGCCCAGGCTCACATGTGGCTGGGTCACACGGGTCCAGCTGCCACGTGTCGAGCCCGCACGGCGCGGGATCTCACGGCGTCAGTTCGCACGGCTCGCACGGCGGCCACCACCCGCAGCGGTTCAGCCCGCCCAAGTCGGCGCCGCCGCCCATGAAGCAGCAGCAGATTCCCGTCATGACCACGCAGCGCAGCGGCAACCTGATCACGATCCCGATCCAAGGCCAGGAGCCGGCGCAGGAGTCACCGCCGCAGCCGCCGCCGCCTCCGCCGCAGTACGCCGCCTATCAGCAGCAGTACGCTCCGGCCGGCTACGGCCAGCCGGAGCCGGCCGGCGCCTACTACCAGGCGCCGCCGCCGCCGGCGCCGGCTGGCTACGGCCGTGCGTTTCCGCCGCCGGTGCCGCCGCCGCCGGGGGTGCGGCCGGCACAGTACCCGGCCGGCCAGCCTTGGGCCGCGCCGCCGCCGCTCGGCCGCCCGCCGCCCGGCGGCCGCTACTACCGATAGACGGGACCCGGCGCGCCGCCGCCGTCGCCGCTGGGGACGGCGTCAGCTGGCGTTCGGAGCGGCCGCTGCCGCGGAGGGGCTGCCCTAGTGCGGCGATAACGACGGCGCGACGTGTCCGCTTGTGTCGACAGGTGCGAGGGACGGTGCTGTAACCGGCTCGGTTGTGCGCACGCCGCTGCAGGTCCGATACGCAGAGCGGTCCTCGGTTGCTGGTGTGTGGTGTGTACCGCTGCCAGAGCGCGGCAGGTGTGACAGCCAACAACAGCAGGCTATCACCGGCCAGCGATGTCGCGCGCACATCAGCGCAGACGTCCACGCCCTTGCCCATGGGTGTAAACACCATGTCCTTGAGATTTGGGGAGGGGCAAGGCAAGATTGGATGCCTTAAACTAGAATCTGGCGGAGCAACCTTGCTTGAAAATTACATTAAAATGAAGATTCATGGAAAGCTGCATTTTTTCTAAAGATGGGAGAGGACAACATCCAATTTCGATGAAAACAGGAGGGGGGGGGGGGGGGGGGGGGGCTTGCCTCTCCCTCCGTGTGTGTACGCCTATGCCCATGCCAGTGTTTTTTGACTATTGCTAATTTCTGGCGGTTAACGGGAACCCGCATTTGTATTTTTCTAACGATGCCTTTCACATTGTTAGTTGTTAAAAGTCGCGGAAGAAAAATACAATGGTGTCAGCTTTTCTGTGTTTGGTGTGCATAGTTTTATTGCTGGAGTGTAGCCATAGCAAAAAAAGTTGTATTGAAGATAAAAATATGTTGACATGTATAAGACCAGCCTGCAATGCGCTGGCATTAAAGCGACCATTCTACTCGTGTTTATCAGCCGGGAAAATGCCAGTCGCGTTCGCAATACTGGAGTGTTCCTAATGAAAGCCATACCCACCGTCACTGATTGAACCACCGCCAGTACGCTGGCCGGACCCCGGCCTGGGATACATAGTCCCTTCTGTCTTATTCCTGCCACACCGTGAGGTTGAGCACTTGTTAAGATTGGGCTGTGCGTGTTAAGTAGCGATGGCGCGACCAGTAAGCGCATAATCGTATGCACCAGCTGGACAGCTAAGTGGGTACCAGTTTCGAGCTGCGTGATAGTTCTGTGCCACATTTGGTGGCTTCTGGCGATCATTTGTGGTATTCAACAAGGAGGTGGAAACCTAAGAACAGAGCTGGGCGGGGGGAGGGAAACCAGCTTCGAGATGCCATACTTCGCCTCTACGCTACCGCTTTGCTTAATCTGGATGCAGGACAGTAGCGTAGGCTGTTATTCCACATTACACTGTTCCGGCCAATGAGGTGTATTGTGTGAGGCCAATGAGGTGCAAATATGTGACCAGAAGAGTGCGCCACCCTGCGGGCAGAAACAACTTGGCCCTGGCTTGGCAGGGTAATATGGCATCAATTTGGCTGCATGCATTGGATGCTAATATTGCGCTAAAAATACAATTGCGGCTTTCAGACATTTTTCGATTGCGTTCTGTTAGTGTTGCGCTTGATTTTTCAAATTGGGAGTTAGCTGTGATTTGCCATTTTTGGTTTGCTATATGCCCAACCATTGTAGCCAAATATTTTCAGTGGTCCTACAAAGACGCATGATAAATAAAGGTTAACAAATTTCGTGTTGGGACTAAGTCTGTAGGGGACGAGTGACATGAATCTCTTAGATGTTGTTTCGGGGCTTTTTGAAATAAGTACATTTTGGGTGCCTTCTTGGTTATATGATTCCACTGCAAACCACATCCATGTCTTACTTTCTCAGTTTCCTTTTTACAATCCTAACATTATCATTTCACTTTTCATTTCCACATTCCCTTGGAAATTTGGTTTCAACTGCTTGTGGCTTGCTAGGGTAATGGCAAGTAAACATTCCCATATTTTTTTTGCAGGGAGCTTTTTAAAATTAAAATCCGGCACAATTTGGCCTTGGCTGAGCTTAGTTTAAGTGTGTTTCAGGCGCAGCATCTCGACAACACCTAAACATGTCAGAATGGATGACTTATTTGCTGACTGGACTCCAGCCCAAGGAGTTTTTGCAAATCTGATGTGCCCTTAATAATATTACTTTGTTCCATTTGCATATGTATTTTATTTTAGGCAGCAAACAGATCCTGTTCACCATGTGTTTTCATTAACTTGAATATGATTTTTTGACCCATGCTTGGACTCAGGCATAAATGCACAGTTGCTGGTTTTGCAGGACCAGTCTCTGCCTGGAATAGATAAACTGGGCACATGTATGTTTGCAGCAGGCTGTTTGTATCCCAGTTGTGTCATGTTTTTTTCTAGAAATGGCTAGAACATTATTTTTAAGTCAAGAATAACCTGATGTTAAATTATTATTTTCTTCCAGTGTAGATTTCATTTAGCTGAAACCCCCAGGGCGAATATACTGGCACATGGCTAAACTGCATACACTCCTGCCAGTTGACTTTGAAAGCCAGGAAATTGGTTCTAAAGCTGAAATGGCAGAGGCTGACAGAAGGTAGGTCACCTTAAATGCTGTGCTTTGTTAAGTGTGTCATGGACTTGAAATGAAAACTTATTTGTTATACACCTATGTGATATGTTACCATTTGTGGTCATTCCAGGACATAGAAAAGAGAAATAAACATTAAAATGTGCATTTAGTCCCACATAAGAAACCTGTGCTGTGCCTCCAGTGAAAAAAACCTGTGCTATGCCTCCAGTGGGTTGGCCTGCTCATGGGCACACTGTCTGGGTATATCTTATATATCTTATATGTGAAGGATCAGATCACTGCCTCAGCTTGGGCATTTTGAACCATATTTTATTATCTGGTATGAAAGGGTGATAAAATCTGTGCCATGTAAAAGTTAAAATCTAGGCATGCTGCCAGAGCTTTTTCAGCTTCTAGTCATGTCCATGCATCACCACACAGGATTTAAACTCTGAGGTCAGAGGTGTTTTGGCATTGTGTTTTGGGCCCGTTTCATTCCTGTTATTATTTTGTATTTCCCTCCTTTTTCCTGCACTTGTTTTCAATGATGAGGATGTAACTAACTTTCAGCCAGCAAGACTCAAGAACCCAATGACATGGATGATCACAATGAGCCAGATTGTGTGGAGGATCCTGCCCATGCAGATGCAGATGCTGAGATCAATGAACAAGGACTCCATGTTACTGTGAAGCAAGAGATGGTGAAGGATTACTATCTTCAAAAATACAAGCAAGAATGGGAATTGTTGCCAGAGTTTGAAGGTTTGTCCTTTATTAAACAAACATCTTCCTATGTATTGGATACTGTATGCCTATTTTGTACAGCATGCTCAGATTTTAGAGGGATGCACATCAAGTCTAGTTTTCATCTTCCACTGGACTAACAAACTGGGACCAATATCAATTGTGACCAAAATGTATTTGCTTTACCCTGGCATGTAGAGGAAAACTTTGTCCTGGTCAAAATTAATCACATGAGGCTATGTAGAGGTTCCAGGACATGACTGGGTCCAAGTGAGAGGTAGGCACACATAATTTTAAAACCGGACTGCCCAAGCAAGAGGGGGTGCATGGGGCTGCAAAGCCGGACTGTGCTCGAGCGAGAGGCGGGCACACAGGGTTCCAGAACCGAACTGTGCCGGAGCAGGAGGCGGGCGCACAGGGCTCCAGAACCAGACTGTGCCCGAGCAGGAGGCGGGAGCGCCCTGCTGCCACGTCCGTCGCGACAGCGGTCTCTGCTTGTCCCCGGCAGACTGGCTGCAGCCGGTGCCGGACGACCCGTACCTGGCCGAGTGCCGGCTGTGCAACACCAAGCTACGCTGTCACAAACTCAAGCTGCGTCAGCACGCCAAGAGCAAGAAGCACCGGGCGAGCGTAGCGCTGGGCGCGCGCATGCGGCGCAACACGGCGTTCGTGCCGACGCGCACGCCGCGCCGCTCGTTCGGCCGGCGCGTGACGGGCCCGGCGCGCGGCCGCGGCCGACCGGCCGGCATGCGTCACGTCCGTGACGAGGCTGACCCGGCCGACCAGCTGGCGCCACAGGACGTCTCCTACAGCGTGAGGACCGGTGGCGGGCGTGGTGACGTCGCCGCTGCGGTGGGCAGATGAGAGCCGGCGCTCCGACTGTTGCGCCGGCTGATGCCCTTTGATGAGAAGTCAGAATCTGGTGCTCTCCGCCCGCCTGCTGCCATGACAGCGGATCCCCTCAGCAACCCGGCGGGCTGATCGGTGCCCTTTCGTCAGGACGGATGGTGCTGTCCAGCTGCCACCAGCGACAGCTTAGTGGGTTATTTTGTACTGCGCCAGGCCAGTGGGTGTGATCCTCTCCTCTGGTGTCAGTAGGTCCGACTCTTTCTCGTGTCGGCTCTGAGGGTGTCAATTGCCCGGAAACCTCAATCCCGAAATGTTGGCAACCCAACAACCTGAGAACTTCCAACACTTGCTGGCAAAGTTCAACACCCTGGGCACTACAGTTGTGGTGGACACCCCCATTGCTCTCTGGCGAAGCAATGCCCCGCACGTCGCCTCGCTGTGGACAGGCCTGATTTTCGCAGCCGACACACGCAGCCAATCTGTTGATTTGTTGGCAGGACACCGGCAGGGTGACGTATTCCATCGGACTGGGTGGCAACAAGGTGGGCTTCATCGGAGCCGGCGTGCTGGCTCAGGCTGTCGCGCTGGCCATCTTAGACAAAGGTGAGTGCGGGACACGGCCTCTTCCACAGAGCGGTGGGTGCAGACACACGCTCTGGTCCGGGGGCGAACAGGGATGCACATTTGATTGTATCAGTTATGGAGTCGCTCGTGTGTCCCCAGGCAGCCTGTGGTCCCCTAACATAGTCTCTGGCAGTAATTCTTAATATTTCTGTGTTTGGTTAGGCCGTCTCTGACACTGCACTTCTCGCCTCTATTTGTATTCGCTCTTGACCTTGTGTACACCTGTTTCCCCACTTCCACCGTCTTCCTTTTCTACTTGGTGTTATGCGCCGGGAGCTGACTGACCCCCCCCCCCCCCCCCCACCGTCCCGCAGGGGTGATCCACTCGGGCCGCGTGACAGTGTCGGCGCCCTCCAGCCGCCACCTGTCCGTCTGGACCAGCTGGGGCGCCACCGTCACCAACTCCAACGACGTCGTCATGCAGACGTGCGACGTGGTGGTGCTGGCCGTGCCGACGGCGGCGGCCGAGGCGGCGCTGCGCGCGCTGGCGCCGGCGCACGACTGCGGCGAACGCTGCTTCATCTCGCTGGTGCCCGGCCTCAGCCGGGGCACGATCGAGGAGGTGGGGAGCGGCGTCGCGGCCGCCGGCCAGGCTGCCCGGCGTCGTGTGCCGGCAGGGCGGCGAGTCGGGCGACCGGGCGGGGCTGGGCGGTCCCGGCTAGACGCTATCGACCCGGCTCAACGCGATCAGTGGGGATCAGCACTGCACGCGTGGCCTTCCGCGAATGGGGCCGCCAACCTCGTTGCATTGATGCAGGTGTGGCTTGAAGCGGCCGTTGATTGCGCTCTATTTCACGTGGTCGTCACCTGCTGTGCCTTCTAGAACGCCGCGAACTCGTCCGAAAGTATCGATTCTTGCAGTCCTTTAATCGACGTCGTGATTGCTAGGAGGATTCCCGTATTGGCAGCGCTCATAAATGGGTGCTTTGTCATTGTCATTGCAGATCCTGGCGTCCAAGTTTGTGCCGCCGTGTCCGCCGGGCGACGTGCAGACGATGGGCTCCATGCACGTGGTGCGCTGCATGGTTAACCTGGCAGTACGCACCGGCACCGGGTGCTGCGGTGAGTGCCGCCACCGACGCCCGGCGCCGGCGCCGAGGGCTCGTCCTCTAGCTTCAGTGCTGGCTTATTGTCTTTTGTCGGTGTATTGCGGGTGTCCTGTATCTTGGTTTGTCATAGTCGTGAATTAAGACAATTGAAATGTGGGTTGAATACACCGTTAAAGAGGAAGGGATCGATGCGGCAGAAAAGTGTAGACATATGCAGCATATTTTCTAGTCACCGTCCTGTATCTAACCTGGGTTATCCGTGGCTGATGTGCCGTCACCTGCCTTGTATGCCCCGGCCTCTGTGTCTAACGTACCCTTTTGTTTTATATCTGTCATACCGAGCTGAAATGTGATGGCATGCCCCGCTCTTCGCTGCCTGTCCTGCCCCGATTCCCGTTGGACGTTCCTTCCACCCTCGTGTCTATCGTACCCCGGTACCCCAACGGATGCACACAGGTCCCGTGTGTGTAATGTGGCGCGGTTCCCTGTGTCTAGCGCTCAGTGTGACGTGTCTTGTGAGCCTTGTGAGAGTCGGGTCTCCTAAAGAGTGTCGGTGCATCGTTCTTGTTCCTCCGTTGTTCCTCCATGACTGTCACGCGGTGGTGTGCGGTGGTACGTGTCTGATGCGCCCCGGTCGGCCGTCTGACCCGCACCGCCCGCCGGCCAGCCTACTCTGTGCCGGCCGCGCTGCCGGACCGCTGGCTGCTCTGCCTGGAGGTGATGTGCGGCGCCATGGGCGTCAGCCAGGCGCTGGACGATGCGCGCCTGGACGCCTTCGCGGCCGCCTTCGCCGGCGGCCCGGCGCTGGCGCTGGCCTTCGCCGACGCGTTGGCGCTGGGCGCCGCCAGCGTCGGCCTGCCCTGGTCGGTGGCCCGCAAGATGGCCGCACAGACGGTACGTGCGGCCCTGGCCGCCGACGGATCTGACGGCGTCCGGCCCCCCGCCAGTGGGTTGTTCGCTCGAGCTGTTTCGTGGTCGCTTTGACGATGTTGTGGTATTTGACTTTTATCTGCCCTAATATATATGGTCACTGGCCTTATTTCGGTCGTTTCGCCTCGCTATTGCCTCACGTGGACACCGTCTTCTGCCTTTCTGGAGTTGCGTTTTGTTCGCACCGACAGCGTGTCTGAGTCACCGTGTGTGTTCCTACATGGGCCCTCCGACGGTGCGCGGCGTCCGTGCCTGCCGGCGGCGCGTGAGCTGTTGCCCACGCCCCCCGCACAGTACCCTGACGGCGTGGGGCGTCTCTCGCCGCCGGGCGCGCCCTGGTCCCTGCCCGCCCGTCGCTGTGAGATCAGTGCCGTGATTATTCGCCGCGCCTGTTCCGCCGCCAGCTGCTGGGGACTGGCCATCTGATGCTGGACACGGACCGGAGCGGCGAGCCGCTGCATGACGAGGCGGCGCCGGTGGGCGGCGCCACCATCGCCGGTCTGGTCGCACTACACGAGACCAGCATCAGGTGGGTCGTCGCTGCTCCGCCACTCCGGGGCTCGCTTTGAGGCAGTGACGGAGTGCCGAGAGATTCCGCACCAGAAGGAGCTGAATGGAGTCCGGCCATAGTGACTTGAGAAGCGATGTGATTCAGAATTGGACAGATTCGTGGGAAGTCGAAGCTTGTGTTTGTCCACCGTTTTGCGTGTCGTCTCTTTCTTTGCTTTTGATGTTCTCGACTTCCTGGCCCCTGCGCTGTTGGATTTACACCGCAAATGTTAGAAGAATCTTCTAGACGTACGCAGAAGAAATGCTGTTTAGTGGGAAGCCTCCCCACGCAAACCTACGTCATTTTAAGCGTTGGTGACGCGACAGAAGCCGTAGGAAGGAGTGCGCGGTGGCCGTGGCAGCGGCTGCTGCTCCGCCGCCGCCCGGTCGCCGCCGGTGACGCCGCTTGTGCTGACCGGCGCCGCCCGTGTGCCGCAGGTCGGGTGTGGCCAACGCCGTGCAGGCCTGTCGCAAGGCGCTGCAGGCGGACAGCCACTGACACAGGCAGCGTGGTGCCGCTAGCCGGCCGCCCTGCGGGCGGCGAGCCGGTAGAGTTCGGGGCAGGCGCTCCCGGCCGTCCCCGGCTGCCGGTCAAGTCCACTGCCTGTGTCCGCGCCGTGTATTGACTCGGTGGTTCTCTGCGCGCGCACGCGTGACAGAACAGATGCCATGGCGGCCCCCAAGTGCGCGCACATGGGACGCAAGCCGCGGGCCTGATGGACGCTGAACAGGGCGCGCCATCTGCGCATCACCCGAGTTCGCGTGTGTGTGCTGGGGAAGACTGTAAGTTCGAAAACTGGGCAAGTGCACGTGTGTGTCCCTGTGACGTCTATGCGCGCAACACAGAGCCTGGCGATACATGCGAGAACTACGAGACTGTCTGATGGAAACGGCGTAAATAGATCGCCAAAATCCGCGTATGACACTGCTTTTGTCTACAAGTGGTATGGATTTCGCTATCACTGAGCGCAGCAAGATGCGCAAGCCGACATCTTCTAACAACACCGATAAAGCGCTTGTCACGACGCCGCGCACCGACACGAAGGGAGAACAGCGCTGGCGTCGGATTCTCGCCCGCTACGGGGCGCACAGCGTATACCAATCACAGAAAGCTCTGACCACTGCGGGACGGCCACCCCGTCGGTCGCCGCCGGATAACTACCGCCATCTCTCCGCCCTCTTCGTCACGCGAGGAGCATTAGACTAAACGCCGTCTAACTGGGGTAAACAGAGCGGGTTGCGGTGGGCAACCACGGCCGGCAGTCGCCCTGCAGCAGCTGCGACGACGCCCGGCCAGGGCGGCACTCCGCTACCGCCGGCCGGCCGGCGCGCCGCCGCCCGTGCGACGTCACGTGCTACATGTCGAAGCCGTTGGCGAGGGGGGCGCCGCCCTGCTTCTCCTGGACCACCTCCACTTTGGCGGGCCCGTTGACCTTCGGCTTGTCCTGAAATCGACGTCGATGAGTCATTCCACACGGAAGCCATCTGGTCTCGCGGTATACGATGAGGCAAACAGCAAGGCCTCGTACCTGTCTTTCGTCGATATAACGATTTACGCTCGGATTAATCTGGCTGATGAAGTATGCCATATCACCGCGGTATCGACGGAAAACCCGGATCGACTGCGTCTGGGGATATGCGGCGTGCGTCACCGGTACCGAAATCGGAACTAATTAATCTATGTTGGTGGGTACTTACAGCCTGGAACTGCGCAGCAGGGCGAAATGAAAAGGCGTCAGACCGTGTTAACCACCACGCCTTACGAGCTCAGGCTACACCAGGGAACTGACGCAAAACATGGTGTATGATCCCGCCTTGCAATTAGTTTTACGCCGATGTGGTTATCGTGTTGGTAGGTCGGGGGATGTGTCGGGTGAGAGAGCAAGGAGGCCCCGCGCTGGGGTGGCAACGTCCAAGCAGATGCGAACACACACACAGACACTTCCACTGTCCTGTCTGGGACAAAGTCGGGGGCCGAACTGTTGAACTGTGCCTGTGAAGCTGATCTGCTGAACTGTCATCTGTTCAACCAGCAGGGGACTGTTGAACGAGATACTACGTGGTGTGAAACTACTTAGGTGGTGACTTAGGAGGCATACAAAAATACCCTGCTTGTCGTGTACTTTCCCAAACCACGCCACGAAAACCAGTTTAATAAAATTGAAAACCATGAACAGGGGCTTATACAGGATATTGCCACGAGAACCATAATCTAGCAATTGCCACTTAAAGGTCCTGTTGAGCGCGGCACAAGCACGCGAAATTTGTTGCTAAGCGTAAAACATCGCAAGTTCTCGATCTGTTTCAGTTTACTTGCCCACCCCGAATTGTGTATAGTTAACAGGACTTACGAACATGGCGTACATGATACATTTTTTAAGGGCAGCATATGCCCTCGTGGGCCACCACGTAACTGCAGTCGCCCCTTTGTTTACCATTGCGTTTGACTTTGATCGGGGTCAGGAACCGCAGATGGTGTCTGGGCGCCAGTTCCAACTGCAAAGCGAGGCAATGGCGGCAACCCTCGCTCCAGGACTGAGTCAAGATGACTTCCTTCCTTCGCTATGCTGGTCGTACGTGTTTGGGAAGCAGAGAGCGATGCTGTGTGCCGGCAGCGATGTCGCCGAGTGTACGCATCCCTCGACCCATCTGAGTCTGTGGGTGAGTGTGTACATGAGAGTGGGGGTGCCGGAATGGCACCGTTTGGTAAGCGGGGGGCGCCGCGGCTCGGCCCGTGCCGCGGACCCGTCCGTGCGCCGGGCGCGGCTCACCAGCGGGCTCTGCTCGCCGTCCTCGATCGAGACAGCGTCGGGCGCGTCGCTGGTGGTGTCGGAGCGCAGGTCGCTCAGCTCGGCGCGGCTCAGGTGCGCCACGATCGCCGCCGTGTAGCAGTCCCCGATGCAGTTGTTGGTGGAGCGGAACCTGCGCGCAGCGCAGCTGCCTCAGCACCGTGCCGCCGCTCCCGACAGAGTGCCACTGCCGTTAGCGGCAAAACGGGCGGCATTGGGGCTCCTGTATCCATTATCCTGGGACGTTATCGGCTGAAATGATGGGTTCGGCCGTTGTTGCCATGTGAAATGTTGAGTTTTAAGCCGCATGTGAGCGGAGACGACTCGCCAGCGGTTAGCGGCGGCCAGAAGGTGGCATGTGGCCTTCGCAGGAAGTCAGTTAAATCCCCATCAATTGAGAGCACGCTACCGGCAGATTACACAGCTGCCTCACTGCAACGGCACTCCCCACAGCACTCCGGTCCAAAGGAGCTCACAGGGCGCGCTGCCCGCCGAGCCGGTTGTGTGGCAAGTAGCCATCGATGCGCCGCGGCGCATCGCTTAAGATCCAGCACGAACTTTCGCTAGAGCGGCTAGCGGCAGCGGCACGCAATCCGGCTGTCCGTCAGCCGCCGGGCGCCGGCAACGTCTGCCCGGCCAGCAGCCCCCGAACGCCATCGACGGCGCCTCACCTGTCCACCAGCCAGTCGACGGCGAACAGCAGGGAGACGTCCGGGATGGGCGCCTCGATCGCCTGCAGCACCACCACCATCAGCACGAGCGCCGCCGAGGGCACGCTGGCGGACGCCACGCTGGCCGCCGTCGCCGTCAGGCTGCGGGCACGCCCAGGCCCGGGGCCATCAGCTGAGCCCAGGTGGGCGGTCACCGCCGGCGTCGCGCACCGGTGACGCCGTGATCAGATTACGCGCTCCGTTGCCGAGGGAACTCGTGTACAAGTTGAAACGGAATGTTAGTTGGGCGTGGACAGTTGCGGGGACATGCGTGACGGTTGTAACCGTTTATTCGCACGGTTGAAGCCGCATGCATGCGTGATAAGTCGAATATCCGGCCTGCTGTTGGCGTTGGCGGACCCCGAAAACGGCATCCAGAGATAAGCTAAGATTGGCCATCTCAGTGACAGGGAGTCATTGTCGAAGCACTCTCTATATCCTGCAGAATTTATAACATTTTCGCCCGAACACGGGCCCATGGTTGAGACAAGTGTCATGGGTGGTTCTTGCAGCAATAAAATGTCTGAGATCATAGCGCTTAACTTCCTAATGAAAATATAAAAAGCTGCAACAATTCAGGTGTCTGACGTTTCAGATGGCTGGAAAAAAGCTTCTGAGCTCGTTTGACGAAATATGAAACCGGAAAGCTATGTTCCTAGGTCCAATCTCTTCCACGCCTGAGACACTTCGAAACTAAAAAAATATGCAGTCGGTGTCGGCTTTGCCTTTCATCATGAACAGCTGTGGACTGCACCGCGCACGCGGCATGGGCTTGATCCCTCGGGCCTGGACCGGACGGCCGTCCAACCGAGCGGGGACGGCAGGCTGAGCCGTTATCAGGCAGGGCTGACGGCATCTGGCATCGATTTTGTCCAGGCAGGCGATGGCGGCGACGGGGCTCATATGGCGGCCACCTCGCCGCGCCGCCCACTGGGATTGTCGGCCGCGCCGACACATGGCAACAGCCCCGACAGACGGCACCGGCCTCGACACATAACAACAGCCCGACAGACGGCACCGGCCTCGACACATGGTAACAGGCCCGACACACGGCAACAGTTCCGACAGACGGCAGCAGTTCCGACACACAGCACACGCATTGACACGCAGCACCAGCCCTGACGCAGCACACGCCCCGACACACGGCAACAGCCCCCACAGACGACACCGGCCTCGACACATGGGACCAGCCCCGATACATGGTAACAGTTCCGACAGACGGCAGCAGTTCCGACACACAGCACACGCATTGACACGCAGCACCAGACCCGACACATAGCACACGCCCCGACACACAATAGCCCCGACATACTGCACCGGCCCCATATACGGCAACGGCCCAATACACGACACCGGTCCCGACACACGAGACTAGCACCACCACACAGGACCATCTTCGACACATGGCACCGGCCCAACGAACAGCACTAGCTCCTAACCACATACCAGCTCTAACATACGGTACCATCACGGGCACGCAGTAGCGGCCCAGGTATGCGGTACTCTAGCTCTGACATTGAGAACCAGTTCTGACAACCCAACTGACAACCAGTCCAGACACACAGCACCAGCTCTGACACACCACGCCCGCCATGACACACGGCACCAGCCCTGACACACTGCACCATCACTGACACACTGCACCAGCCCTGACCAACACTGACGCACAGCATCCTCCCTGACACACAGCACCGGTCCTGACACAATGCACCATCACTGTCACACAGCACCAACTCTGACACACAGCACCAACCCTGATACACTGCACCATCACTGACACACAGCACCAGTCCTGACACACAACACCAGCCCTGTCACACTGCACCAACCCTGACACACAGCACCAGCCCTGATACGCTGCACCAGCCCTGAGATGAAGCACCAGACCGGGTCCGGCGCTGTGCCACTGGCTGGCGCGGGACCCGGGACCCACTTGCCTGTCGGCTGGCCAGACCTGCCGTGCACCGCCTTCTCAGCAGGTGTACATCGACCCGCCCCCCTTTGACGACGCAGCTAAGCAGCTGCTGATAATTCGGTAACTCGCGAGCACGCCGAGCGTGTGAACCGCAGTTTGAGCCTTCAGCCGCGGGGGACGTCACCGCAAAATGTATGACACGGATACCAGCAGCGAACGACCAAGGCCCAGCGGAAGCCAACCCCAAGCCGAGCCGCGCTCCGGCGGAGAGCACGTGCTCCGAGGCAATGAGCACCTCAACGATCAAAATATCCGACGGCCTCTTCAAACAGAGCTAATTAGTGCCAGTGATCGATGGGAAATGGGGTTCACTGCTCGGCGCTGAATGGATTAAAGCTCCGCGTGTGCCTCGGGTGCTCATGGCAGGGGCTGGTTAGAGTTTCCACTAGCTCGTTCCCGCCAGGTCAGGTGCGGATGCAGCTTACGGATGGAGTACTGTTCGGACCACGGGTGTAGTTTTCTATTTAGTCGGGAGCCGCCCCCCCCCCCCTTCTTGAGTCCTAGCCCCTTAAATTTTGAGAAAAAAGTGGGCCAATGCCGAAGAGAACCCCGTTTCTGGTCAAATTTTAGGGGTAAGTTTTGCAATTTATCACATTTCAGCCCCCTTTCCCCGCCAGCTAATTTTACGAAACTCTATTCCTGGTTCGGACTTTCGTCCTCATTTGGTGTGTAAGTATCTATACAGTGTTTCAGCCAGTCAATGCTCGGGCCGTCATCAGATGCATTAAGACGCGCTCGGGTAGGGAATCCATTTGACTCCCGAAGGTTTTCCAAAATAGCTTCCGAACGGCGCGGCATAGCCCCACTAAACTTTTCAGAGCTGTAGCCGATTACATAGTTAATCGTTTGATGTTAGAAAATTGGATTTACCTAGTGCGTTTGCTGACCTATGACAGGCTCTAACTCGGGCCATGGCTGTCAGCGGCGGCAATTCCTAGAGCCTCGTTCAATCCGATGCGACAGCGGTGTTAGACAAAGCCATACATCTTTGAGATGGTTTCCTTAGACAAATGGTCAAGTTTAAGTTAGGATTAATTCCATTAACCTTGGGTCAGGTATGAAGGTCAGGTTGAAGTCGCAAGGACGGTCGTTGAAATTCAAATCTTAAAACGACGGCGTCGTATTCAACCAGCCACCCAGGCGGTTATTGAGCCGTGAGAAGGAGTGGATGTTGTTGGGCTTTCAGCCATGTGCGTGAACAACCCAAATTTTCTTCTTGGCACTGCTGAGATGCGAACCGGGTCTTCTGATGATGAATCCAGCGCACTACCACTCAGCTGATCGAAAGAACTAGGTCCCCCCGAGGTGCGGCCGAAACGTTGTAACGACGCCAACACACCCGACGAGGACCGTAGCCCGAACAACTATTCCAACTGTTGTGTTAATGCCTCTTCTTAACTTTTCCGTCAAGCAGGCACAGCTTACGCCTACCAGCCGCAGCCGGCGTCCGTCCCAGGCGACCCACGGACTAGAGCCTCGGCTCGGCTCTGGGCCGGCGTCAGCTCGACGCGGCTCGGCTCTGGGCCAGCGTCAGCTCGACGCGGCTCGACTCTGGGCCGGCGTCAGCTCGACGCGGCTCGGCTCTGGGCCGGCGTCAGCTCGACGCGGCTCGGCTCTGGGCCAGCGTCAGCTCGACGCGGCGCGGCTCTAGGCTGGCGTCAGCTCGACGCGCGTCGGCACAGCACTTACGCGACGGTGACCAGGTTTCCGATGTTGAGCGTCATGTTGTTCATCTGCGCGATGAAGATGGAGGCGACGGAGACGAAGAGGGCGGTGCCGTCCATGTTGACGGTGGCGCCGATCGGCAGGACGAAGCGGCTCACGCGGCGGTCCACCTTGGCCTTCTCCTCGACGCACTTCAGCGAGATGGGCAGTGTGGCGGCGCTGGGGAGCCGCGGCCGACCGTCAGCTCTGGTAGCGGGAGCGAGACACACGCGGCCGGCCCCGCGCGTGACACCGCTCTGCGGGCCGGTGGCTCGGGGAAGGACTAACCTGTACAACCCAGCAGCTCACTCAGTAAGTGGAACTCTTCTCCTCCCCCCCCCCCCTCCCCTCCCGCGCTTTATCGCCGGTTCCGACAACGTCTCTAAGCTGCGACCGGTCGCCACCGATCGGCGCGGTAACTATCACCTCGCATCAAAATAACATCCGTGTATCTGCCGTTGGCCTGCTGGAGAGCTAGGGGTCCCAGTGGTGGTCGGACTCCATGCGGGCGGTCTCGGACTCCGGACGAAGGTCCTCGGCAGCAGATCGCGACTCACGTGGAGGCCGTTGCGAAGACGGTCAGCCAGGCCTCGCGCATCTCCCAGAAGAACGGCCACGGGTTCTTGCGCACTACGGCCAGGTAGATGAGCTGCATGATGATCAGCTGGTAGATGAAGACGCCGACCACCACGGTGCCGATGAACAGGCCCAGCTGCTCCATGATCAGACCCAGGTTGTTCACGGCCAGCATTTTGCCGCAGATGATGGAGGCTATACCGAGTGGGGAGCACCTGCCAGACAGTGGGGCGTGGGGCTCATGCTGACATCTGGAGGAGAGATGAGTCACGGAGTGCACAGAATGAAGATTGTAGTAGGAGAGCGAGAGGTTCGGAGCCTATCGGCAGCGACGGAAGAGACGTGAGGGACACCTATAGGGAGCTGTGGGATGAGAGGAGGATGTGGGGGCTCCCACTTACAGTCAGGGGGAGACACGGCGGATATGGACAGCGGTGAGTCGTATACTAGGCGAGGTGATCCATTTTGTTTGTTTTTTTGCAAGGTCAGCGAACATAGTGCTGTTCTGGAGCGCTTTAATAAATATCGTACAAGTGCATGTACGTTTGGAGAGCGAGAGAGAGAGAGAGAGAGAGAGAGAGAGAGAGAGAGAGAGAGAGAGAGAGAGAGAGAGAGAGAGAGAGAGAGAGAGAGAGAGAGAGAGAGAGAGAGAGAGAGAGAGAGAGAGAGAGAGAGAGAGAGAGAGAGAGAGAGAGAGCCATAGGAAAAATAAAAACAGAAATAGGGGTGTACCCATCCGCTCCTTCGTCTGACGTCACGCCCGCCGAAGCTCACCACATGATGCCGGACACCATTTTCATGACGACCTCATCGATGACACTGAAGAACTGGATGACGTTGCGGGCCTTCTCGCCCAGAGTTCCCAGCACGGTGCCGAAGACGATACAGAAGAAGATGATACCGAGGGTGTTCGTTCCCGGTCGGTACTCGACGGAGCGTTGTAACAGCGCTTCCGTCAGATTGGCCCCCTCCACCGGTTTGTATATCGTCTGAGTCTAGGGATACAGTTGCATGCTAGTCAGCCAAACAGTTCCAGCACGACCTAGTTGGGGTCAACGACCTGTCTTGGATGCATTGTTATCACGCATTTAAGTCGCTGGAAAAGTTTATCTGGTAAATGGGCTCAGCGTGAAAAGTTCAGTGGCTATATTTGCGCCACAGGATGAAGCAGGATGACATGTATGATGCGAAACAGAATGCGAGAACGAAGTGACTCCCTATGGGATGCTTCACTTAATTTCAGAAGTTAATTCAGTGCCTGAAAGAACCAGATGGCATTCAGGATGTATTAGTACACCAACGTGACTTGGCCTGTGTGAAGGGAGCCACAGTGCGCATAGATACTAGAAACTCTATCAAAACTAGTATTCCGGACCAACAGCTCGATTTTCTCCGACATTTAAGTTTGAATTCGTGGTTCGCAATGGGCGGTTGAGTACATCTTGATGAGCGCGCATATATTGGGAGGCCCCGAAGAAATATACAGAGTACAACATACACATTTCAAATCAGGGTTGACGGCACCAGTCGCTGGAAGGGGGGTGCAAAGGGAAACGAAATTTTCAGACATGAACATCGAAAGATTATGGATCCGCGTTTTTACAGGGCACTGTCAAGGTGGGAACATGCAGATGCCATTTCTTGACGGGGGCCCGAACACAGGAACAACCGAATGGGGAACACCTTCCTCGCCACATGTAACTGAGCACAATCTACTCAGCTCTTCCAAAGGCGTCATGGATTACCGACTACCGACTCAAGTAAGTACCTGCTCGAAAGAGGCTTGGAACAGATTGTCTGGGAAGACGTTTCTGAAAAAGAGAATCTCCGAGGTAACGGTGACGACGACGTCGACGTATCGCACATAGCACCAGGTGGACCGACGCGCGGGAGAAGGAGCGACGACCCCTCGCCCGACCCGACCCGACCCGACCCGACCCGACCCGACCCGACCCGACCCGACCCGACCCGACTCGATCCAACCCGACCCGACCCCACTTGCCCTGCTCTGATCTGACCTGACCTGACCTGACCTGACCAGGCCTGAACTGACCTGACCCGACTCGACCCGACCCAACGCGACCACACTGGCCCCGACGTCGAACCGCTGATGAGAACGTCATCTCGTGATTTGGAATCGGCTCCCCAACGCAGCAAGTCCCACGACAGGCAACGGGAAACAGGCCACGACGCGGACGAGGTGACTGAACCTGAGTGCCCAGGCAGAGGAGGCAACGTTTTGTGAAAGTGATGCAGCGTATGCGTTCCCAAGGGTTCTAGCTGTCTGCCGCAAGCGTGACTGGTTTGCGCTAAAAACCAACGACGGGTTGCCTCTCAGTCGGAGAAAAGGCGCCTGTTTCACGCAGTCAGTGTGCATGTTTGTTCATGCAGTGAATATTGTGTTCGCAGTCCTAACTCGCACTAATTCCGGTAGAGCTCATGACCGGCATTCTCCGGGCGGGCGACCCATATGAGTGGCGGCGGCATGACCAAAACCGCTCCCGTGCATCTCTGTAATCACGGAGGTTGGCCAACCTCCTGGACAAAGCCATACACCGGTGAGACCAGCATCACCAGCAAACCCACTGCCCTCCACACGCATCATCGCCGTGCATATATCCGGCATACGCTCAGCTCGCCGCACAGCCGAATGGGGGGGGGGGGGGGGGAGAGGCGGGGAGGGAGGGGGAGGGACCGCGCGCCGACCGCGGAACGGAGCGGCTGCAGACGACCACTGACCTGCCCAGGTCCAGCAGCCCGTCCATGATGTTGGCGCGCCGGCTCTGGTCGCTCTGCTGGATGGCGCTGCGCATGCTCGGGTCGCCTGGGTGGATGGCCACCACCAGCAGGATGCCCAGCACGGCGTTCAGCAGCGACGTCAGCACGAAGTAGACGACGGTGCGCATGGCGATCTTGCCGTTCATGCGCGCGTTCAGGCTGGCCGATCCTGCCGGGGAGAGGCTCTGTGAGACGAGGGGACGGACGAGCGGTGCCGCGGTCCCGTCGGGCAGTCGGGACATAGCTGGCCGGGTGAATCAGGTGCGCGCTGCGGAAGAGGTGCGAGCGGGGGGCGGGGCACGCGAACCCGGCTGAATATCTGGCCCGAGTCGCGGTTCAGATCAATGGAGGCATTTCGTCCATTGCTCAGATCTTGTTGGCACAATCTGATCTGAAACTGGTGTGACATGTATGGAAGAAAGCATGGCTTGCCTTTTTTCGCGGGAGAAAAGTTCGTACACAAACTTTCAGTGCATATTTGGGAGAGCGGGGAGTATCTGATCTTAAAATACAAGGGAAAGGGAATATTCCAGGAAAGAGACATTTGAGTCACATCACCATCCGTCGCGTGAAAAACTGTCACTTAGCATTCAACCTTGACAAAGTAAAGCATATTTTCCTCGAAATACCGCGTCTCCTGGCTTCCATGAACATGTTGAAGGTCAGTTACATAAGGAATTGGTAAAGATAAGGCAGTTGAAAAAGCTACGTTTCCTGACCGCTGAGCAAACATCCGCTCCCACACCAATCAAATCTATTCCAGTTCCGGGTCATCGTGCTCGGAGCTGTTTCCAACACTGCCCCGAACGGCACACAGCAGCCGGGCGACCAATCCCGTTTTATACCCAGGAAAAGTGCTCAACTTCGGGATCAGTTTCAAGCATATTACTTCAACAATCGCAGGTCGCGATACCTACACACAATTTGGTCTACATAAGTGACATCCCGTTCATATCGCGATAAATTGCAATAAGAGAGGCTGAGATTCAAGTCTTGCAACAAGCATCAACAAATGCGTCAAAGAATACGGCCTGCTATGTAGAGCACACAACGTCACATTCAGCACCAGGTAAGAAGCAAATACGGTTAACAAGTACTCCATTCAAACGACCGAAGCATTTCAGAACGTGCTGGCGCCGTGCCAGGACAGATCACCATTCGGCACGAAGCGTACGGCGGCTGCATCCGGAAGCCAAGTAGTAGCTGCGCAAAAAGCCCAGTTTGGCTGCGGACCAGCGCCGTGGTTGTCATCGCCGCCGCCAGCAATTCAGAATTTAGGTCACGCCGCCCGGTCGGCGACGAGCGCACAAACCCTGGTCCGCCGGGCCGGCGGAAGACCGGGGTGAGCACACAAATACCCTGGGAATTCCACCCACGTTTTCAGTGGGGCAGTATAGCGGCGAAATACAGAATTCGGGGAATGATAAACTCGGCTGCTCTCCAGCAGGCCCTGTATGTCAGTATTGGAAGGGGCCACGTCTTACTTGTCAACAGCCGCCGCCCAAGAGCCTTAGGCGCCAAGGCTGAGAGGCTCATTACAAGAAACAACAAAGCTCACGGCTTCTTGCACTGCCAAAAGTGATCACACTTGAAGGGGTTGGCTTTCGGGCACTGTCAGGGGTGTCTATGTCTAAAACCCGTCGGGGCTGAGCCGAAAAGATCGGCCAAGCGTACGCCCAAAACTTGAATTCTTACCTAATTCCAGCCGCCTCACTTTATTTGGTAGGTTTCAAAATTGCTCTGGGGCAGAGAAATGACTACCCATTGCAAGGCGATGTCAAGTTGTCGTTTTGCGAAAAGCTAAGAATGGTGTACAATTAGTAAATTTCAGAAATGAATCATTGATGACTACCGTTGCCGCTGATCGTGTTGTACCATTCAGTTGCCAACTAATAACCACCACGACCACGACTGTAAATACGAATAGACAAATAAAAAAGAATACGACAAATGCGCACACTTGTTGCCCCTTTTGAGGAAACAGGGTCAACTTTTACGTGGGCTCTCCTGTACTTTTAAAAGTTGCCGCATTTTGTAATCCATTGTTTTTTACCCCAGTTCGGGCGTTATTTGTGAAAAACCTGTCAAACATCTCCAGACCACCTGACATATGAAGAAGATGTCATGACAAAAATATTCGGTGCTTATTGGCGACTACAGGGGACGCAAATTGAGCATGATACTAATGGTGATGCGTCCAAGTGGTTTCCAATAGTTCAGACAGTTTCCATGCATTCATTTGGCCCAGTATTCCATCTTTGCTCATATGTACCGAGGGGGCTAATAAAAGCATTTGGGGTGTGGCCTAGGCCACCGTTGGGCGATCAGGTTCCTGAAAGTATAAAGTGCAGCCCCTGGTCCCACGTTTTTTTTTATTTCTCGGTAGCCCCAGAGTGTATCCCGTCGTGCGACAAAATCCGCTAAACGCCATCCTCAGCTGTTATGGACTAGAGACGTTCCTTTTGCGCTGTTTTAACTCGCACATTACGGGCTTGCGGGTTTAAGAGTTGCGCCTCTACCTGCATGGATGACTGTATAAATAAACATTTTTGATTGGCGCAGCGGGCGGCGAAAGCCAGTTACTGAGAGGCGCATTTGTTGACGTTCGAGCCAGTCCATTAATTTCACATTGTCATCATTTATTTACCGTCCTGCGTTATATATATATATATATATATATATATATATATATATATATGTATATATTCAAACATAGTTTCAATGTTGACCACAGAGCAAAAACGCAGATACGGAAGAGTTTCCGGCTAGGTGACCCGGGAGGTATACGAGAAAGGCCAGAGGCCTCAAAACCGCTCGATGCAAGTGATGTGAAGAGGGAAACAGGCTGCTGAACTTTCTCAGTGCAGCAACCCGAGCCTCATCCGTATTTGCGGAACACGCAGAACCCTGGGAAGGGCTAAGTTGTGCGCTCGCCGCGGCATTCCAACTGCTGCTTTTAAGGCAGATTAAGGTAGATACCTGTCAGACCTTCATACGCCCAGTGTCCGCTACGGTCATTGGGCGTATGCGTACTATTAGTGCGCTCCCGAAAGAACAGCCGGGACCGCGATGGTGCGTTACAGGAAGGCTCTCTCCTGGCCGGAGGGCAGAGACTCGGCATTCAGAGACCCTGGCGCTAGCCGGCAGACCGGCTGGTGCCAGAGCGTAAAATGAATTACGCGCACGGCACAGACGGTCGTCCACGTGGGACCCACCGCGCGGCTCCGGATCGAGCACCACACCAAGATGCTCGGTCTGAGCACGCACGGGCAGCTGTTGCCCGTACAGGTCCAGGTCCAGATGAGGTCCAGCTGTCCAATGATTGGAAACAGAACCACATTCGCAAGTTGGAGTGACAACGTCACTTCCTGGCGAACGCTGTGTATGAAGCGGGAAACTGACCGCCGGCCGCTGGCCAGCAAATATCACGCTCGCTGGCAGAGATGAACACCAGGCTGCCGGGAGAGCCCAGCTCCGCACAGACAGGTGCTCGGCAGCACACACAACAAGGCCAGCGTGCTAGAGACTGGCGAAGTATCTACAAGTATTTCCAAGCATCTGGATTAGCGGCAGACTGGCGAGCACCGACTGTCATACCACTGCAAAGCCTTTTCCACAACGACGGTTGCTTCAGGCGTCCCTCGTCACTCAACAAAACCGACCACCACTCGTTTGGTACAAATTATGTCTTAAGCTCATCAAGGAGCAGCATCTCCATAGGTCTGGAGACCCGAGGGAGATCGATCAATAATTATCTAGGACGTCAGGACGGGACCAGACCACGTCCAGACCACGTCCTCAGGAGAGGACGGGACCAGAACCGCGTCCTTACCACAGGCGGTAAGGAGCCGTGCCATGACCGATGAATGGACTGGAAAAGCTCCAAGCAGAAGGTGCTGAACTACGCCTCAGATGCGCAATAAGACGAGCAAACTCCTCAGAACCGACTATGCCAGAAGGGCTACGATCAGTCTTAGCGGTGGCTCCGAATAGACAACGTGCGGGTTCACCTCAAACTGTTCAGTCGTACCCCCATTGCGATGAATGGAGCTCAAGTGACACGCAGAATCATCGGCTGTGGGCGATGACCGCGAGAGCTGCAGGCCACGTCATAAGTGCCCCACGCGCGCCAAAAAGACGCGCAGCTGCCCACCCCCACGTAATGCGGGTATAAGTCCCATCTCCTGCTACAAAATGTAGAGTGTGCGGTACTATGTTTCCCAAAGCCAAAGTGCGCTTCGAAATGATCCGCCTGCCTAATGCCAAATGGGAGAGTTAAGAGCCGAAGTACAACGCTTCGTTGACTTTGCGTGTTAAATCTTTTGTTTGCATATCTTTTTTCCTAAGCAGAGTGTTTCAAGCTTTCGTTGCAGTCACTGTACATACATTTTGATGACTAAGTGCATTGTAAACAGTACCGAGCACACACGTTGGAAGCAAGGCGAACGAAATGTTTTGCTTTCATAGTGGTGAGCAGGGAGCCCAATGGTATTTCTCCCGCCCGAGGTGCTAATTCAAATCAACATTCTGAGCTATTCAAAAGGATTCCGCTAAAATTGTATAACTGATAAAATCGGATGCCCCTGACCTTACAATAAGCGAAAAGTACAAAAGGTGGCATGATCCCCTTAACGAGCAATGTGACGCTTCTCTACTGAAATTGTTCCGGTCTCGACAGCGACTAGCTCTCGACATATATATTTGAAGGTGTACGATGGAACCGATGATTCGTCGGTCTGTTGAAGGCCGAGTCAATATGATGCTCCCTCTATTCCAGATCTGCTGCGCCTCTTGCGCCTGACACATACTGGCAGCCGGCCGTAAAAAACCCTCACGGAACATACCACTGAGAGGGATCGTTCGTTTCCAACTTGCCCGCTTTATTCAGTAATAAATCTAGGGAGCCGAAATCCAACCTCGACTTTATCAAATGTCAATTTGGACGGACCCCGTGATCGGGTCTAAAAGGCGACGCATTCAAACACAAGCTTGCTGCAACCTGAAAGTTATTTATATATTCATCACTCGCATAATGCCTTACAATGTAATTGGAAACGCATGCCGAAAGCCAATATATGTGTAGGAGCCTTCGGATTCACATTGTCGATATGCAAGCATCTGTGAACTAGAAGCTGGGACGCATCGCGGGTGTTGCAGTAAAACATGAACAGAACAATTAGACAGCAGTCATACTTTCGATGTCTCTAGCGAATGCCGTCGTGATACAGGAATTCATTCATTCCTGTTCAAATAGTTATAGATGCTATCGCTGCCGAGTGCTTTTTGAAACCACTCAATCCATTATGCAAATGGTGGCTTATTTTCAAATTCGGGGATCCATGTTCCTCGTCCACGAGTATCTTCATGTCAACTCAAAATATCGACATCAAGCAAGCCACAGCCACACACATTAACATACATCTGGTGACACGTATTCTACCAGCTCATCGCAGATGTTCGAACACTGCATTTGAAAGGCTCCGGACAGTGGCCGGAGGTGGACCTCCGGCCGATATAGCTGTCTAGCGGCCGCGCCCGCTCCGCACGCTCGCCCGCCGCCCGCCGCCGTTGGAGGACCGCCTCCCGCCCCTGGTGAAGGGCCGCCCCCCGGTTCTGCTTGAGGATCGTCTGCTGCCCACGCTGAGCAACCACCTGTTACTGCCGAAGCTGTTCCGGCACGTGCCGGACCGCACGCTGTAGGATTTCGGGGCTGACTTGACGCCCGTACCGTCCTGGGACGCGCCGCCCTGCAGCAGCTCTTGCAGCGACAGGGCTAGATTCTTGACGATGGCCTTGTCCAGCTCTTCGGCGGCGTCCTTCGTCAAGCCTTCCTTGTTTTCAAACCAGTGTTTGAGAGCCAGCCTCTTCACGAGCGGACTAGCCGGGTCGCCGAAGACACGGTTGAAGAACTTGGCGACGGGCGACTGGATGTTAGCAGTGATGTCAGGAGAGGAGAAGCCGAAGTCAACGGCGGTGTTGGACGGCGTGACGGTGAACGTGCCGTTCTGATGGCCACGTACCGTTAGCGTCGTCTTCAACGTGCCGACCGTCTTCGCAATCCGCACCGTCGGCCGCGCCGACACGGAGGCGCACATCTTGAAGATCACCCGAATGCACTTCTTGAAGCGCGCCGAAACAACGGCGGCGAGGTTGGGCCAGGAGATCCGGGCATCGACGGCGATTTGCTGCTCAGCTGGGAACGTCAGCTCCAGGTGCTCGATTTCGTAGCACGAGAGGCCGATTAGCGTGCCGTCCCAGAAGCTCAGGTCACCCCTCTTGTTGGGGAGCGTCAGCGGGTCGGCTTCGCGCGCCACTTCAGCCCTCTTGTCCATCAACAGCGCCTTCACGCAGTGAGAGAGCGCTTCTGGCTTGTCCAGCACGCACTCAAGCTGCTCCTCCGAGCTGCCGCTCCGGTTCGTTCGGTCCCGGGTCGACCGGCTGCGCTGCACGCTGCTGCCGCGCGAGCGGCTGCGCGTCGAGGAGCGGTGCCGCTGCCGCGCCAACGTCGCGCAGCAACAGCAGGCGAGTAGGACCAGCGTCAACGCACGGCCGATTGGCGCCATCTCCACAGCCGCGATGGTCTGAACTGCGCGGCCGGCGCGCAGCCGGCGCGGCTCATATAGCCGAGCGCGGCCAGCGTGGCGATCTGAAATCCCAGCCCGTGGCCGAAGGCTCCAGCCACCCGTTGGAAAACCCGATCCGGCGCGGCCCGAACTCGGGGGCTCCCCAGCAGCACCAGAAGCCAGATGGGCGCCGGGGAAGCGGACTTTCCGTGGACCACGCTCGGATAGGCAGTCTACCAACGCTGGGCGTCGAACGCGCATAAGCTAATACACGGTGCGTGTACATATAGTCGTATGTGATAAGATACGGTAGCACCAACTATCGGCAGCCTTCGTTCACGCTCGTCACCTGTCATGGTTCTGTTGGTCGTGGGACGTACCAGAAACACATTCGCAAGTTGGAGTGACAACATCACTCACTGACGAACGCTGTGTAGTGAGGCGGGAAACTGACCGCCGTCCGCTGACCGCCAAACATTACGCTCGCTGGCAGAGGTGAACACCAGGCTGCCGGGAGAGCCCAGCTCCGCACAGACAGGTGTTCGGCAACACACACAACAAGGCCAGCGTGCCAGAAACTGGCGAAGTGTTTACAACTATTTCCAAGCATCTGGATTAGCGGAAGACTGGTGAGCCCCGACTGACACACCACTGCGCAGTCTCTTCCACAAGGATGGTTGCTTCAGGCGTCCCTCACCGCTCCACAAAACCGACCACCACTCGTTTGGTACAAATGACGACTAAGCTCATCAAGGGGCAGCATCTCCATAGGTTTGGAGATCACTGAGATGCGCGATATCGGCCGGTAACTATCTAGGACGGTAGGACGGGACTAGACCCAGAACCACGTCCTTAACACAGGCGGTAAGGAGCCGTGCCATGGCCGATGAACGGACTGGAAAAGCTCCAAACGGAAGAAGCTGAGCTGCCTCTCAGATGCGCAGTAAGACGGGCAACATTTTCAGGACCAACTATGCGAGAAGGACCAAGATCAGTCTTAGCGGTGGCTCTGAACAGACAACACGCGGGTTCGCCTCAAGCTGTTCAGTCGTACCCCGTTGCGATGAATGCAGCTCAAGTGACGCGCAGAATCATCGGCTGTGGGCGATGACCGCGAGAGCTGCAGGCCACGTCATAACTGCGTCACGCGCGCCAAAAGGGCGCGCAGCTGCCCGCTCTGACGTAATGCGGCTGGAAGTCCCATCTCCTGCTACAAAATATAGAGCATGCGGTACACTATTTCTCAAAGCCAAAGTGCACTTCGAAAAGAGCCGCTGTGCTTAACGTCAAATGGGGGAGATAAGAGCCCAAGTACAACCTTTCGTTGAGTTTGCGTGATACGTGTCTTTTATTTGCAAGTCTTTTTTCCCAAGTAGAGTGTTTTAAGCTTACGTAGAACTCAACGTACAGACATTTTGAACACTCAGTGCATTGTAAACACTACCGAACACACACGTTGAAAGCAAGGCCAATGAAATGTTTTGCTTTGGTAGTGGTGAGCGGGGAGCCCAATAAGATTTCTTCCGCCCGAGCTGCTGATTCAAAAAAGATATTCTGCGCGTTTCAGAAGGACTCCGATAAAACTTGTATAACTGATCAAATCGGACCCTCCTGATCTGACGATAAGCGGCAAGTACAAAAGGTGGCGTGCTTCCTTTAATGAGCAATGTGACGCTTCTCTACTGACATTGTTCCGGCCTTGACAGCGACTAGCTCTCGACATGGACGTTTGAAGGTGTAACATGAAACCGATGATTCATCGGTCTGTTGAAGGCCGAGTCAATGTGATGCTCCCTTTTTTCCAGATCTACTGCGCCTCTTGTGTCTGACACGTTCTGGCCGCCGGCCGTAAAAGCTTTACGGAACATACAACTGAGAGGAATCGTTGGTTTCCAACTTACCCGCTTTATTCAGTAATGAATCTAGGGAGTCCAAATCTAAGCTCACCTTTATCAAATCTTAATTTATACAGGCCCCTGATCGTGTTAAAAAGGCGAAATATTCAAGCACATGCTTGTTGCTGCCTGGAAGTTCTTTCATGTATTTATCAACTGCATAATGCCTTACAGTTTAATTCAAACGGCGTGTCGAAAGCTAATATCTGTATAGAACCTGTCAGATTCACATCGTCGATACGCAAGCATTTGTAATCTAGAAGCTGGAACACATCTCGGGTGTTGCGGTAAAACTGGAACAGAGCAATTAGACAGAAGTCATACTTTCGATGTCTCTAGCGAATGCCGTCCTGATACTGGAATTCATTCATTTTCATTCCAATAGCCACAGATCCTATCACTGCCGCGTGCTTTTCGAAATGACGCCATTACACAATGCAAATGGTGGCTCATACCTCCGGGAATCCATGTTCCTCGTCCACGAGTGCCTTCATGTCAAATCAAGATATCGACATCAAACAAGTCACAGCCACGTACTATTAACATACATATGATAACACGTATTCTAACAGCTCATCATAGATGATCGAACACTGTCTTCGAAAGGCTTCGGACAGCGGCCGAAGACGGATCTCCGGGCGATATAGCTGTCTAGCGGCCGCGCCCGCCCCGCACGTTCGCCCGCCGCCTGCCGCCGTTGGAGGAGCGCCTCTCGCCCCTGCTGGATGACCGCCTTCCACCGCCGGAGCTCCTCCGGCACGTGCCGGACCGCACGCTGTAGGATTTCGGGGTTGACTTGACGCGCGAGCCGCCCTGGGACGCGCCGCCCTGCAGCAGCTCTTGCAGCGACAGGGCTAGATTCTTGACGATGGCCTTGTCCAGCTCTTCGGCGGCGTCCTTCGTCAAGTCTTCCTTGTTCTTAAACCAGTGTTTGAGGGCCAGCTTCCTCACGAGCGGACTAGCCGGGTCGCCGAAGACACGGTTGAAGAACTTAGGCGACGGGCGACTGGATGTTGGCAGAGATGTCAGGAGAGGAAAAGTCGAAGTCAACGGCGGTGTTGGACGGCGTGACGGTGAACGTGCCGTTCTGATGGCCACGTACCGTTAGCGTCGTCTTCAACGTGCCGACCGTCTTCGCGATCCGCACCGTCGGCCGCGCCGACACGGAGGCGCACATCTTGAAGATCACCCGAATGCACTTCTTGAAGCGCGCCGAAACAACGGCGGCGAGGTTGGGCCAGGAAATCCGGGCATCGACGGCGATTTGCTGCTCGGCTGGGAACGTCAGCGCCAGGTGCTCGATTTCGTAGCACGAGAGGCCAGTCAGCGTGCCGTCCCAGAAGCTCAGGTCGCCGTCTTTGTTCGGGAGCGTCAGCGGGTCAGCCTTGCTCGCCACCTCGGCCCGCTTGTCCATCAACAGCGCCTTCACACAGTGCGAGAGCGCCTCCGGCTTGTCCAGCACGCACTCAAGCTGCTCCTCCGAGCTGCCGGTCCGGTTCGTTCGGCCCCGGGTCGACCGGCTACGCTGCGCGCTGCTGCTGCGCGAGCGGCTGCGCGATCGCGGAGCGTTGCCGCTGCTGCGCCAGCGTCGCGCAGCAACAGCAGGCCAGCAGGACCAGCGTCAGCGCACGGCCGACAGGCACCATCTCCACAGCTGCAATGGTCTGAACTGCGGCTGCCACAGCCGGTGCGGCTCATATAGCCGAGCGCGGCGGGCGTAACGGTCTGAAATCCCAGCTCCAGCCACCCGCTGGAAAGCCCGAGCCGACGCGGCCCGAACTCGGGGGTTCCCCGGCAGCGCCAGCAGCCAGATGGGCGTCGGCGAGGCGGACTCCCAGTGGACCGCGCTCGGAAAAGGCAGCCTACAAACGCTGGGCGTCGAACGCGTCCAAGCTAACACACAGTACGTATACATATAGCCGTATGTAATAAGATACAGGAGCATCAAGTATCGGCAGCCTTCGGTGACGTTCGTCACCTGCCATGGTTCCTGTTGATGGTGAGACGTACCAGCCTGATCGTAAACCTCACCTGCAAGTAGTTTTGTTCCACATACTGAAAGCGCGCTGGCACAGCTGATTTCGCCACGGTTTACGTAGTACACGTTGCAGCGTTCTAACTGCCGGAGTACGTAGTACAGACGTGTCACATGACCGCAGTGAATGCTGCGGCCCGGGTTAGTGATTTGATAATAACTCCGTGCAGCTGCCAGTGCGGCGGAATGCCTCGCCTGAAATTTCCGGTGACTCACAGACTACGCCAGGCGGGCACTGATTTATGACCAGGGCTTTCCAGCTGCCGCGAGCAGCTGCACGGGAATCAGCCGCTGGTGTCCCACGGGGGCTTGTTTTCTCGTATGGACGCCGCCGCGTCTGAGGAGCGCACCGATCGGGTGTTGCGGTGCCCGAGCAGTGGTTCACGTCTGACTCCCAGATGTCCTCGGGGCTGTCGTCATCGTCGTCACAGTCCCGGGTGCCGTGCGGATTTGTAGGGAAGGGATGTGGAGTGTGCAGCCATGCCCTTCATGCCAAACCAGGTGTTGAATGCTTCTGTAAGTTCAGACGGTACTTCAGAGTTCAGTTATTGGTGAAATGGTTGTATGACGCAGATCGTCCACTCTTTAATGCCTGGAATCTGAGGCACCGTCATAATGCCGACAGGCGATATTCTATGTCCATTTATAGGCGCAGTTGCAAAGCAGTAAATGTTTGGCGATAAATTCGCTGCAGCAAAAGCGTCTATCGAAACGAATGCACCACTAGGATGTGCACCACTGTAGCGCCACTGGATGTGCACCACTGTGCACCACTGGATGTGCACCACAGCGCACCACTGGATTCCTTGTGCGAGGTGGGACGAACAAGGTGGCAGCAGGCGTCAGCTTTCAATTTTTATAATGCAAATAATGTTCTTTCATCAGAGGTTAGCGGGCAAAGAGGCTTACTTATGAATAACCGTCAGTCGCATGTTCGCAGATTACGATCAGTTATCCGTTTCTTTAATCCAAACCCTCATGATTTTTTGTCATGTGAAACACAGAAAACCGGCTACCTAGGAGCCTGGCTGGGCACGGCTATTTCAGTCAACGGCATTATGATGGCGAAAATATTCATGTATTTGTTGACTGTGGCCAAAAGTTTGCAAAAACCGCAGCTGTTTTGACCAGATGCTTGTCGCAGTGAACTGGGCTAAGCGTTGTGTGGTTTTCATAGCCAAGCCCCTCCCTTGGTTTAGGACACAACGTATCGTATTCGAGGACCGGTTTAGAAAAGATGACATACGCATATATATATATATATATATATATATATATATATATATATATATATCATCTCGGCGTATATGATTGGTGCACCTGTGCGTCGGACAGCGTTGACACCCAATCAATGTTAAGCCAATGGTGCATTCACCCACGTGGCGCGGACAGTGTCACGTCTTGTCTGCTCCGGTTGTGGGGATCTGACAGCAGTCCTTCAAACCGCCTGGAAAATTGGTGGATCTGTGGATCCGCGCTCGAGTGCGTGTGACCGACTGCACACTAGGGTGTGGCCCACATTCACAGTTTGTCTACTCTCTCCACAGTCAGATGACTCATTTCGTATCATTGCGATTCGGGTCGTCGAAATCTGTGCCCGGTTTCGGCCCACGGCGTGCAGCTTCCTGGCATTCAGCAAATTGTACGTTGTCCATGCTAACTGAATGGGAAATGCCCTAATTTTCCAAAAGGAATTCGGCAGGAAATATATAATAATGAATAAAGTACAAAAATCATAAAATGTAATAAAACTTAAATCCCACATGATGAAACGCAATGTAAGCAAGCATCTTTAAATGATGCATCACAGCTTTAAGGAAAGCGTTTCTTGCTGCCAAAAGCTGCATAAAGCTGCGGCGGCGGTGGCGGCAAAAATATGATACAGATATAGAAAGATATGCAAAGATATGATACGATATACCAGAAAGCGCGACTGCGGTGCCGGGCCAGGCCAGGTTCTGGTGGGCCACAGCCTCGCCCGTAAACAAAGATTATGGGTGCCAAGATAAGCCAGGCCATCGCACTTCCTTGGATGACATAACGGAGATGACGTAGGTTTAAATACCCACAAATACACCAAATTTATATCTGGACATACAACAATAATGCTTACTCAAGAGCCCAGACTATCCTGCAGCACGGCGCCGAACAACCCACTGAACAGCGCGCTGTGAGGCGCATCAGGAGGTGCTCCCGCCTTCGGCCGGGGTGGAGCTGGCGGGGCGAGAGCTGGCCGGCTGCGGGTGGGCTCAGTCAGCGGCGGTCACCCGAGCGGCCCGGCGATGCGAGGGGCCGAGTGTCACGGACCGCGGCCCGGCTATTTCTGCCCGGCTACGACGGTCGGGCGCGAGCCAGGCGATTTGGCACGGCTCGTGACGTTGGCCACCGCACCACGCCCTACCTGACAGGTACGGCCCACCTGAGACGCCGCCGGGGACGGGGGCGGCTGCACCGCGACAGCCATGGCCGGTGCGGTCCGCCCGGGACGCCGCGGGGGACGACTAGACCACAGCAGGTCATGAAGGCTGAGGTCTGCCTAGAAGACCGCCGAAAAACAGCTGAAACGCACCTGGTCTTGACAGGTGTCGGCGTGCGGCCCACCTAAGACGCGCTCGTAGGTCAAATTAATTATGCTGGGTCATGGCACCACGTCCGCGCGGCACACCGTCGGGAGACAGCCCAGATGCACCGGGTTGCGATCGTAGGTCAACTGAACTATCTTGGGTCGTGACACCACGTCCGCGTGGCACGCCGTCGGGAGACTGCCGAGATGCACCGGGTTACGATCGTAGGTCAACTGAACTATGTTGGGTCGTGACATCACGTCCGCGTGGCACTGCCGTCGGGAGACTGCCAAGCCGCACCGGGCCACGCCCCGCCCAGTCTGCCCGACAGGCCGGCCACCTGGCTGACAGGCGGCAGGCAACTGAACCGAACCCAGGTGGGGTAGGTGTGGCCCACGCGTGACACCGCCAGAGGGAGTCACGTCGGGTTCACTACATACGCGTGTCCCCCTGGAAGACCGCCGGTAACTGACCGGGCCACAATGACGGGCGTGGGCCGCCTGGCAGGCCACACGGTGACAATGACAGACACAACCGGATCGCGCTCGTCCTGACAGGTGCGCTCGATCTGGAGGACGCGCCGGGCCAAAGTCGTGCCAAGATAGTCAGCCGGCAGCGTCACCTCCCAGCTCGTGGGAGCCGCCCGACTAACGGGGCCTGGCAGGGTCGCCCGCCGACGGGGTCGGCCGGCTTCGGGGCGATAACCCCGATGCCGTAGCGCGTCAGCTTGACCGCCAGACGGCCCTCTGTTGACGTTGGCACAGGTGCGCGTCGCGGCCGCAAGGCAAACAGCTTAATTTCAGATACAAATCAGTCAGTGACAGCTGCCGTGACAGTGCCCCGCCGAGTCCGGCACCACCGACGAGGGCGGCCATTCACGGCGCCGGCGGGATTCTGAGACTCTCCCCACGCCAACGATCGGATTACCGTAGAGTCGACGGCTGCGCGACGGAGTCCCATTTATCTTCAGTGACGACGGCTGCGCTCGATGAAAGTGCTGGAGTGAGCATAGCTGACCCACCCAAATAACGACCACCTTAAAGGGGAGAGTTTGTCCCCGGTCAGAAACGAATGTTCTGTTCTAACCTAATGCCGTACTTTGATCATATATGTATCATGATGGCGGTAATATGTAGATACGATCATCTTTCTTTCCTATAAAAAACGTGGGTCGCCAAAAAACCGCATAATCGCTAATCAAACCTTATAACCATATGATAAAACGATATTCATCATCAAAGGAAATGTCCGCCTTTGAAGACATTGAGGTAAACATCCGATATGATGGAAAAACTCATATAATTGACTCATATGTATTGGCATACTTTCAACTGCGAGAGACTGCTTTAGATAACAAGCTTGCACTGTTGAGTAAATATGCTCTCAATACGCTATCGTTTGATTGCGTCATGGAACGTTTTTATGGCCTCCTGGTCGCTAGCAGACTAGCTATGCTGGGATGCCACTATAGCGGACGGACCAACTAACTTGTAGTTCTTCGATTCGACGCGAGTCGGCTTGTAAATTCATGCCAGTGAAAACTCCACCATCGTTATATGCCCGTATTCGGGTCCTTTCCCGTGGTGTTCTTGCAACTGTTTCCGTGATACCATGCTTTTTATTTCCAGACGCATGCTCCGTTTCAGCGCTATTCTTAAGTGATTTAATTACCATCCTCATGTCCATCACAACTAGAAGGACCGCCCAAATGTTTGGGAACGAGAAGTTACTTCTTACTTCCGGCTGGCCGAAGTAATCGCGGCATAACTCCCTAGTATTTACGCCGGTTGATGAACCTGGCAGCAATCCCCCGAAGTAGACCGCAAAATGCCGAGCCTGAAGTAATTTCAATGAGCATATGTGCTTTCGTTTCCATGGCAGCGCTCAAGTCAATTTGGATCTGGCAATGTTTCAGGCCCATGATTAAGCCAGAAACATTTCAAAAATATCAAAAGGTGTCGTTAATAAATTTATCTGCACTACGCACGTAGGCAAAAGGCAACAAACAAAGAATAAGCAACAAATGTTCACTAAAAATCAGTGACTGTTCTTGCCTTACGTTGTACATTTTGTTATCTTCATCA